TTCAATTAACACATGAATTCAATTAAACCATGAATTCAATTAAACCATGAATTCAATTAAAACCATGAATTCAATTAAAACCATGAATTCAATTAAAATCATCAATTAAAACATGAATTCAATTAAAACCATGAATTAAAATCATGAATTCAATTAAAACCCTAAATTAAATTAAAATCATGAATTAAAATCATGAATTAAAATCATGAATTAAAATCATGAATTAAAGCCATGAATTCAATTAAAGCCATGAATTCAATTAAAACCATGAATTCAATTAAAACCATGAATTCAATTAAAATCATGAATTCAATTAAACATGAATTCAATTAAAATCATGAATTCAATTGAAACCATGAATTCAATTAAAACGATGAATTCAATTAAAGCCATGAATTCAATTAAAGCCATGAATTCAATTAACACCATGAATTCAATTAAAACCATGAATTCAATTAAAACCATGAATTCAATTAAAATCATGAATTAAAATCATGAATTCAATTAAAACCCTAAATTCAATGAAAATCATGAATTAAAATCATGAATTAAAACCATGAATTCAATTAAAACCATGAATTCAATTAAAACCATGAATTCAATTAAAACCATGAATTCAATTAAAACCATGAATTCAATTAAAACCATGAATTCAATTAAAATCATGAATTCAATTAAAATCATGAATTCAATTAAAACCATGAATTCAATTAAAACCATGAATTCAATTAAAACCATGAATTCAATTAAAACCATGAATCCAATTAAAATCATGAATTCAATTAAAGCCATGAATTCAATTAACACAATTAATTCAATTAAAATCATGAATGAAAACCTTGAATTCAATTAACACCATGAATTCAATTAACACCATGAATTCAATTAAAACCATGAATTCAATTAACACCATGAATTCAATTAACACCATGAATTCAATTAACACCATGAATTCAAATAAAATCATGAATTAAAATCATGAATTCAATTAAAACCCTAAATTCAATTAAAACCATGAATTCAAACATCATGAATTCAATTAACACCATGAATTCAATTAACACCATGAATTCAATTAACAATCATGAATTCAATTAACACATCATGAATTAAAACCATGAATTTAAACCATGAATTAAACCATGAATTCAATTAACACCATGAATTCAATTAACACCATGAATTCAATTAAAACCATGAATTCAATTAAAACCATGAATTAAAATCATGAATTAAAACCATCAAGTCAATTAAAACCATGAAGTCAATTAAAACCATGAATTAAAATCATGAATTCAATTGAAACCCTAAATTAAATTAAAATCATGAATTAAAATCATGAATTAAAATCATGAATTCAATTAAAACCCTAAATTCAATTAAAATCATGAATTAAAATCATGAATTAAAACCATGAATTCAATTAAAACCATGAATTCAATTAAAATCATGAATTCAATTAAAATCATGAATTAAAATCATGAATTCAATTAAAACCCTAATTCAATGAAAATCATGAATTAAAATCATGAATTAAAACCATGAATTCAATTAAAACGATGAATTCAATTAAAATCATGAATTCAATTAAAATCATGAATTCAATTAAAACCATGAATTCAATTAAAGCCATGAATTCAATTAAAATCATGAAAAAACCATGAATTCAATTAAAACCCTAAACTCAATTAAAGCCATGAATTCAATTAAAATCATGAATTCAATTAAAATCATGAATTCAATTAAAATCATGAATTCAATTAACACCATGAATTCAATTAACACCATGAATAAAAACTATGAATTCAATTAACACCATGAATTCAATTAACACCATGAATTTAAACCATGAATTCAATTAACACCTTGAATTCAATTAACACCATGAATTCAATTAACACCATGAATTCAATTAACACCATGAATTCAATTAACACCATGAATTCAATTAAAAACATGAATAAAAACCATGAATTCAATTAACACCATGAATTCAATTAACACCATGAATTTAAACCATGAATTCAATTAACACCATGAATTCAATTAACACCATGAAGTCAATTAACAGCATGAATTCAATTAACACCATGAATTCAATTAAAACCATCAAGTCAATTAAAACCATGAAGTCAATTAAAACCATGAATTAAAATCATGAATTCAATTAAAGCCATGAATTCAATTAAAACCATGAATTCAATTAAAACCATGAATTCAATTAAAATCATGAATTCAATTAAAAGCATGAATTAAAATCATGAATTCAATTAAAATCATGAATTAAAATCATGAATTAAAATCATGAATTAAAATCATGAATTAAAATCATGAATTAAAGCCATGAATTCAATTAAAACCATGAATTCAATTAAAACCATGAATTCAATTAAAACCATGAATTCAATTAAAACCATGAATTCAATTAAAACCATGAATTCAATTAACACCATGAATTCAATTAAAAGCATGAATTCAATGAAAATGAATTCCATTAAAATCATGAATTCAATTAAATCATGAATTCAATTAAAATCATGAATAAAAACCATGAATTCAATTAACACCATGAATTCAATTAACACCATGAATTCAATTAAAATCATGAATTCAATTAAAATCATGAATTAAAATCATGAATTCAATTAAAACCCTAAATTCAATGAAAATCATGAATTAAAATCATGAATTAAAACCATGAATTCAATTAAAACGATGAATTCAATTAAAATCATGAATTCAATTAAAACCATGAATTCAATTAAAACCATGAATTCAATTAAAACCATGAATTCTATTAAAATCATGAATTCAATTAAAATGAATTCAATTAAAACCATGAATTCAATTAAAGCCATGAATTCAATTAAAATCATGAAAAAACCATGAATTCAATTAAAACCCTAAATTCAATTAAAGCCATGAATTCAATTAAAATCATGAATTCAATTAAAATCATGAATCCAATTAAAATCATGAATTCAATTAACACCATGGATTCAATTAACACCATGAATTTAAACCATGAATTCAATTAACACCTTGAATTCAATTAACACCATGAATTCAATTAAAACCATGAATTCAATTAACACCATGAATTCAATTAACACCATGAATTCAATTAACACCATGAATAAAAACATGAATTCAATTAACACCATGAATTCAATTAACACCATGAATTTAAACCATGAATTCAATTAACACCTTGAATTCAATTAACACCATGAATTCAATTAACACCATGAATTCAATTAACACCATGAATTCAATTAACACCATGAATTCAATTAACACCATGAATAAAAACTATGAATTCAATTAACACCATGAATTCAATTAACACCATGAATTTAAACCATGAATTCAATTAACACCTTGAATTCATTTAACACCATGAATTCAATTAACACCATGAATTCAATTAACACCATGAATTCAATTAACACCATGAATTCAATTAAAACCATGAAGTCAATTAAAACCATCAAGTCAATTAAAACCATGAATTCAATTAAAACCATGAATTAAAATCATGAATTCAATTAAAACCCTAAATTAAATTAAAATCATGAATTAAAACCATGAATTAAAATCATGAATTCAATTAAAACCCTAAATTAAATTAAAATCATGAATTAAAATCATGAATTAAAGACATGAATTCAATTAAAACCATGAATTCAATTAAAACCATGTATTCAATTAAAATCATGAATTCAATTAAAAGCATGAATTCAATTAAAAGCATGAATTCAATTAAAAGCATGAATTCAATGAAAATGAATTCAATTAAAATCATGAATTCAATGAACCCTAAATTCAATTAAAATCATGAATTAAAATCATGAATAAAAACCATGAATTCAATTAAAACCATGAATTCAATTAAAACCATGAATTCAATTAACACCATGAAGTCAATTAACACAATGAATTAAAATCATGAATTCAATTAAAACGCTAAATTCAAATAAAATCATGAATTAAAATCATGAGTTAAAACCATGAATTCAATTAAAACCATGAATTCAATTAAAATCATGAATTCAATTAAAATCATGAATTCAATTAAAATCATGAATTCAATTAAAATCATGAATTCAATTAAAACCATGAATTCAATTAAAACCATGAATCCAATTAAAACCCTGAATTCAATTAAAGCCATGGATTCAATTAACACAATGAATTCAATTAAAATCATGAATTCAATTAAAATCATGAATTCAATTAAAACCATGAATTCAATTAAGTCACAAGTTCCATTAAGTGAATTTATTAAAAAACCATGAATTCAATTTTAAAAGGATGAATTCAATTAAAAACATGAATTAAAACCATGAATTCAATTAACATGAATTAACATGAATTCAATTAACATGAATTCAATTAAAATTATGAATTCAATTAAAATCATTTAAAAACCATGGATTCTATTCAAATTCAATTAGAAACACGGTTTCAATTAAAAACCCATGAAGTCAATTAAAAGACGAAGTCAATTAAAAACATGAAGTCAATTAAAAAAGCAGATGTCTGATAACATGAGACTGTTTACACAGTGAAATAAGTGGAAAAACAGGAATGTAGGAGGAGCTTACGATTTTAAATCTTAAGTTTTTCCTTTCTTGTATTGCCACAGGTTTCTGCAGTAGGCCAAAGAATTTTCTTTTTACCTCTTTGCCACAAACATTATAATGGTTTGGTAAGTTATATGCTCCCAACAGAGCTCTTCCTGGTGAACGGACATCACAACATTCCACTCGAGCTCCAACCCTGAGAGGACAGAGGCCAAGTTCCTTTCTCATGTCATTTTCGACAAGTCTCTGAAACTGGCACTACAACTCCTGTCCGGCAGACAACAGCACAAATATTACGTGATTTACCACAAAGCAAAACAAGGGACTATTTTAACGCAGCACTGACTGCCTCCAGACACCCGGCATCGCCCCACGTGACCTGAAGGACACCCAGTCTCCAGGTGTATGACGTACCATGGGTTGGAGCCCCGACCAGCAGCACTTGCGTCAGTGTCTCATTGATGAGCACTCCACCACTCGAGAGGGATGTGCCCAGCTTCCCCATTGCCTGTGAAATAGGACAGATCAGCACTGGGCACCTCAGAAACGTTCTCTGGGGTGTCTCCTCCCTGGGCTGACAGACCCCCAGCCTTCCCAACCCCTGCCATACCTTATCTCCAGAGATGGTAAACGCGCTTTGGCAATTGGGTGGGAAATAACCATATACTCGTCCCAGGCTCTGATTTCTCTTGTGTCTGCGGGACAAGTAGTTCGGCCTAGGGCGAAACACAGGGGATCCAGGTGGCCAGACATCCAGGCCCGGGAATGAAATTGTTCCTTTTCCCCACCCACCCCATTCTCACCTGAGCCTGCCAAGGGCTGTCTTCCCAAGATCCTAGGTCTGGTCTTGTTGGGTAATCCCACCAGTAAGGCTCTGAAGATGCCATGTCCACCACTTGGTCCCACCCCAACCAACCAACAGCAAATGCAAGGGGGCTCCTATTGGGGCTAAGTCGTGCTTTCCCCCTAACCGCTGTGTTGAAGGTCAAACCAAAACCTCAGAGTGTGACCTTATCGGAGAAGAGGGTCTTTACTCAGGTGCTTCTGTTGAAAGGTCATTAGGCTGGGCCCCCTTAGGACTGGTGTCCTCGTAAGAGAGGAAGTAAGATGCAGACATAGATATGAGGACCATGTGAGGACATGGGGAGAAGACAACCTGCCAGCCAAGAACAGGGGTCTCAGGAGAAGCCAGCCCTAAGGACCCCAAAGCCTGGCCCTGGGGCCACCAGAGTGCTGGTATAATGGATGTCTACTGTTTGTGTCTCTGTGGTTCTTTGCTCAGACAGCCCTAGCAGATGAAGACACTTATTTGTGAGAGTTTGTTTTAAATAAGGATACTTGCCCCAGAGCAGTCACTTTGCCTTGGAAGGATAAGAAGTCTTCACCCCTGTCCCACTCTGGGCCCCCATCACAGCAAGCACCTGACTGCCTCACCCCCGGGGTCTCCACCCACCTATTGTTCTTCCAGGTTGGGCTGCCAACCAGCAGCAAGGTCCTGTTGTCCACCTGGACACCATGCAGGGAGTATCCAAACCAGGCAAAGTCCTCCTGCCCTCTCACCGTCCAGTCAGCGGCCCCCATGTCCAGCTCTCCTAAGGGAGACAACCTACCCCTTTGACAAAGCTACAACACTATAGGAACCGTCACAGACCCAGAGCAGGGAAGATTCTCACCCACCCCATTCCACCATCACAGGCACTACCTTTGTCACTCTGACTGGAGCCAGAATAAAATGCAGCCACAATCCCCCTCTGCTTCCCTCCAGCTGGTGCAAAAGGAGAGCCAATCACGAGGTCCTGCTCACCGTCTCCATTCATGTCTGCTGCCAGGAGTGTCCAGCCCAAATTACAATAGACATCCTTCAGAGAAAGCCATGAAAGCATGCATTAACAGCCCTGGGACACACTGAATTCCACAAGTCTTAAATAAGACAATTTTAAAAAAACTCTTCAAGAGGTAGGGAGACCAAGACAAAGTTCCAACCCATTAGTTCACTAACAGACTCAAATACCCAAAGTGACTGACTGGGGCTCAATCCAAACCTTCCGAGTGAGTAGCCAGGAACCCGATTACTTAAACCATCACCTGCTGTCCACCAGGATCCTGTCAGCAGTAGGCTAGAGTCAGAATATAGCTGATTCCAACCCAGGCCCTCCAGTCTGGGACGTGGTTCCTTTGAAGTGCTAAGCTAAGCGCCTGCACTGTGAGTTCTGGATCTCTATGTCTGATCACACGATAAACATACCTGACAAGAGATTGTGATGTTCGGTGAGGAGGACAGCTTTCCTTGTTCGGCACCAAAGAAGACGTACACTGCGCCCTAGACAAGGACAATCAGTCGGGGGACCCTCAGGTTCAGGTCATGACCTGGAGACCTCGGATAAGAGCAAGGCAAAGAGGACTGACTACGAAGGAAACCAGTACTCTCCACCATGGTGATGAGCCCAAGGACAGAGCTGCATCCTATGCATTGCTGCTGTCTGCAGTCAAGTTTGACAATTCTTGCCTCTCTCATGAAAGCCCCCAAAGCAGAAACAGAGTTGCTTTCATTCTTGGTTCCCCCACATGTTGCTCAGGATCTGCCAGCTCTAATGCTCAGTGTGTCTGCAGAGTGCCTCTCCCAACCCCTTCCCACTGCCAGGCTCAGTTCAGTTTCCTCCCCGCCCCCCTGCCCCCACAGACTCCCTGGTCTTTGCCCACCGCATCTTGGCTCTGGTCTTTGCCCACCGCACCTTGGCTCCTGCATAGTCCAGTCCATCCCTCCTGGGGAATCCTGCCGTGGCACTATTCTGTCTAGGAGTCAGCTCCCTCATAAGTTGCCCATTCTGGTCCCATTCCTTCCACAAGCACTTAGTTCCCACTGTGACAAAACCAATCTTCCCCATCTTCCCAAAAATCTGAACACAAGTGATCCTGAAACAGCCACAGAGTGTCCTGGGAATGCCAACTGTGGGGAGCGATGGTCACTCCTGAAAGGGGGGCCAGGAAGCTGGGTGACCACAGGTGCCAAGGTGAGAGACTGACAGGGTTGAGGACAGAAGAAATGGAGTGTGAGGAGGAAGAGCTGGGGGGAAAAGTCTGCAGGGGCAGCAAGAAAAGACCTTGGACTGCCTCCCCTCCACACACACACACATACACATACATCCACACGTGGTGCCGAGAGCCCAGGCCTTTCAGCTCTGGGTAAGGAAGCAGGCAACCTTTTGGGTTCCATGCAAGGAAGACAGATCCAAACAAATCAGCCCCTTGCTGGGGCAAGGTGGCCATGTGAGCAAGAATTTCTGTTTGCCTTCACCACCAGTGCACATTGTTGAAGAGGAAATAGAAAAGAGAAGTACCCAGTGGAATTGGGAAAACAAGAAGCCAGAAAAAGGCAGAGGGCTGAGCAGGTGCTGTAGGGTATGCAAGGCCCCCTCACAGTGCAATGAGAGGTGAGCCCATTTGTCCACATTCTCCCTGGCATACTGCTGTTGCCCGGGTACCTGGGGTCCTCCCTGGAACCCCCACCTTCTGCAGACTTACTTTGTATGTGAGCTGCTCAGAGCCCACCGAGGGAGCACCCACAGCGAGGTCAAGAACTCCATCCTTGTTGAAGTCCAACACGGCCAAGGCAGAGCCAAAGCGACCTGCAGGCTAAAGAGACAGGTTACCTCCCAGGGGCCAAGCCCTAGGCTTGTGAAGAACACTCCAGGCTCCCTGGGGTAGGGAGGGCTGGGGGCCTGGTCATGCACAGGCTGAGGCAGCAGGAGCATGGCAGCCTGGAACGGGTGGCATCTCAGCTGGGAGTTTTGCTCTGGGAGTATTTGGGGCAAGTAGAAGGGCCAGAAAATACTAAGGTCACTCTTTGCAAGCTCCAGACTGGCAGCGAATAGTTTTGTACAGTACCCCCCAACCTCAACCCACAGACTGCACCAAACTCATCTTCGAGAACATCTAACATAGTAACGATGCAACCCCAGCAATATCTGTTGAGTACTTGGGATGCACTAGGGCCATGTTCAATGATGCCAGTGATGATCATGAAAGAATATCATAAAATGTAAAGTTGGGCCTCTCAAGAGGCACAGGCCACATTGTAAACACTCAAAAGCTTGTTCCTGGGAGAGCAACCCCAATCCTTGTATCCCTGTAAGCCCAACTGGACTTGTCAGGAGACGTGTGGTTCCAGACACTCAGAGGCTAGGGCAGGCGCTGTTACTGCACCACTGTCTGTTCACAGACAGGAATCTCTGTCTCGTCAGGGACAGTTATCTTCCAAGGTGTTTTCTAGCTCTCTTCTCAAACCACCCAGGATCAGCCTCTGACTTCAAGTACTTTACTAGGTTCTGCAGTTTTGTCATGACTTTACAATAGCTCCTTATGCAGCACCCACACCCACTGTCCACAGCTATGGTTTCCAGGGCTGGAGGTCACAGTCCCGCTCTAGGCCATCTCCAAGCCTTGCCATCTTCCGGACCATCGCAGGTCACTGGACAAGGACAGAGAGCCACCCCTCTCCTTGCTCAAGTTTACCATCCTCAGGGAGCAGCTGCTTTTCATATTCCCATCTGTAGGATCCCAAAGGATTAGACCCTCCCCCAAGTCTGAAATGGATGGCTTTGTAGAGACTTAGAGGAGGACAGGGTGACTGGGATGCTCCAGAAAGTGGGACAGCCCCTGGGACTGTGGGACCCTATATGCTTTCCATGCCCACATTTGTACAGCCTAAGCTAGATCATACATCATTATAGTTGTATTTAAAGGATACTCAGGTATGCCACTTTATCTTCTGATACAGCATTCATGTCACAGTGAAATGCTATGAGATTTGCCTGGGACATGAGTCACAAGCTAAGCCAACTACAGCCTTCCTATGCGGGTCATACACAGACTATGCAGTGCCAGGCCAGGGTCACCAAAAAGAAGCCCACACCACAGCCCTGCATTGCTGTTGTAAGGGCCAATGCATCTGATTTCTGGAAAACCTTCCAGGACTCTATGTTCCCAATAGGAATTAATACTTATTCCATGAGGAATGAGTATACAGTCATTGTGGATTCTTTCTGGTGAGTAACCAACCACTTAAAAGAATTAAATCTGGACAAACTCTACAGTTCCATAAATAGCAAAAAAACAAACAAACAAAAAAAACCCTAAGTTTTGGATAGGCAAACCATAACCATGTAAAGCGTTGATTTAGGAACAACTAGGGACCACCTAGGGTGAGATGATAGGTATAAGGGAACTCTTTCCACTTTCTTTAAAAGTTTTTTTGCCAACCCAAGATTTTCACAAAGCTAGGGTAAAAGGTTTTGTATTGTCAGGAACTCATAACCCAATTGATTCATCAGAGCAGTCCTAAAGACAGGCTTGCTTCTGGGAAGTGTTAGAGTGAAGACGCCAAGTAACAGCAGAATAACATGTACTTGAACACTAGGCCATCAGCTGTTACTACAATTGCTCCCATGGCCAATGGCCGGTGGCCATTCAGCCTGGACAATCTACCAATAACAGCAGGCAGGGACTTTCTGACCCCCTAGCCAAGCAAGGATGAGAGGCTCTCACCTGGAAGCCCTCCAGGGTCACGTGGGCCTCCTTGTCCAGATCCAGATCGATGGGGGGCAGGCCCAGGTCGTTGCCATGGAGGACATACACACGCCCAACCTGGATGTGACCGGTGCGGCTGTAGCCTGGAGCCCCTACTATGAGGTCACCATACCCATCCTGGTTGAGGTCAGCAGAGACCATTGTCCTGGAGGAAGGGAAGTGGAAGCCACTCCAGTATCCATTGAGCACAAGAAACTAGCTCCTGCTTCTTTTAGAATCCACAGCTTCCACTTTCTCTGCAAGTCTCAGAAGAAACATTCCTTCTGAGACTAAGACTATATTGTTTGTTATTCAATCTCACTCTCCCCAGCAAAACACAAACTCAAAATTGGACAAATCACAGCCTCCGAGCACTGCTGGACCATGGAATCTGGGCAGGAGGAAAGAGGCTTCGCAGAGCTTCATATGCTATCTACTGCTGCTCCCAGGATGGCCAAAGCAAGACCCAGGTTGCTCCTGAGAGCAGAGAGGATGTCTGCCCCCAGCCATATGCATAGGTTGTTTTCTGATTTGCTCAACCCAGTGCAATTTGTTCCCCATCAGCTGGCATCACATGCTCTGTGCATGTCCACTGTAGTTACTGAGGTACCTTGCTTTGGGCCAAACCAAGTGCCCAACAGATTTACTGAGCATTTCCAAGCTCAGTTAATCTACAATAAACTACAAATTGTATAAATGGGCCACCAAGTCCATAGTTCAAATGCCATTCCTGGGGCACAAGCCACCAGTTTATTCTGGTTGGTATAGCCACTTAAAGAACAAATTCAGAAACTGCTTCCCTTCCCCTCTCTTCTGAACACTGGGCAGTAGGATAGCCCAGTGGAGCATCTGTGGTTCTTTGTACCCAAGGCCTGGTGCTGGGTAGAAAAGGTTACAGGGATGAATGCTGGACAGCTGCCCAGTCCAGCAAGTGCCCTTCTCGTTCCATGAGGACAACAGCCAAGAACGGCTGCCAGTCACACAAGAGTGAATGGCCCACACAGAGCACTGCTACCCAGAAGTCTGAGTGGCTTAAAAAGCAGAGTTGCTAAACTCCTGGGAAGAAGCACAATGCCCTTAGGATTCAATAAGTGTGGTTGAAAAAAAAAATCTCCAGAAAATAGCCACTTATATCCCTCAGGCTCACTGGTGGCAAGGGTGGGGGTGTCTCTAAAGTTCATTTATAAAATTATACTGCTATTCTAGCCTTTCACTGTGTGGAGCTACAATAGTGAAGTCACAGAAACAGCTATCTGATAATAGGTTTCTAAGGTAGATTGCAAAACTAAATCTGAGATAAATATATTTCCAAGCACATATGAGCTTTACAGATATAAGACGTCACTGCTGTCACTAGGTAACAAAATGAAAACTACTTGCATTTAAACATATTTGACCAACTCTGAAGGAGATCATTTTATCCTTGTAATACTTTACCCACTATCTGGTGTTGATGGTAAATTGGATGGGAAATTAGATGTTGGTAGACATTTAAAATATGCTGAGTGGGGACCAGGTGTGGGGAGTGGGGTGCTAAAGCCGCTCCTGGGACTGGGAGGGGCTGTTGCAAGATGGCGGCTGGCCCAGGGCCAGGAGCTGGTCTCGCCAGCAGGTAAACAGGAAGTCACAGGGATAAGCTAATGCCCTCACTGAGATTACTGGCCTATCACGTAGCGCCAAGTGGACCCACGAGAAGTGATTGGTGGAGAAGGATATAAAAGTAGCCGGTAAAAGCTAGGTGAGGAAGGACGGAATGGACAGACAGGATGACTGTGATAGACAGACAGATGCAGACAGATGAGAAAGACTTGGGGGCGGGAAGGAGGGTGGCGGAAAGGAGACAGGGAAAGTACGGGAAGAACAATGGGAGGAAGGGTGGCGGAAAGAGGGCCGGCCAAAGACGTGGGGAGGAAAGCTAAGGCTAATGGGGACAGGAGCAGTGGAGATAAGGATTTAAATGCAGCCACTTTTGGCAGTGAGGGGTGTGGTTCCAGCTTTCCCAGACCCTCAAGAGCTTGCCTCATCATTTTTAATGTCGCCGTTGCTGGGCGGCAGCAACCAGGGCTGTAAAAAAGTAGGTTACGCCTCCACTTATGGTGTTGGTATCCCATGTGGGCTATGGTTCATGGCCTGGCTGTTTCACTTCTGATCCAGCTTCCTGTTTATGGCCTGGGAAAGCAACAGAGGATGACTCAAATCCTTGGATCCCTATTACCACATGAAGACCTGGAAGAAACTCCTTACCCTGGATTGGCCTAGCTTTGCCCATTGTAACCATTTGGGGAGTAAACCAGTGGATGGACGACCTCCGTCTTTCCTTCTCTCCATAATTACCTTTCAAATTATATATAATTATACACACACACACTGTGTGACTGAGTGAAGGTGCAAGGCAGATGCAAACACTAATAGGTGGCATACACTCACACATACCAACCGAGCCTTGCATAGGGCGATGACACAAAGTACGATGCTACGGGACTAGAGACGTGCTTCAGGGGCTCCTGGGAGCCACCTATGAACATGGTCCGAATATTCTTCTCCAAAGACTGGTACATGAAGGATACAGAATCCTGAAAAATAAGAAGTGTCATGGCAGGGACGTAACAAAAGAGAAAACTGTAGACCATTATCTCTGATGAACAGACACAAAAGCTCTAGCACAAACAAAACTCAACCTTCCATCTGGTGGCCCTTCACCACCGCCACCAAGAGATGCACCCATGGGAGTCAAGGAAGCTTGACAGTTGTGGCAGAGCACGTTCAGCCTCTACCTGCAAGGACTCTGGCCTCCCAACCGGTTCCTGATTCTTGTTCCCAGCCTCAGCTGTTGCAGGAATTCAGAAGTGAACATCTCTCCTTCCCTTCTCGATTAAAACAAAAAATGCTTTAAAGATCCCAAACATCCTAAGTTAGAATGCGTTGTACCGATTTCGATATTCACTGAATGAAATAATTTTTAGACAAATTTTAGAAAAGGCAAGGCCATTCACTGAACCATTGTACAACTACGTGTGTATGTATTCATTTTTGTTTTTACAAACGAGCTAAAAAATGTCAAAAATGTCCTCCAAACCATACCAAGCCACATGGACTTGAGAAGTCACCTGCAGGGTGCTGGAAGCTGCCCACTGGAGAACTTGGGTGACAACCTGCCCCAAGCTTGGGCTGCTCAGCTGTTATTAACGTAGTTACTAAAGAGGGCAGCAGGCTAGCAGCACTGGATCCAGCCAAACCCAGGGGATAAAACTCTAAGGACCCAAGAGGACACAACTTCCCAGACCTACCCCCAAAGCAGAGTCAGCTCAGAGCCAGGAGGTGGCTGCGCAACCCCAAGTCTCAGCCCCAGCCCCAGGCCCAGGCCCAGGCCCAGGCTCAGCTCCAGGCCTAGCCCCTGCCCCACCTCCTGCCCCTGCCCCAAGCCCTGACCTAGGCCCAGCCCCTGCCCCAGGCCCAGGCCCTGCCCCAGGCCCTGCCCCTGCCTCAAGCCCTGACCTAGGCCCAGCCCCAGCCCCTGCCCCAGGCCCAGCCCCTGCCTCTGCCCCAACCCAGGCCCAGCCCCAGGCCCAGGCCCAGGCCCAGGCCCAGGCCCAGGCCCAGGCCCAGGCCCAGGCCCAGGCCCTGCCCTTGCCCCAGCTAAGCACAGGAGCTGCCCTTCCCCTGCACATCTCCCAGGCAGGCTGCACACAGACTGCACATCCTAAGCTCATAGTCTGGGCTTGCTCATGACCTAGATGTCAATACAGGCACTGGGAATATAAGAATTTTCCCTACAGAATTCATTTCTTCACAAAGGAGACAAATGCAAACATAGTAAGGAATGAATAGGTATTTTAATGGAGGTTTCCTGCTGCAGGAAGATCAACGTAACTTAGGTATCCAAGTGCAAGATATAAGGAACCCTTATTTTAAAATGGTAAGGCAATGACAACAGAGCACTAAACCAAGTACCATGGCCTTGTCAACCCCTGCAGACATCATCACAAGGTAAGCTGAATCCATCTGACCTTCAAAGCCAACCACAGTCCTCCCTTACCCAAGCGTTTCTTGATTTCTTATACTCTGGTCTTGTGTTCCAAGCGAAAATTTCTAAGCATTCTGAAATTTTCCCAAGTTACTACCAGAAATGTACCTTATCACTGAACAAGTACTATCTCCTATTCATAGTCACAGTAAAATGCTACCTCCTCCTCAAAGCCCTCTCTGCTCCTCTCTAATCTGTTCCACCAGTTCACCATGATATTTACTATATTCTTACCACATCATAGCTATTTTTTTATTTGTCACACCATGTTTGTTTTCTAAAGGTTGTGTCCTTTTTTTTTCAGTTTATATTCCCCAATGCAGGATCTTCATTTAAAGATGTCCCTGAAGGTCCAGCATTGTGTCATAGCAAGTTGAGCCCCGTCCTGCGATGCTAGCACCCTATTACGGGCACCAGTTCAAGTCCTAGCTGCTCCACTTGCAATCTTGCTCTCTGCTAAATCCCCTGGAAAAACAGCTGAAGCTGGCCCAAGAGCTTGGTCTCACGTATCCATAGGCAAGATCCAGAAAGAACTCCTGGCTTCAGCCCAGTCTAGTCCTAGCCACTGCAGGCATTTGGGGAGGAACAGAAAGATCTCTAACTCTGCCTTTAAAACTCAATCTTAAAAAAATGACCTCAGGGACTCATTTTGCATGCAGCGGCATCCTTCAGCCTGGGGCTGTGCATACTGAGCCTTCAGTGTTGCTGACACATCTTGGGGTAAGGCCAATATAGGACTGGCTCAGTGCCCAGAACCACGAGGGCTTCCTGAAACCTGCCAGAGGCCCAGAGGCCTGGACTCACGGCTCCGAACTCCTCCATAACAAATCATACTGGGAGACTAGTACTTGCTGGCCTGGCACTCACACTGGTGATTTTCCACGGGCAACTGAATGGCCAGGGGTACTGCCAAACAGGATGGCCAAGAAACACAGGGTTCTCCCATGGCTCAAAGCAAAAAATTCTCACCGGAGTCCAGGATTCCACAGTGAAAACTACTCCTCTTTCAGTGTAGTTGACATTCCTTCTAATATCCTTAGATGTGGATGCAGTCAAGTTCCTGTGAAAACTGTTTTTTGGTGCTTTTGAGCTGTTGGAGAGAGAAGATGGTTAAGAATGAACAAATAACTTCAATTCTTTGAATAACCAAACTGAAAAAAAAGTTAATCACAGATTAAAAGACCATAAAAAATTCATTTTAAGATTTATTACTTTTCTATAAAGATTGATTTGAAATGTAGAATTACATAGAGAGGGAGGCAGAGAAGGAGAGAGAACATTCCATCTGCTGGCTCACTCTGGACCAGGCTAAAGCCAGGAACCCAGAAGTCCTTGTGTTATCTCCCACATGGGGAAGGTGAGAGAACACTGCCGAGAACCCACCATCTAGGAAAGAACTCCATGGAGACAGAATTGATTACTTTTGTGACCAGGAAACCATTCCTACAGATGTCTCGGTAAGAAAAGGTCCAGTCCAGGAAAAAACGAGAAAAGGACAAGGAATCCTGCTAGAGTAGAAGAACAAGAATAACGGAAGCATTGTAAAGAGAAATCTCATAAAAAATGGGAGATGCAAAAGTGCAGCGAGATGCTGGAAGAATATTCTAGAAATGGGGCATCTTCTTGGGCAACTGGAAAGGATGCGCAGACAACAGCACAAGCTGTAGGAGCCTCAGAAGGAATGTGAGCCGCAGGCCAGTGAGCAGCACAAGCAGGTGGAGGTCACAGGGAAGTTGGTGTGTGAGACCACACAGAGAAGACACTGCCACTGTAGGGAGGACAACCACTGGAACCATGATCCACTGCGGCCACCCAAGACTGGGTTGGGCTGGAAGCTAGCCAGAAGCCCCTACAAGATAAGCTGGAAAAGACGATACTGGCTGTCCGGTTCAGTCTACCGGCAGCCAAGAAAGGAAACCCCCATCTGCCGAGTCTTCATCCACAGAATTTGATTCAGGCTGGCAGGAGGAAGAAAGGCAGCACCAGTGAAGAGTTGAGGGAGGAGAAGGAGCAGCTCTGAGATGGCCTCGGAACACACTGAATGAGGTGAGCTGGGGTGCAATGAGCAGGAGAGAGAGAGCTGTAGCCCAGCTATTTCAGACTCACAACTGGAACAAGGTCCCAGGGCAGATGAAGGGGATGAAGCAGCAGGAAAGGAGACAGTGCAGGGCAGCATCCAGCTGAGAGGGACTGCAGGCCTGACTCCCCAGCTGTGTCACCCCTAGAACTCCAGCAGGGGCTGCCACAGTGTGGAGAATCAGGATGGAGGAGACCTTCCAGGTGACTTACAGAGCAAACGAGATGAGATTGTGGCTGTATGGCAGTTGAAAATGGGGAAGGAGAAGGCAAGTTTCCCAAGCGCATCACTAAGGGAGATGCTCACTGACCTCAAGGTGCAGCACCATCACTGACAGACCATTATGGGTGGCTAACATGGACAAGATCTCCATTGTGATGAGCCATGCAGAACATGACCCCAGGAGCCTGACGGAGACCATGAAACAGCCCTACCTGCCAGAGTAGGCGAAGACCCTGAGCATCCAGCTGCTCTGAGGAGTGAAGCATCTATCCAACAGCTGGATCCTGCACCAAGACTTCAAGATATGCAACCTTCTGCTTAACCACGCTGGTACCCTCAAGAAGGGGGTGACTCTGGGCCGGCTTGTGAGTCAAGGTCCTCACTGGGGGCCTGCACCCAGCAGCATCATGCCCCCAGAGCTGCTGCTGGGTGCTAAGAAGTGCTCCAAAGCCAAACTGATGTGTTAACAGTGGGCTGCATCTTTGGGAAGCTCCTGACTTGGGATGTCAGACATGGATCCCACCAAGCCGCTTCAGGATCTGGGGACCCCAAGGGAGAAGATCTAGTCTGGCGGCACGGACCTCCCTGTAGTCACAGGATGAACCAATCTCCGTAACTGCCATGGGCCCTTGCTCTCAGGCCTGGGCTTTGATCTCACAAACAAGTTGCTGACCTACTTTCCTGGAAGGAAGATCAATACAGAGCATGTCCTCAAGCACAAGGATTTCCACGAGACACCCCTCTGCCACAGCCACTGAACACCTCCATGTTCTGCTTGTGGCCAGCAAAGAGTGAACCACAGAAGGCAAAGCACAGTGCAACTACACGGCCTCCCAGAACAGGCCGGGGCTACAGCCAAACAGGCAACAACAACCTGAAGGAGACCAGCTTCTGCCTCACCACTGCTAAGCAGGTGCCTCAACTGCAGGCTCTGGCTTCAGTCTCAGTTTTGAAACTTGGAGAGGACCCCTCCACTGAATGTGGTTTCTGCAGGGAGAGCTGCCACGAAAGAGGCCCAATTCTGGGGCTCTCGTAGTGACTCAACGAGCTAATCCTCAGCCTGTAAGTCCAGCATCCCATATGGGTAACAATATTGTCCTCTACTTCCAATCCAGCTTATAACCAGGGAAAACAGTGGAGGATGGCTCAAGTCCTTGGGCTTCTGCACACACAGGGAAGACCCAGAAGAGGAACCTGGCTCTCAACTTAAGCTCAGCTGCACTCTGGCTATTGTAGCCATTTGGGGAATGAACCAGTGAATGGAAGCAATTTGTCTCTCCTCTCTGTTAATCTGATATTTCAATATTTAAAAAAACTTTTAAAAAAATGCCCAATTCTGTAACAACACCTTTGTCTACTTTGATTTGTCTACTTGATTTTCCACATTTCGGTATTTGGAAACTTGTTGCCTGAAATATCATTTTTCTGGTGGAAAAATAAAGTAAAAATATCTTTGTATAAATGTTGTCAAACTGTAATTTTAAATACTCTAAATACCTCATCCAAATGTCTAAAGAAATTGAATATTCACAATGTCCATCACAAAGTAAGTTATAGTGCATGTGCTGAGATGAACATGCATCAAAGGAACAAATTCAAGGGAGCTAAAAAAGCTTCCTAAGGATGCAATAATTCCTGTAGACACTGTACTGCTAGGGCCCCAGAGGCATAGACCCCATGCGCAGCAGGCATTTCCCAAGAACTTTCTGAAGTGCCCTTGGGTGCTAACTGCTTCAGCTCCATATCTTGCAGGTAATCCACACTGATTCAAAGAATGCAGACATGGTACCCCGCCCCCCCCCCCCCACCCCTGCCTTTTGCAGAAGTAAGAAGAGGGAGGGTGGGACAGAGGGAGGGGAGAGAGAGAAGGAGGGCTAAAGGGGGGGAAGAGAGAGGAGAAATAAGAAGCTTGTTTAGAATTCATACCACTGTTAGTGACCACAGCTGGCACTGGAAGTGACCCCTGTCTGCAGAGCCCAGGCTCTCAGCTTCCACAAGGCACCCACTGAGTGAGGTGTCTTTCCTCCAACAGTTGCAGAATCCACTTACCTGAAGGTATTGTTTTGCTGGCCTCCACATGCGATGAACAGAGGATTCTCGGGTAGGAAGCAGTCACTGGGAACACAAAATGAGCGAGGCATTAAGTGGGATTCCATGTTGATCTGTGGGCATTTCCACTGCCTCCAAATGTCTGACGTGTCCTAGGTGGCAATGTGACAGAAGCACAGGCATCTGGCTACCAGCCTTTCCTCTCTTGACTAAGAGGACTGTCACAGAAACCGGGGCCTAATCATGTCACTGTGTGCGCATTTGATCCTTTTTAGGCCCATGTAAGTCTGCATTTCTCAGTTTCATTCTTTAGAAATTAAAATTCCGGGCCTGGCACCATGGCGCAGTGGTTAAGGTCCTCGCCTTGCACGCCCGGGATCCCATATGGGCGCCAGTTCTAATCCTGGTGGCCCCACTTCCCATCCAGTGGCCCAAAGCTTTGGGACCCTGCACCCGCGCGGGAGACCCTGAAGAGGCTCCTGGCTTCAGATCGGCATAGCATCGGTCGTTGTGGCTCACTTGGGGAGTGAATCATCGGATGGAAGATCTTCCTCTCTGTCTCTCCTCTCTGTATATCCGCCTTTCCAATAAAAATAAATCTTTAAAAGAAAAAAGAAATTAAAATTCCTAGGACTTCCATGATTTATTAGGTAATAAATATCCCCCACTTAGGGGTGAATGCTTTCCTTTAGGGGTTTCTACCAACTCTGAACAGAGCATGCAGGGAGTGGGAATCCAAATAAGAAGTACTGTAAAATGAAGGCAGCATTTAAGAAGAGGTGTTTAGGGGCTGGGACACGGCATAACAGGCTAAGCCTCTCCCTGTAGTGCCAGTATTCAAGTCATGGTTACTCCACTTCCAATCCAGCTCCTTGATCAAGCAGAAGCTGACCCAAAAAGGAGACCATGAAGAAGCTCCAGGCTCCTGGTTTCTGCCCAGCTCAACTCTGGCCATGGGAGCCCTCTGGGGAATGAATTTCCCTGTAAATCTGCCTTTCAAATAAAAATAAATCCTTAAAAATTTTCAATGCTTGGAGATCCCTGTTCTGAATAGGATGGAGCACATGGAACAAACAAAAGGAATGCTGGAAAGAATGCAGGAGGCAGCTGATGACAGGCCTCTTGCTCCTGTCTTCCCCAGAGCCAGCACTGAGCTGAGAGGTTCTCTGAATCCTTTACCAGAACTCTTATATTTTCATATTAAAAATGGTGTTCATGTTAGATCATTCCCCCCTGTCAAGTTGTGACTCATTAGGTCTCAAAAACAGATTTAAGGGGCTAGTGGTACCATTGCCTATAATGCCAGCATCCCATGTGGGTGCCAGATCAAGTTCCAGCTGCCCCACTTCCAATCCAGCTCCCTGCTAATGTGCCTGGGAAAGCAGCAGAGGATAGCTCAGTGCTTGGCTCCTGAACCAATGGGGGAGACTCCTGGCTCTTGGCTTTAGCTTGGCTCAGCCCTGGCTGTTGAGGCCATTCAGGTAGTGAGTCAGCAGATCAAAGACCTGTCCCTCCCCACTTCCTTCTGTAATTCTGTTAATTAAATTTTAAAAATCTTTTTAAAATGCCCAAGTGCCTGGGCTCCTGCACCCACCTTGGAGATGCAGATGAAACTACTGGCCTCAGCCTGATTCAACCTTGGCTGTTGTGGCTATTTGGAGAGCAAAGCAGTAGTTGAAAGCTCTCTCTCTCCACCTCTATCTCTTTAAAATGAATTTTGTTTAAAGTTTACTAGGTAGCCAATTACAGTCAAAGTTATCAAAGAATCTTGTCTCAACATACAGTTAAGATTCACACTAGTTTGACACAGGCAACACAGGTTGTAAGAGCAAAGCAGTCCAGTCCAATGTGTAATATTGTCCTGTGCCCTCTGCAGGCCAGGCCAGTCACACCCAAGCATCCTCTAGTCCTGGTCCAGAGCAGCCTCCCAGACACACACAGGCTCTTGTCCTCTCATGGCTCTGCTTTCTCCCCAGCCATTCCCGTGCCAGGTGCTGCCTGGAATGCTTTCCATCCAATTACTCTTCAAGACTGTTCAACACTGTTGTGTGCAGTGCTGCATATACCAGGGGATAGCTGGGAATAGGTTCTTAGGGCAACCCCAGCTCCCTCAAGCATCTAGTACAAGTCTGTGATGTCATGAAAATTGACTAGAGTTAGAAGTGAGGGGAGAGCCCAGCCTCCCCATTTTCCAGCACTTGGTCAGTTTCTGGTTGACACTTGCCCTTTGCTCACTGAAGAGAAGGAAGACCGGATTGGAGGACAGCTGGATGCCCCATTTCCACAGCAGGCTTGATCTTCCAACTGCACCCATTTCTGACCTTAGAGTATGGAGGAGGAGAGACCTGGGGTTCTGTTCACCTCCCCTCTTTCTGTTAGATGAAGCACCCTCTGGAGCCCTTCAATTGTGAGAGAAACAAAGGCCTACACCCCTGCTGCCAACTGCAGCAGGCATGCAGTGTGGGCACAACCACTCAGGAGCCAGTAAAGTGATACCCAGCCCCCACCTGGGCTCTCCCCAGGAAGCACATGGGGCACTCACGATGGAGGCAGGACTGAGCCATTTCTCACAATCCACTTATTTTGCAACATGTGTTTGTGTCCCTAAAGCATGAGATGTGGGTGCAACCAACTGGTTGGGAACTTTAGTTGACCGAGTTTCCATTCTTTTCCTCCTTGAATAGATTGGGCGAGCATTTCCTGACACTTTGTCTTGTGGTGATGCGATCAGTTGAAAAACCTGCCAGTTCTGTTGAGAATGGAGTCAAAGCAGGGAGTATTTGGGGTAAGACGCTAAATAGTAATTTACCTGGTCCCATTCTCCAACATATAGCTTGTTAGACGGTAAATATTAGTGGACCAAAATGCCATGTCATCCAGTCCTCCAAGGAAATATTCTTGGAATTGTTCCACCAGAAAAGGTGACTTTGTGGCAAAAGTAGAATAAAGCTATGGTCAAAGAGAAGGAGAAAAAAAGTAAGATATTATTCCTAATATTGGTGTTATTGAATAGATTTGGACAAGCAAAAGCTTTACCTTGGAAACAGCTAGTGCCTCACCGTACCTGCAGGGCAAACAGCAATTTTGATGGTAAGTAGCAGTTTCCCCAGAGAAATGAAGAAATACTTCACACACATTTGCACTATCCCATCACTGCATTTGAACAAACAAAACCCATGGATCCAAACACATCTACTCTGAGTAAACTAAAACTCAAAGTATGCTAACCAAGTCACAAAAGAGCAGGTGCAAACTTTCCTCCAGGTCACACTTACATCTCCCAGAACTGGAGGTATGAGCAGTCCAGAATCACTTTCTCGGTGATGACTTCTTTCCCATAAAGTTTCTCATAAATTCCTAGTAGGTCTTTGATGGGAACATACCTGAGAGATCCATTAAGATAGAAGTGTTACTTTGACTGAAGTCAATAACACAGAGCAACCACCATGATGATTATATGCCAGATCCCACAGAAAGGCCACTACATGCACCAGTCTTTTAATCCTACAAGTGATCCTGGGAGTTAATGTTACCATTTTTTTAAGTCTACTGATTTTATTAGTTTCAAAGTTAGACAGATCTATGGGTATACTTCCAAAATGTGTACAACAGCCAGGGATGGCCCTGGCTGAAGCCAGGAGCAAGGAACTCAATTCATGTTTCCCTTATGGTTGGCAGAGACCAAGTACTTGAGTCAGCAGCAGCTACCTCCTGCTCTATTTCAGCAGAAAGTTGGAATCAGAATTAGCAACCCAAGCAACATGTTAACTGCTACGCCAAATGCTAACCTTGGCTAGCATTGGCATAATCCCATTTTGCAAAACACAGGAAGATACCAAGCCATGCAGAAGTTAAAGAATGTACCTATTGGTGCAAAGTGAACAACTGGTATCTTAGTCATCTTAAAGATAGGAAACTCATATATAACTTTGTGAATCCAGACTTCAAGGAGCAAACTTTTCTTCTTTTCATTGGAAGTATTTATTAAGAATCATAATTTTAAGAATACCAAAACTGACTCCTTATCCCAGCATCCTCATATTAGAGCACCCAGCGCAAAGTGGTGAGAATTCCCAGTCAGGCCTCCTGTATGCATGTCAGCTCTCCAGATGACAGGGAGCAGGAGCTTAGCAATCAAGATTTCCACTGAATCATGTTTAAATCTATTTCAAAATCTTGGGAATATGAAAACATCTCAGCCAATAGAATCTGATTTTAACATGTTTATAAGAGAGGCAATTAAGTGTAAGAGTACCAGAATGGCCCTAGACAAAAATATTTGAGTGAATCACTAAGTTAGCAAGAAAGTAAAAATTTCCCCAAACTGAAAACAAACTGAAAAAATTTCCAAAGACTCAAAACAAACTGAAACTGGAACTCTGAGGGCCTGTGGGCCATGTAAGTCCATATAATCACTTAGTCTGTCCTTGTCAAGCCATCCATAGGTGGGTCTCAGAATTCAATCAATCTATAGAAGGCCAATTTTTGAGTGGGTAATTTTCTTATGACCCACAAATTATGTTCTAAGCATCCAAAGGCCCTGAGGGGAAGACAGACTCCCCATCCCAGCCTCGGGAGTAACCAAGTGGGAATCAGCTGTTGTTGGGAGGACATCTGCCCGACCCTAGGACATGGGGGCTGCTTTGGTATACAGGATAGATCGTAGGGACCATCTGAAATGACCCAACCCAGAGGAGAACCACTTCTCCACCAACTGCATGCTTTGCAATCAAGAACACAAAACGCCACCTCTTTTACATGAGGATGAACCACAAACAAACATAACATTCAAGCAACAACAGCACATAAACCTTCCTGGCTTTATCCAGCCACAGCTACAGAATTCTCAAAAGTACAACACAAAGAACCACCTTGAGAGCTTGCATGAAGAAAGTCTCTAGTCACAGTGAAGGCAGCCTCTATGAGATTACTAACAGATCTCTCAGCAAAAGCCTTGCAAGTCAGGAGTGAGGGAAGGCAATGATCAATTCCAGGTTCTGAAGAAAGAATTGCCAACCAAGACTACTACACCCAGCAAGATTAGCTTTCATAAGTGAAACAGACATTTTCTAGAAAAGAATTGAATCATCAGCTCTAGATGAGGTAGAGAATGCTACCTACAGAATTAACAGATTGTTGGGGGCACTGACCATTTCCTGCCCTGTGATTGGCCCTTTGCCCTGATTGGTGTGCCTTGGTTATCTTTAGGCTGATTGGACAAGTTTGACAGATAAGCAGGGGGCTTGGCGGGGGAGGGGCTGGAGCATACGGTCATAACGGTCACAACGGAAGATCGGAATAAAGCGCCTTGGAGACTCTCAAGTGTGTCGGGTGATTTCTTCCGCGGGATGGGAGGACCCCCGATAACAGATAGCTACCATTATGAAAATATGGAACAATGGATATATAAAGAGCAGATTTTAAGATGACAAAACTAATCATCTTGAAAGTAAATCAAATAAAATCCCCAGTTACAGATGGTTGAATGGACCAAAAAATACCAACCATATGTTGCCTACAAGAAACTCATTTCACTAGTAGAGGCACACAGAGATTGAAAAGGCTGGAAAAACAGCCCGTGAAAATGGAAACCAAAGGTCAATGGGTACAGCTCCATTTCCTTCAGACAAAAGAGGCATTAAGACAGAATGGGGACCAGCCTTGTGGTATCGGCTATGCCCACTGCGATACATCACAGGAGAGACCCAGCTGCTTCATTTCCAACCAGAAGATGGCTCAAGTGCTTGGACCCCTAATGGGAAACCCAGAAGAAGCTCCAGACTCCTCAGCTCCAGCCTTTGTGGCCAACTCCAGCCTTTGTGGCCATCTGGGGAGTGAACTGGCAAGTGAAAGAATTCTGTCTCATCTTCCTTCCTTATAGCTCTGACTTTCAAATACAGATATATTAGAAGGACAAGAAACATAAAAACATTAAACCTGAAAGGAGAAGCAAACACCAGTACAGTGATAACAGGGAAACATCCAATTGTCATACAGGTCATTTAGACCAAAAGAAAAGCCAACAAACATTGTGGAGAGCGGAGCTGCGTCTCAAAGATGGCACTTGTTGATCATTGCTTCGTGGCACAAAGGTGGTAAGCAGGTTTCGGGAAGTTACTGAGAATTGGGCCGAGCACGCAGGGAAGCTACGTGACCTAAGTCATGATTGGTGTGCTTACCACATGATATGAGGAGCTGTGTATGGATTGATTTGTGTAATGTAAAAAGGTCTGGCTTAACAAGTTAAGTCACCACCTGCAGTGTTGGCATTCCATGCGGGTGCTGGTCTGAGTCCTGGTTCCACCACTTATTGTCCATCTCTTTGCTAATGTACCCGAGAAGGCAGCAGAAGATGACCCAAATGCTTGGGTCCCTGAACACAAGTTGAAGAACTGTAGGAAGTTCCTGGCTCCTGGCTTTGGCCTGGTCTAGTCCCAACCATTGCAGCCATTTGGGGATTTGGGGAATGGAATCAGCGGATGGAAGATGTCCCACTGCTGTAACTGCTGTTCAAAGAAAAAGAAAAAATAGCCCAAGGGAAAAAAAAATCCCAGGATAAAATGGCATCATTGATTTTTACAAACTTTAGAGGAAGAGCAATTCTTCAGAATATTTTTTAAAATTAAGTTTGAAAGGCTTTTGTATTTTTCATTTTACAAGGCTGATACTACTTATTCTGAAACTGGAAACACAATAGATAAATTATGTTAACTAGTAACACTTAATAAACAGATACAAAAAATCCTCAAAACACCACTAGTTCCAAAAACACATTAAGAAAAGAATGCATTATGACCAAATGGAATTTATTCTGGGGATGCCACAGATGGGTCAGCATGCACAAATATAATACATCACATTAACAGAATTAAACCATGATCATCCAAAAAATTTCAGAAAAATTTTGATTATATTCAACACACATCTAAGTATAGCAGAACCAAACCTCAATATAGCAAAAGTTGTATGTGACAAACCAACAAGTAATTTCATACTGAATAAATATAGGCTGGAAGATTTTCCTCTAGTGGACTAGCAACATGCCACAGCAAATTAAGCCACTGCTTGGAACACCAGCATCCCATACTAGAGTGTTGGTTTGAATCCTGGATGCTGTATTTTTACCCTGCTGCTTGCAATTGACCTTGGTAAGTCAGAAGATGGCCTACATGTTTTGGATTCTGCTGTCCACAAGGGGGACTAGTATGCAGTTCCTGGCTCCAGCCCAGCTCAAAGCTGGCTGTTATGGTTACCTGTGAAATAAACCACTGGCTGGCAAACTGATCCATAGATTGACCTCTCTCCTTCCCTGTCACTTTAAGATTTATTTATTTTTATTGGAAAAACAGATCAGATTTATGGAGAGGAGAAACAAAGATCTTTTATCTGCTGGTTCACTCCCCAAATGGCTGCAATGGTCAGAGCTGAGCTGATTCAAAGCCAGGAACCTCCTCCATGCCTTCCACATGTGGGCAGAGTTCCAAAGCTTTGGGTCATCCTCGACTGCTTTCCCAGGTCACAAGCAGGGAGCTTAATGGGAAGCAGAGCAGCCGGGACATGAACCGGCACCCATTTGGTATGATGGCATTTGTAAGGTGATGAGTTAGCCATTGAACCATTGTACCTTTCACTCTTTAAACAAATCCTTAAAAAACAAAAGGATTTTCTTTAAAATCTGGAATCAAACGTGTCAGTCTCACAGCTCTTCCTTAATGTGGTACTGGTGGTTTTGATCAGAGCAATTAGAGAATAAAAGTCAAACAAATAGGAAAGGAGGTAGTAAAATTATCTATTTTCAGGTGATGCCATTTGATAGAACAATCTATACACCAAAATACTACTAAAAGTGACAAATTTGGTAAAGGTACAAAATCTACTCAAAAATCATAGCATTTATATACCAATAACAAATTCACTAAGAAATAAGAGCCTATTCATAATAGCTTCAAACATGCATACAATATAGTAGAGAATACATTTAAAGAATGTGAAAGACATCCACAATGAAAATTCAAAGCACCAATGAAATAATCAAGAATATAATGAAATGGAACGAGCTCCCATGTTCATGGGTTAGAATAAAAAACTTCATACTACCCAAAACAATTTATAGGTTCAAATGCATTTCTGTTCAGCACACCAATAATTCACAGAATTAGACCACAAAATCCTAAAATTCACATGGAGTCAGACCTTGAAGAGTCAATGTTTTGTTTTGTTAAAAAAAAGACTACACTTGCAAGTCAGGCGCAGAGAGAGCAGGGCAAGAGGAAGAGAACAATAGAGAAATAAGACCATTCCAGTTCATTGGCTCATTTCCTAAATGCCTACCACAGCAGGAGCCAAAGCCAGGAACCAGAAGTAATATCCAGGTCTCTCGGGTGCATGGTGGGGAGCCACATTTGTGGCTTCCAGGATCTGCACCGGCAAGAACCGGAGTCAGGAGTGGGAACCAGAAATCTAACCTGGACACTCTTATGGAATTCAGGCATCTTTGCCACTAAATACCAGTTCCATTCCCAAATAATCTTGAACAAAAAGAAGAAATCTGCAAGTGTCACAAATCTTGATTTCAAGGTATACTGCACAACTGTTGTAACCAAAACAGCATAGAACAGGCACAAAGACCAAAAAAGAAAAAAAAAAAAATCAATGGTACGTGATGGAGATTTCAGAGATTAATCCATGCATCCACAGCCAATGATTCTCAAAAGCACCAAGTAGAGAAAATAGTTTCTTTAGTAAGTGATGGTGGAGAAATTGGGTCTCTAGATGTATAAGATTGAAAGAAGACTGACTACCCACATAAAAATCAACTCAAAATGCAAAGACCTACAGGTGAGATTTGGAAGCATGAAACTACTAGGAGAAAAGACTCTTAGACATTAGTACAGGAGATGACTCTTGTGATAAAACTCTAAAGCATGGGGGGGGAGGAAGAGCACAGGCAACAAACAGACAGGATTGTTGTCAATAATAAAGAAAATTCTGCATAGCAAATAACAAAGAATAAATGGTAGAATGGGAGGAAATATGTCTAAACAATGCCTCTGACAAATGACATATCCAGAATATATAGGGAACATGCAAAAAAAAAAATCAACAGTCCAGTTTAAGAAATGGCTCTGCACACATTTCTCAAAATAAGCACAAATGGCCAATTAATATGAGGAAATTATTCATGTCAAAAGCCATCAGGGAAATTCGTATCAAAAGTAGACAGGCCCTCCTATCACTCCAATAAGAATGGCTATCATCAGAGGGTATAAATAAAATTGCCAAGAAGGTCAGAGAAAATGGAATGTGCACACACTATTGTTAGGAATGCAAGTTAGTAAAGTTCTCCAAGCTGCCTTCACCAAAACTAAAAATAGATCTACCACATGACCCAGATATCCCACTTCTGGGTATTGATCAGAAGGAAATGAAATTATATCAGCATATCAAGAGATACCTTCACTCTCACATTCACTGTAGTGTTGTGTACAACAGCCAATATATGGGATTAACCCACATGTCCATCAACAGATGACTGGACAGAACAGCACAAATTAGTCATAAAAAATAAGATTGGGACATGTGCTGCAAGATGGATTAAACTGGAAGTCAGTAATACATGTTCTGTCTCCTTTGGGGAAATTAAAGTTGACTCAGGGTAAACAGCTTGAAGTTGAGATGTTGCTTACTTAGGACACCAGCACCCTATGTGTTAGTACTGGTCCAAGTCCCAGCTTTGCTCCCAATTCTAACTTTCAGCTTATGCATGCCCTGGGAGATAGCAAATAATGGTCTGAATACTTAGATTCCTGTACAGGAGACTCAGATTAAATCCTGGCTGTTGCAGGCAGCCGAGAAAAAGCATTAGACACTCTCAGGTTGTGTGAGTCTATCTCTCTGCATTTCAAAAATAAACTAGAACATGGTTCACCTGAACTTAGAAGAGTTATTACTAGAGGTTGGTGAGGGTGAGTGGCAATGGGGCAGGATGGGTGTGCATGGAAGGTGATTAGTAACAAGGACAAAAACACATTAGATAGAGTTAACTGCAATAGTTTTAAAAAGATTTATTTTCACCAGAAAGACAGATGCACAAAGAGGAGAGTCAGAGAAAGATCTTCCATCTGTTGGTTCACTCCCCAGATGACAACTGAGCCAATCCAAAGCCAGGAGCCAGAAATGTCCCCCTAGCCTCCCACTTATATGCAGCATCCTAAGGACATAAGCCATCCTCTGCTGCTTTCCCCAGGTCACAAACAGGGAGCTGGATGGGACGTGGAGCAGCTGGGACACAAAACAGTGCCCATATGGGATGCCAGTGTTTGAATGTGAATATAAACTGCTCATAGCAATAACCATGTAGAAAGCAAAACCATGTAAAACTAATATTGATGGACATAGAAGTAAAGTGCATTTATACATTGAAACATACAGCATATCAATGCTATTCTCAAAAATAAGAACTATGTTGCAGTGCAGCAGACTATACTACCAATGTGATGTTGGCATCCCAAGCACCAGGTCGAGTCATGGCTATTCCACTTCTGATCCAGCTTCCTGCTAGTGTGTCTAGGAAGGCATGGCAAGATAGTCCGAGTGCTTGGGCTCCTGCCTCCCATGTGTCAGGTCCAGATGGGATGCAAAGCTTTTGGCTGTTATCAGGCCCAGCCATGGTCACTGTCATTTGAGGAGTGAATCAACAGGTGGAAGATGTCAGTCTCCCTCTCTGTTGCTCTGCCTTTCAAATAAATCATTTAGATTTTTAATCAAGGGGGCACAGTGTCATGGCACAGCAGGTAAAGCCACCACCCATGATGCCAGCATCCTGTTTGGATGTCAGCTCCAGTCCCAGGTGCTCCACTTCTGATCCAGCTCCATGCTAGCAGCAGAGGATGGTCCACATGCTTTAGACCCTGCATCCTGCATTCATGTGGGAGACATGGAAGAAGCCCTGGAGGATGTGCCCTGTGTAGTTTCCCTTCCTGAAGAAATAGTGTTACCGACATCTTAGAATTCTCAGTTTCCCTTTCTAATCAAATTCCCTTGGCTCCCACCAGGGATAACCATTTTCTTAGTTTCCATGCCAACCATTGTTGCTTTTCTCCATACATTCATTACATATGCACTGGCGTGCAAAATTATTTAGTTTGTCAGCTTAGATAAAAGGAATTATAGTATATAATTTTTTTTTACTATACTTTAAAAGCTTACTTAAAAAGTAGAGTTAGCAAAATCTGCATACCATATGACCCAGCAATAGCACTCCTAGGAATATATCCAAAACACCTGTTTTACGACAAACCAACATGCATCCCTATGTTCATAGCAGCACAATCAGTAATTGCAAAAACATGGAAGCAACCGAAATGCCCATCAACAGAAGATTGGATAAGAAAGCTTTGGTTCATCTACTCCATGGAATACTACTCAGCTATTAAAAAAAACAAAATGCAGTTCTTTGTGGCTAAATGGGCCCAACTGGAAACTATAATGCTAAGGGAAATGAGCGAATCCCAAAAGGTTAGATATCACATGTTTGCCTTGATTTAACCTGTAATTTTTGTTTGGTTGTTTGTTGTTATTTTTTGAACCTGTCATTGATACTGTCTCAACCCAGATGTTTTGAAGAATGGAACTTGCATTATTTTTAACATATTGTTTACTCAATACTATGTCAATTAATTCCATAATGTTGCATATTGATACTGAGGTTTTGTTGGGGCTTTTAACTGACCGGAACTTTATTCTGTTAGCTCTACCTTCAGACCAGAGAAGGTCTCCCCAAGAGGCCACTGAACTTATCTGGACAATAAGACGCTGGACTTTATGCTAGGTATATGCTTACAATGAAGGAATCTCAACTGAACTTGAACTGTGGTCATACAGCAAGGTGGAGGAATCCACTATGGGGGGAGGCGTATGGGAGGGGTGGGGGGAATCCCCAGTGCCTATAAAACTGTATCACATAATACAATGTTAATAACAATAAAAAAAAAGAAAAGTATCCCTCAGAGCAGCAAGCGTCAGTATTAGCAATAAAGTATAACTGAAATCCAAAAAAAAAAAAAAAAAAAAAGTAGAGTTAGAGAGAGGGAAAAACAGATCTTCTACCCACTGGTTCACTCCCCAAATGGCTGCAAAGGCCAGGGCTGGGCCAGGCCAAATCTAGGAACCAGGTCTGCCACATGGGTACAGGGCCACAAGCACAGAGACTAACCTCCACCGTTCTCAGGTGTACTAGCAGGGAGCTGGTTCAGAAGTGGAACAGCAAGGACTTGAACCAGTGCCCACATGGGATGTCAGCACTGCCGGTGCCAGCCCGATAAATACACATTTTTATAGGCTTGGAATGTTTGTTTTCCAAAAATCTACTTGAGACTACTCTAATTTGTAATTTGAATTTTCAAAACTTGCAAAGGCACTAAAAAAAAAAAAAAATCTCATGACCCAGCAGTCTTACTACTGGGTATACAACAGAAAGAAATGAAGTCAGCATAGCAGAAAGATAGCTGCACTGCCACACTTATGGCAGCCCCATCCACAGTAACCTAGATATGGTATCCACCACAGGGTCTAGCAACAGGTAAATGGACAACTGAAGTGCGCGCACACACACACACACACACACGAGAACACAAGTCACTGCCAGAACAGACAAGGAAATCCCATCATTTGCAAGACCATGAATGAACCTATAAAACATACTAAATGAAATAAACCTGGCATGGACACACAGATCTCTCATGATTTCATTCACATGGAAAATCTGGATTAGGAAATTGATCTCACAGTAGAAAATCAGGCCAGGGGAGTATGGGGGAGAAGCTGAAACGAGCTTGTTCAACAGGTACCCAGCCGTAATGTGAAGGGAGCAGAGCAGTGATGATAGTCATGTATATTACTGTATATTTCAAAGGAGCTAGAAGAGGATTTTGAACCTTCCAGCAAAGGTTCTATCATTTCTAACATCTTATTTCTACAAGTGATGTTTGCATTGATAGACGCTAATATTCTTAATCTGATCAGTACACATCATACTCATATCAAAATACCATATTCTATCCCATAGATATGTAGATTATGCTCTCATTAAAAATAACGTAGATATTTACAAATGCACAAGACTAATTATGGTAGATGCTGCATTTTGTAAAGCATCAAAGCCCCACATGCCATTCAGAAATCCCATATATAAACAGACATGGTTCTTACCAGCGTCGTGCCAGGTAATTAAAATTAAACTCAAACTGGCTCACCACATCTCCACCTACAGTGAGAAAAATATTGACATTGGATGGATGAATAAGTGACAAACAGGGTGCTTAGTCCAACAGTTTTCACAAACCACATTATTGGCTCTTCATGTTCGCAAATGTTTGAGATGTACTTGTATCTAAAATAGAAGATTGCTTTAAAAATAAAAAAACTAAGTCTTAGCTAGTAAAACTTATTAAGAAAGATCATCCATATAAACAAAGGGGTTATTTTTGGTTTTGTTTTTTTGCCTTAAGAGAGACCCTAAAAGTTTAAATACAATTCAATATCTAGTTGTGTATTTAAAAGAAAATTTCTGGGGCCAATGTGATGGTTCAATCAGCTAATTTTCTGCTTACAAGTGCCAACATCCCACACGGACATTGATTCATGTCCCAGCTGCTCCGCTTTCCATCCAGCTCCCTGCTTATAGCTAGGAAAGCAGTGAAGGATGGCCCAAAGCATTGGGACCCTGCAACCACGTGGGAGACCTGGAAGAAGCTCCTGGTTTTGGATAGGCTCAACTCCGGCCATTGCAGCCATGTCAGGAGTGAACCAATAGGTGGAAGATCCTTCTGCTCTTCCTCTTTGTAAATCTGCCTTTCCAATAAAATTTTTTTGAAAAATAAACTCCATTATCTCTTGTTACAAGTTAGCAATAAAAACCAAGTATTAGGTAATTAGCAGGTTCCAGCTATTGAATTTTCATCAAGTATAAAAGTAGGTTTCAAGAACCATAGTAGAGCAGGCTAGTTTTCCTGCTGTGACACCAGCATCCCATATGGACACCGACTTGAGTCCTAGCTGCTCCACTTCCTAACCAGCTCCCTACTTATGGCATAGGAAAGCAGCAGAGGATGGCACGCCCTTGGGCTCCCTGCACCCACATGGGTGACCCAGAGGAAGCTCTAGGTTCTTGGCTTCAGACCGGCGAGCCTAACTCTGGCCATTTCAGCTATTTGGAGAGTGACTTAATGGTTGGAATACCTCTTTCTCTCTGCCCTTCCTTTTCTCTAATTCTACTTTTCAAACAAAACTAAATACATCTTTAAAAAGCAAAGTTTTCTGAGATGATAGAATTCAATCAAAATAGTTTTGAAAAAACATGCAGAAACAACTACCTAGGCATAGATGTATTAAAAGAAGGATGCATGTAATGCATTAAAATAGGCCACTGAGAAAATATTTTAAAATGTTTGCCATTCAGTAGCGAGTTCATTGTATGGTCACTAGAACTATCACAGCAGAAAACCTGGCAGGTGTAAATAAACAGTACCAAAATCGCCAGCCGAATGAGCCTCAGGGTAGGAGCCGTGAAAATCAATCTGAGAAAGAAAGAGAGTCACCTGTAGATCACAGTCCATGCCCAGCCCTCAGCCCGCAACGCAGCACCCAGGGATGCCGACAGCCTAACGCCGGAGCGTCATGACGACACCCATGGGATTCAAACATTTTGCCAGTGAAAACCCAAAAATGATATTCACAAATGAGTTAATACTAAAGCCACCTAGAGCAATTGTGCCTCCCAGGGTAAGTACCCAATTGGAGTTCTCAGTCTTTTCCACGGATGTTCAAACTTGGACTCATTTTATACATAACCTGTAAACAATAGCTTTATGGGCCCATGTGGTGGCATATCAGGCTAATCCTTTATCTGTGGCACTGACATCTCAAATAGGCACCAATTCAAGTCCCAGCTGCTCCACTTCCCATCCAGCTCCCTGCTAATGTGCCCTAGAAAGCAGCAGAGGATGGCCCAAGTCCTTGAGTCTTTGCATCCAGAATAAACTCCTGGTTCCCACAGCTTTGGATTATCCCAGCTCTGGTCATTGTAGCTATTTGGAGAGTGAACCAGCAGATACAAGAGCCATCTCTCCACCCCCTCTTTCAAGTAAAACAAATCCTTTAAACGATAATTCTATAATAATGGAATATAAACTATTGACCAGAAGGACCTCCTAAGGTCATAATTTTAAGCTTGAGAAAATGTTTATTTTCATGTAGAAAAATTTATCACAAAAAAGGAGAGCTATTACTTTTAAACAAAGTGGCTAGTATCCCTAACCTTATAGAGACACACACCTTGAATAATACAACTTATCAAATATTGTTTGCATCTAAATCACAGATCTCACTGCCTTTCACGCACATTGATCATCTGCCCTGTGGATGAATTTACCCAGGGCGCTAGAATGGGAAAAGATCACCTTAAACCATACATGGCTTCACATGACTTCAGATGAGAAGTCTCATTCCCACCTGTGACACATGACTTCTGAATAATCTTTATTCTTTCCAAAGACATCCTCTTCCCTCCAACCCCCCACCCCTGCTTTTTGGAGCTTGAGAAATCACACCAGGATAGCCATGAACCATGAAGTCACAAACTCACATCTCCCATTGTCCTCAGGAATCCTTGTTCGATACCCAGGCTATGCCAGCTAACATCTGCCACCATGTGGGAGGTGATTCCAAATAAGAAAGCCACCAACTTCTCCGTGTCCTGCCAAACAAGCCATCGCAGTCAACCAACATGTGGCTAAATTTCTATCCACACTACATTTTTTCATAAATAGTTTCATCTCCACTACAGATTTAATCTATCACAGGCAAGTATGTCTAATTTCTAGTTACCATGAACTACAAAGGACAGTGGTAAATGTTTTGGCAGTACCTTAAGAGTGCTTTCAAATTAATTCCCATTGGACATACCCTTTCATCTTTATTAACGTAGTAAAGAGTTAATTAGCTATCTACTATATCCCAAGCACTATGTCTGGCATGGAAGGTACCACAGTTGGGGGGAGGAGGGTCCAAATGTAATACAGTAGGCATGGAAACTGTTTGGCAGGACTGGGGCTGGTCTTGGGGTCTGAGGTGCCTACCTTGTCCCAGGGTAAGGGATAGTTCTCATGGATGTAATGAATGCTTGCATTGAGGAACGGCGTCCAGTGAGTGCTCTCCGATACATCATGGAACTTTCCTGCAGGAGCAAAAGCCAGGCTCTGAGTTCCTTCCTAAAAATCAAGACCTCCCAACAAATCCCCCCCGACCACCTACTTCACTGCCATCTGCTTGATCCCTTCTCCAAACCCCTGGGACAGTCACAGAAAGCTCTAGAACAGGTAAGCCAGCCCAGACTCTGGGACAGGTATGGCCTTGGCTGATACCACAAATCCTAGTGCATGCACGGCCTGCATCACCTACAGCAAGGTGAACGCGTTTCCATGTCTGTACCCTCAAACTGAGGTGGTAAGTATTGGCTTTTGGGTTCTTCAAGGTTTCTGTTTGATATCTTGCAACAGGAATTTGGGCTGGAGGTTAGGACAGCGGTTAGCCCAGCTCTGCCCCAAAGCCCAAGCTCTCAAGCCAAGGCCAAGTCAGGTCTGTTTCTGATCCTGTTTGTGATGACAACAACAAGGGCAACTGGAACAGAGTGTAATTAACTGTTAGGTAAACCAGTGCAACATCACTATAAAAGCTGAGATTCTCCTTTGGCAACCAAATACCCAGGGAAGTTAAGTTCTTTCAAAAGCTGCAGTAACAGTGAATCGCCAAAGGGAAAGAATGGATGAATCAGACACATCTGAGATGAAAGAGTTTGGCAATAGTCATAAAAATCTAGGAGGATGCTGTATTTAATCATCAAAAGGAACTCATGTGCAGCATAATTCTTTCCGATAGGTCTCTTTATCACACTGATCCTAATCTTCATGTCACATAAGGAAGTACCTATTGCTTCATAGACACATCGCAGTTTACACGGCTTTTTCTCTCACAACCTTTATCATTGTGGTTGTGTTTGTCACTAGACATGGCAAACATTAAGCAACGTATCTCTAATTTGGTCAAAATAATCCTTTTGCTTTCTTTTTCATGTATCAAGGGAGCATTATGACAAAGGTATAATATAGCCCCTATGGATACAGTTTGGAAAAATGCTAGAATGAGAGTATGTTAAAAGGACAACTGAAAAATGTAGGCAAAATAATAGGACTGCAGTAGTTATTAACAAAGAGGAAAACAGAAAAGAAAAATCCTCATAAATGAGAAATATAAAAGCTTAGATGCCAGGGATCCTAAGCCACAAATAGCCCTGGGGTTCACCAACTGAAAGCATTTGTGTTAAAAGAATAAGAAAATGGAAGGTGACCTCTAAATGAGAACTGTCCCAAGAAGACCATGCATGCTGGTGGTTTTCAGTCACCTCTAGGTATTCACTCTCCATCTGCTGCCATCCCGTAAGGTCAGTGAGGTCACCTGCCTCAACTGGCTTCTTGATCAGTTTCTTGTCTTTGTTTCGTTGGACTTCGCCAACAGAAAGAATCAGCAGGTAATCAGAGAAAAGACAAAAAGGGAAGTTGGGGTGCTTGGTCTTTCAGTGCTCCTTCTATGGGGTTGTGCTGGATGGCTGGGTTCCTGAGCTGCCTTCTCCATGTAGAGCTCTCTGGCCACAGCTCCAGTAATCCCTGCCCCCTGCACTATCCATGTAATTTTATAGAAAAGGATGCACCCACACCTTCGAAAACAGTGTTCTTATCACGTGCTCCTCAAGTTGCTCAGCTTCAAAGTGTACCTACTGTGGCCTGCTGGGCCTCAAGGTCACTTAGGCTATTTAAAAGGAACAAACATTTCTTCTGACCTCTTGCAAAATGCTTCTCTTATGCCGCAAAGCAGTAGAAACTTCAAATGGCTTTCATCACACACACACACACACACACACACACACACACACACTCTCTCTCTCTCTCTCTCTCTCTCTCTCTCTCTCTCTCTCTCACAGCAGCAGCAGCAAAAACACAAAACAAAACCCCTTTTCAGCTTCTGTGCTTAAGCAGGTACATTTTGACTAAATGGAAGATACAGCCATGTGGGCTAGGTCAGTGAAATGCACAGTATCAAATATTTTTAAAATAACAACCATTCCCATTAACTAAGTAGAAGTGACACTGTTGGGCTGCAAGATGTCACCTCACCTCCTTTGCAGATACTGGGGTAGAAACAGTCAGGAAACACAGTTCCAGCCTGATATGCATCCCGGTGCTCGAGCAGCAGCTGAGAGGAAAACACAGGGTCAGGGAGGCAGATAAACGAGCTGGGCACTGCAGAACCCATGGCCCCCAACCAGGAGACCCCAGCACCGTGAGGATGCTAACGGGCAGGCAGTCACAAACAACAGAAATTCATTTGAGATCCAAATGCTACAACACAAGACTCCAGGTTCTTTCCTACCAGACAGGATAATTAGGAAGTACCTACAATCACTTTTTTAAAAAAAGATTTATTTTTATTATTTTTTTATTGGAAAGGCGGATATACAGAGAGGAGAGAGAGAGGAAGATCTTCCATCCGATGATTCACTCCCCAAGTGAGCGCAACGGTCGATGCTATGCCAATCCGAAGCCAGGAGCCTCTTCAGGGTCTCCCACGTGGGTGCAGGGTCCCAAAGCTTTGGGCTGTCCTCGACTGCTCTCCCGGGCTACAGGCAGGGAGCTGGATGGGAAGCGGGGCTGCTGGGATTAGAACCAGCGCCCATATGGGATCCCGGGCGTGAAGGTGAGGACCTTAACCACTTGCGCCACCGCGCCAGGCCCTACAATCACTTTTTAAAATTTTTCGTAATGCAGTTCCTTAAGCTCAGGAATTTCCTTTTTTTACCCTTGGTGCTACTGTTTTTCCCCCTATCATAATGCAGTCCTTCAGCAACAGCCACAACGCCATCATTTTATTTCAGTGTATCAGGACTACATTTTGTCCCCATTATATTCTGTCCACTCAATAGAATAGGATTTCCTTGATGCTACTTTACTGACCCAAAGCTGGCTGGTGACAAGAGGATTCACAGGTGAGAAAAACACAGCTCTATGTGAGGGCTCCCAAGAGTCCATGGACAATGGCTGTCATCTTTTCAGGTTCCAACTCTAAGAATGCAGATAGATAACATCTGTATGTATACACTCCCTTAGCATCACCACCTGTGGTCTACCACAAGATTAATTCTTTTGTGCTTTTAGAATTACCATAAATTTTGTTGTTTGAGATCACATTTAAGAAGTATTTGAAAGGCAGCTCTTAGAGAGGAGAGACAGAGGTCTTCCATTCTCTGGTTCACCCCCCAGATGGCCACAATAGCAAGAGGTGGCAGAAAAGTTTTTTAAATACATACACTTGGAAATACATTTAATGCAGGCCTGGTACAGTACCCTCATAGATAAAGTCCTCGCTTTGAATGTGCCAGGAACCCATATGGGCACCAATTCGTGTCCCAGCTGCCTACTTCCCAACTAGCTCCCTGCTTGTTGCCCAAGAAAGCAGTAGAGGATGGCCTAAAGTCTTGGGACCCTGCACCTGCGTGGGAAACGCAGAATATGTTCCTAGCTCCTGGCTTCAGATATGGCTGGAGCTGAGCCTTGCAGCCGCTTGGGGAGTAAACCAGAGAATGGAAGATCTTTGTCTCACATCCTCTCTGTATATCTGACTTGCCAGTAAAGGTAAATGTATCTTTAAAACATTATTTAATTCCATTAACAAGTTAAAAATTAAAATGTCAATACTGTAACAAAGTACCAACAGTACCTATGGAATTGCCAAAGATGAAACAGAAAAAAGTGTGGAAGCAAACCTGAAGATAGTTTTGAAGAAACTCAGTTTGAGCATTTAAGGCTATTTACCCTTGTGATACTGTGTCTTGAGCTCCCTCCACAGTTCTTGATCCATAACTTCCAAGACCAGCCATAGAAACTGGAATTTCTTGAGGATGGTGCCATGATGTATTAAGTTAAACATCCACTTGTAGCACCTACATTCCATTGGGTGATAGTCCATGTCCTGGCTGTTCCACTTCCTATCTAGTTCCCTGCTTATAGCCTTGTAAAGCAGCAAAGGATGGCCAAAGGCCATGGCCCTATAACCACAGAGACCTGGAGGAGTCACTGGGCTCTTCACTTCAGATTGCCTCTGCTCCAGCCATTTGGGAAGTGAGCCAGTGGATGGAAGATCTGTCTTCTCTCTGTAAATCTACCTTTGCAATAAAAAAATACATATTTTTAATCCTAGATCTCTCCTCCCCAAGACAGGTCTGAGAAACATTACTCTTCCCCTGCCTTTTTTTTTCTTGGTGTTGGCCATGGGAAATGCACTGACCTCACTTGTCTGATGGGCAATTTAAGACCCCCATTTCAGGAACAGACCCTGCCCTATTCAAGGGAGGATTGCTGCATAGCGATGGCAAGAAGAATCCGAACAGCAGGAACTGGCCGAGTTCACCCAGTCTTTGGATTGCATCCCTTTCATCCAATCACATATTGACACAAATGTTCATGCTCTAATCATGTCTAAGCAATAAAGAACTTTCCATAAGAACCCCAAAGGATAGAGCTCAGAGCACTCTGGCAGCTCATTGCCCTGCACCTATGTGGGAATCCTGGAAGCACTTCTGGTTCCTGTCTTCCAGCTTTGATTAGCTATTATGGCCATTGCAACCATTTAGTAAGTGAGCCATTGGATGGGAGACTGTTCTCTCCTCATTCTAAAAATTCTGCTTTTCAAATAAAATTGAAATGAAGGCCAAGAATGGGATGATAGTGCTATTTCAGTGCTATTATGTCCTAGTTAAATTCTGTAGGACAACATCCTTGTTTTTAAGGACTACCAGGTGCCAAACTGACTAGCTAGCTAGTCTCAAATGGTTCAGGGTAAGAGCACTACATACAAAGGGAGAAGATGAAAAAACAAACACGGTAACCAATCAACAATCGGGCAAGCTGTACAGAAGGAATATGCATATTTGTCCTAATTTCAACTTCTCTCTGCTTCAATGTGTTTGGAACATATAGTAGATTCTATTATCCTGCCTTCCACACTGTGTTGTCCAGTAATAGTCCAATCCAATTCAGATTTCATGAAAAATTTCAACTTAACTACTCTCAGAAATTTTAGGAGTTAACTTTGTCCCAACAAGCTATTCAATTACAGCACAAGAAATGATGCACATAGTACAAGTGGATTGAACTAAAGGCGGCTAAAAGTGACCCAGACTACTCTATTGTGAATTACCGATTCATAAGATCACCCTTCTCCTGGTAAAGTCATTTGTGTGCAATAGTTACAAAAAGTGGAAAATAATTTTAATTATAAGCTATCAAAACATGCCATTTAAAATATTTTATATGCTCCTCATAACTAACCAATTAAAATTAATATTTAACATTTAAAGCATCTATACTTTATGCATACGTAAAACTTTCAAGGAACACATGGGACTTGGGTGGGAGGGGGGAGACAGACCTCTTTAACTCATAATATTTTACAGATATAAAAATTGCTTCCAAAACTGACCATTTACTATGATATTTCTCAGCAACAACAAAGGAAAAGTAATGCCCCCAAATAGAAGAAAAAGTCAAGCTTTATACCTCTTTGTAGTTAATATGCCCTTCTGGAAGGTGGACAAACTCCAGAGCTCGGTGTCCTAAGGAAAGTAAGTCAGTCAGTTGAGTTCAACTGCAGCTGAGAACAGAACTTACTAGAGACCATTTTCAAAGATACATAAATTCAGTTGTCAACTGTCATGAGAGCAGGAAGTTTGTTCTCACTTGGAATCTACATTAGGCACAAAGATTTACACAATATTTATGCTCCAACAATCCTCATACAGGTCAAAACTGCTTGGTGATTTAAATCTTCAGCTGAATTAGTTCTATGATCCTGAGTGTGACTCCAAAAGTCACTTAACCACACTGTTTCAGTTCTCTCCCATGCAAGATTTATAAATAACTATCATGTGATTTCTGCCATTCTCACATGAAACTGATGAGAACTGTGACACGCACACCGACATAGGAGAAGTGCAAGAACCAAACTTATCACCAGTTTGCCTCAGAAGTCAGAGGGGAAACCCAGGCATGGGTTTGAGCCACAGACCAAGTCAACAAACCCCCAAGGTTCTGCAACATCGGACCAGCTCTGGGAGGTCAAGTCAGTTCAACAGGCCCCCCCTCTCCTAGTGCTGCCCCCACCAGCCCTCATCTTAGACCTTAATGGGGAGGATAGTCAAAGGGATGGCTTTTTCTACTGTACATCTATCCAAATTTTACATTCACAAAATAAAGATATCCAACCCACTGCCATTCCATGAACAGGACTGCGAGATACCCACACATGGGGTCCCCACATGGACAGCAGTGATGTCTACACCCCAGCCAACCCACACATTGGGTCCCCACATGGACTGCAGTGATGTCTACACCCCAGCTACTAGAGGAGATCAATCCTAATGAGCTTATGTCAACACCAACCTCCCACTTTGGCCTTTAGTGAGGAAAAAGTGAACCAACAGGTTTCTAAAGTCACCAAATGTTGGGAGGTCTCAGGATTTTTTAAAAACAGAAATAAAAAAAAAAACAATTCTTCAGAAATTCCTTTGATTAGATTCACATATGTCTATACCTTTGTAGGTAAGTGAAAAAGTTCATAGAAAATGTGTAGTATGAAGTAGCTATGCATGAATTTCTAAAATTTTTTGAACCAAAATAAACATTTTTGAAGTTGATCTTGCTAGGACCTTTCTGAATTGCCTTTATACAGGTATCTTGAAATATCTGTTAGAACCTTTATTTGGTAGCTCCTGAATAAAGTCAGTTACCTGACTTTATTAAAATTTAGGTAGCATTTTCAACTCAACATTAAAAAGTTGCCTGCTTCCATTTATGTTTTGTTCCTCTTCAACTACTGTTAGTTTCACACACAGCATACAACTGGGGGACCCTAGAACTCTGAGCAATTCAACCTTTCACTCTACAGGGGACCAAGAGACACAGCAAATCTTTCAGTCCTACCTCTGAACTACAGCACAACTGGAACGGAGTCCCTTCATCAACCAATGTGTCATGGAAAGAACATGGGGACCAGCTGACAGGACACATAGTTTTAGGGAGGCCACCTGCAAGTCAGCTGTAGGATCAGTCTTTTCAGCTGCAATGTGAGAGGACTGGGATCTACACCACTAGTGTCCTAAGATGGTGTGCCAGTGACTATCCACATCTACTTGGCATTCACAAGCCTTCACATTTAATCTGAAATCTTGTGATTCTCTGGAATTCCCGAGAATGGAAGACACTAGCATTGATTTTAAACTAGAGAAAACTTCCCAGCATCAGGTGTGCCTGAAGCTAATCAGAAGATTGCTAAAGAATATAAATATTTGGGACTGGCCCTGTGGCACAGCGAGTTACACTGTCACCTTTGAACAAAGATATAGCGAGTACCAGTTAAGAGTCCTGGCAACGCTACTTCCAACCTAGCACCCTTATGTGCCTGGGAGAACAAAGGAGAATGGCCCAGTTTCTTGGGCCCCAAACCCATGTGGGAGACTTAGCTGGAGCTATGGGCTTCTTAGCTTCAGCCTGGATCAGTCCCAGCTGTTGCAACCATTTGGGAAATACCCCTCTACTACTCTGCCTTAATAATCTCTTAAAATACCATCTCCGAGGTAAGGGTAGCTTCTTAATGTTACAAACTGGTTCAGTTCCCACATGTTAGGAGACTTAACAAGTTACTGCATATCCTTAGTATATGAACCAAATTCTTTGGTTCAGAGTAAATCTTAAGTGTTCTTACCACACAAGCTAAAATTCACTATGTAATGAGACATTGGTCATCTTAATTATGGCCATTTCACAACATATGAAAAACATCAACTGAGCTCATTTGTCAATTGTGTTTCAATAACTTTGGGGGAAAAACATTCAAAATCTGTTTCCATCTGCCTCTACCCAGATCCCTCTGCCTTTGCGCTGGGGATCAGGGGCACGGGTTTGTAATCCACCCCTCCTAGCTCAATGGACATCTCCAACGCAAACTCCTCAGTCAGGCAACCTGCCTGAAACAACGACCTTCAGATTCAGACCCTCATTCCCAAAGCCACATATGACCCCCTGACTTGGGAAGGCCTGTCCCTGGAAGTGAAGGGGAATAAAAACACACCCTCACTTCTACCCATATTCCACCCTTTCTCTGACCCATTCTGTCAGTTCTACTCCACTACAACATTTCCTTCACCATGTTCCTCATTCCCCACCTTCCCACCCCAAGAAACACTCAGGATCCAGTGCTCTAAGGGACACCAGCTCTGCTGCTTCCCTCCCCTGAACTCCCAGCCACCAGCTCCCGTCCTGAGTGCTCCCTATCACCACTTCCTCCCTCCCCCAGCATCAAGCAGGGCAAACTATCAAACTCTGCCTTCGTGTCAGCTGGCAGATTTCTTGTCCTCTGTGTAACACGAGGCCCCAGTACTCACCGATTTCTACGTGTGTTGAAAGGCCACACGGCGACCCCAAGGAGCAGGTGGAAGCCAGCAAAAGCAGCAGGGCAGGCCACTGGCGGACTACAGGCATCTCTCACTCCCTCGGGCACCTCGGGATGAGCTGATGCAGAGTAGAGGCAGCAATGTGGCTCCGCGGCCAGGCCAGGCCCACTGCTTTCCCTCTGTGCAGATCACTGACAAAGGAAACCAAGTCTCATCACAGAACACGATCGCTTTCCAACAAAGTCCACTGTCCAACTACTGTTGAACCTCACCAAACAGCAAACAAACTGCCTGTCAGGAGAAAAGAAGCAAGTGACTGAGTTCTCCGAGTCTCTAGCTAGAAGCACAGCACTTTCTCACAGAGGTTTTCCTTCACCTAAAATCCGTGTGCAGATACCAGCAAGGCTGCTCCAAATCGATCTTGCTTGCTCAAACACAGACTTACCTGTGCACAGCAATAGGAAAACACACATCAAAGAGCCTCGCCTCCCCAGGGCGGATGCTTCAAGTCCTTTCCAAACACCAGTCGCCCTGCTTCTGCCGTCTGCCAACCCCGGTGTTGGGAAAGCTTTTATGGTGATCAGCTGGAACCGACTTCTCTTCAGTATTTGGCAACAGATACTAACACGTGGATGTGATTACACAACAGCAGCTACTCCTGGTCAGTTCCCTCCAGCCAAGCTATGGGACTCTGCCACCTGGAGCCTGTTTGCAGGGTCTGACTGCGGATTCTTGCGGCCCTCGCTGATGCTGAGACCCCCAGGAGGTACTGGGGCGGGGCAGACTCAGGGCTGAGAAAGAGGATCTGAAAAAGCTAGATGCAGAAGGTCCTTGACACGAAGGAGCCTGTCTGCAAGGCTTAACCTGCAGGAGGAAATCAGCTTTAAGTTATGTGTGGAAATGGTGGGGCTGACACGGCAAGCAGGAAGCTTTTCAAAGTGCGGGAGGAAGTGGCATTCATTCCCCAGGTAAGTCAAGGATGGTGATTTGAGACAGCTGTTGGCTAAACGCCCAATCTGTAACCTTATCATGGCCACCTGCTAGTTCCAAGGAACTGAATTCCACAGCTCCTCCAGCTCAGAATGGCACCGGGCTGGGCTGCTTCTGAGTACTCTCAGAGCACATTAAAATGGAGACATTCAGAGAACAAGTGAGCTGGCTCCCAGCACTGACTGACCCACGTGCCATGACAAGGAGACAGCAGCCCCCCCACAGTGTGCCCTCCTTGGCCGTTGGCTTGTGCAGGCTTCTAGCCCCTTCTGCCTGCTAAAACCTTCGCCTTCTCCCTCTCACACCACACTTTCCAAAGCCTGCAGGGTAGGCAGTAGTAACTCAAAGTGTTAAACTTGGAACACGCAGAAGTTGTGAATCAATAATAATAACAGGGTTGCCAGGGCAAAATAAAAAATAATAGAAGCTTCTATTTGGTTTCTATCTGCTTTCACTTGGAAACCAGATAGAAGAAAAACAATCTATATAAAAGCCTCAGAAAAACAAACAGCTTCAATTATTGATGAAGACAAATCCCAAATGCCTCCCTGTGTTTTAAGTCAGACTTAATACATAAACTAGGTATTATTTTACCTGTCATAAAATAGGTGTGATGGTTATGAACATGGGCCTTCTATAACAACATTGCTTGAATTTCTCTCTGTTTTGTTACCAAGGAAGTACCAAAGATATGACTGTAAAGGATTAAACAGAGCTTGCGTTATTAAGAAACTTTCTGATAAGTCTATGGAGACACTTCTCTCGCCCACACCTCCCGCTCCTAATAGGTAGCTTAGTTGTGAGAACGTGGTTCTGTTTTTGAAGATCATTTGTGTACACACAGACCCACACTGAGGAGTTACAGACGCAGGAGTGGGGGTGTGAGCTTGAGAGCCAGAGGGCCCTAGGCTTCACTTGGCCCCCTCGTACTGGGATCTCCCTTCTGTGTCAGACACACTGCACAGCTTAGGGAACTCTATGCTTCTGTTCCCTGTCTGTAACAGCATCTATAAAAACGGTCGTAATAACAGTGTCTACCTTAGACAGCTGCTACTCAGATAGGCAAATACATGTGAAGTGGTTAAAATACAGCCTGGCACATAGTAAGTACTCATTATCTGCTGATGCTAACCATTCAATAGAAATCCTGTTAGCAGGGTGCCTGACCTTCACATGCAGCAGCTGAGGGCCTGAGTACTTGAACTGATAGGCACATGGGAAACCTAGGCTGAGTTTCTGACTCCCAACTTCAGCCACACTCTGGCCATTGTGAGCACTGGGGGGAAGGATCAACCTGCAACAGCTCTCTGTCTCTTACTCTGAGGTCAGTCAGTCCGTCCATCACACAGACACACCGACACACACCTGACCCATGCACCCCAAAAAACTTCTAAAGACTTGTCCTGCTGGAAAAGGCTCACGGTAAATTTCTATTAGCTATCTTCCTCACTGAGTTTTAAAGTCATCAAGAACAACGATCCCGCACGCAGATGTTCAGCATCACAAATTTTACAGCCATGCAGGCAAGTGGCTAGAGCAAAACTGAGTTGAATTCAGGTATCTCAGAAGTTTCTCATTCTTCTACAGCTTTGAGATCCAGAAACTTCTGAGATGAAGCAGACAGCTGGCACACACCTGGTGGGCTATGATAGCAAGTGGCAGAGAGGAAGGCAGGGAGGTGGGGAGGAGGGGCCCTGGACCAGGGTGGGCTCATGGGAATGGAGTGTGGAAAGCTCATACCCCTGGAGGGGGGGGTCTGTCCTGTGGGTCCTTGTGAACACACCCAGCCAGATTCTGCCTGAGGGCCAGCCAGGGGTCAGGAAGGACTGGGCTGGGCTCTGAAGGACACCAAGCAGCAGGGAGAAGAGGAGGACCGCGTGGAGAAGGTCATAAGGCCCAAGGCCTCCTACCCCAGTGGGCCTCTCCCTTCATAAAATAAACAAAACTCACATTCTACATCTGCATTGATACAGAGTACCATACACCAGAGTTTGGATTTTTTTTTCTCCTGATTTTAGAAGAAATAAAACGTTCTGGACCCTAGGCATCCTACCGACTGGGCCTAACGGATAAGCCAGAGATGCGAAGGAGAGCCGGCACAGCGTGAAATGGAATCTGAACTCTTAGTGCAGGACACTGAGATTCCCCAGGGCTCCTCCGGCAGGGCTCCTCCGGCAGGCAGCCCCCGTGAGCTGCAGCTCCCCGGCCAGCTGCGACGCCCATGGGTCTGCCCTCCCGGGTTCCCCCTACTCCTTCCCTGAAACGGAGCCAAAGGACAGATCCACGCACCACAGACTGCACCCTGCTGTTACCACGGCTACCCCCGAAACTGAGCCGCTCTGACCCAGCCAGACACGTTGCCGGAGTGACAAGACGGCCGCTGCATTCTGCAAATAAGAACCCGATGTCCCAGACAAAGATAAAATCAAAAGGAATGATTCACGCGCTGCGGAGAAGCCAGCAGCATTCTCAATAGAGTGGGAGACCGGCTGGGACTAGTACATGGGTCTGTGCTTCACCTGAACCAATACATGTCGACATAGGACCACTGCGTTTGCTTTTTAATCTTCCTTGTCCTTTAAGTTTCCTTGCTGTTTCCCGAGTTGGAGGCCCAACCAAACTTTCAAGTGAATGGGTAATTTTATTTTAAAGGTCACTGCTGCTACTGCCCTAAACATGCTGCACCATCGCACAACAAACCTAAGGGGTCAACGGTCGCTCCATTTTACACGTGAGCAGAATAAGGTGAAGTGATTGGCCCGAGGGCGCGCCGCTCGTAGGCACCGCGTCCTGAATTCGGATTCCAAACCTAGCTTCAAGGTGCCTTTGTTCATCAGGAGGCTCACCTGCTTCCCGATTCACGGAGAGGACCAGACACGTGCCCAAAAGAGCGCAGCCGCACGGGCACCTCGGGGTGCAGTTACAGAGGGCTGGCGCCACGCAGCCGCCCAGTCCCCACGCACAGAACCCGCCTGCCGCGTTCCCGCGCCCATCAGTCCCAGCAGGTCAAGACACACCCGACCGAGAACCGGGAATCGCGGGTGCACCTCGTAGCGAGCCTTTCCCACCCCCCCATTCCAGCCCCAGACGCAGAAGTGGCCGCGTAGCGCGCCGGCTAGTTGCAGCGCGCAGCCGCCGGCAGGAGGGCGCTGCGCGGCCCCGCCGCACCTCCAGCCCGCGCCCTCGCCTTCCCGGCCCCCGCGCTACCGGGCGCGCACCCGCAGGCCCGTCTCCTCGCGTCTCCGCCGCGGCTGCTGCAGCAGCCCGGACCATGGCGACCTGCTCTTGGCTGCGGTGCTGCGGCGCCCTGCGCCTCCGCCCGCGCACCGGCTGCCGGAGGCTGGCTGCCAGCACGACTCAGCTCCGCGGCTACGCCGGGGGCCTGGCCGACCTCTCCGCCGAGCTGCTGCGCACCGACAGCTTCGTAGGCGGCCGCTGGCTCCCAGTCGCCGCCACCTTCCCGGTGCACGACCCTGCCAGCGGCGCCACTCTGGGCTCGGTGGCGGACTGCGGGGTGCCCGAGGCCCGTGCTGCGGTGCGCGCCGCCTATGAGGCTTTCCGCAGCTGGAGGGGGGTCTCGGCCAAGGTGAGAACGCGCCGGGGTAGGGGACAAGGGCTAGCCGGGCCGGGAACAGAGAGGGCTTTGTCCCAAAGTGAAAGCAGCAGAAAGGCAGAGCACCACGTGAGAAAGGAGACGATCCACACACAAGTTTGGAGCATGACCCGGTGCCTAGCGTGTGGCGGGCGCCGGACACCAGACCGGCCCTCCAGCCTCCCGAAGTGTGCAGTCCAGCAGGGGGTGCAGGACGCAAGTAGTGCTGAGCGCATGCGTGTGTAGGCGCCGGCGCCACGGAAAGCGAGAGGCATGGGGGCTTCCTGCTGTAGCGAAAGGAACCTGCCCAGGAAACCTCCAGGTTTTCTGCCTGAATGGAGGGACGATGCCATTTACTGAGAGTAGCAGAGAATCGGGGTGGGTGTAAGGGCTCATTCAGATGAGGAGGCTGGAATCAGAATAAAGCTATTCAAGACATTTCCTCCCTCCATCTATTCCGTGACACCTGGAGTCAGCCCAAGGACATCTTTTTCTGATCTTCAAAGTCCTTCTGAAGATAATGTCTAGTGATCTGCGACAAGTACCAGAGTCTTAGCACCGCTTCAAGTCTCAGCTGTATACGGAGTACCTGCCATGTGCCAGTGCCCTCTGGGGGGGGGGGGGTGCCCGGAATACATGAGCGTGGACAGCAGAAAAACTCTGTCCGTCAGGAGCTCACGTGGGCTGGGGAACAGGGCTGAGACCCAAACTATACACATAAGCATCATACCTAAGAAACTCTGTATCTCAGAGGGATGGTTACCATAGCAAGAAGAAAGGAGAAGCAAGGGGAGAGGGTGGAGCCACAGGGAAGGGGCAAGGTGCAGGATGGACCAGGTGGTCAGGTGTGCCACACACAGTACTGTAGGCAGCCCTGCTCAGTCAACAGCCTTACAGCTTCAGATTGCTGGAAGCTGAGAATCCCAGGCTAAGGCACCATGGGTTTGGCTGCCTCTGAGAACTGCCACTTGGCTCCTAGCTGCTTAATATTTTTAAGATTAACTATTAATAAAACATTAAATATCAAAATATTAATATTAAACATTAATGTTTAATACTAAAATGTTGATAGTAAAATTTCACTTAGTTGAGAGGCAGAGAGAGAATCATTTACTCTCCCAAATGGCTGCCACACTTGGGCTGGGTCAGGTGGAACCTGGGAGTCAGGAACTAATGGTAGGTCTCCCATGTGTGTGTCAGAGACCCAAGTACGTAAGCCAGCACCTGCTTCCTCCTGCTAGGATGCACATTAGCAGGAAGCTGGAATGGGGAGTGGAGGTAGCACTCGGTCCAGGTACTTCCTGTGGGCGCTGGGCATCCCAAGCAACATCTCAGCTATTGTTCCAACGCCCAGCCCTTGCCTCACAGGAAGACCGTCCTATTAGTGCACACCCAGTGACCTCATTTAGCTTAACTGCTTAAGAGCCTGTCTACAAATCCAGCCACATGCTGAAGTCCTGGGGTTAGGACTTGGATCTGTCAGTTGGGGGGTGGGAGATCCATCAGCCCCTATCAGGGTGGGCCTTGTTGACAAGGACATCCTCCCACTCAAGATCCTCATCCATCCCATCTCTGGGGTCCCTTTGCCAGGTACAGTAACCCAGTCGATGGGTTCCAGGTTTGAGTGCAGTCATCTTTGAGCATCATTAGTGTTCCTTCCACAGCTGAGTACCATTCCTGGCACTACCAGGGCTTTACTGATTCTGATTCATGCTGTGGCCTGGAGGACTGGCAGAGGTCAATCAGCATCCTTCCTTTCCTACTGGCCAAGTGAGGGAGGGCTGGCATGACTCTTTCACCGTCCACATCACACAGGCTCTGCAGATGCCCCAGCCTGCGGTCACCCCTTAAGATCTCTTAGCTTGATGACAGTGAAAAGTGTGTGTGTGTGTGTAACACCCTGGCTGGGAGTGTGAACTTGGATCTTTCCTGTGTTCACCCTGTGTAGTTTGATCCTGTCTGGCAATGCTGGGCAGTGCAGCACCTGGGGTCTTTCTCCCATGTGCCATGCTGCTGAGCTGGGACACACAGGAGGGCTGCATTTGCCATGTTTTCCACGTGTAGTAACCCCATACTCCTGAATTTCCTGCAGCCATTGTAACAAAATGCTGCCAACTTGGTGGCTTGAGCGACAGTTGTCACAGGTCAGGAGGGTAAATCCTGGCATGAAAGCATCAACGAGGTTGGTTCCTTCTGAGGCCGTGAGGGGAGGGTCTGTTCCCACCCTGCCTTGGCTGGTAGCAGCCGTTTTCTCCCTGTGTCTCCTTGCAGTGTCTTTCCTGCCTAGCTCTGTGTTTGTGTCGAAGCTTCCTTTTATGACAACTCTGTGCCCTCTGAAAAGCCCAGCTGTTTGCATACCTGGGTGATTCCTGGCTTCTGTGTTCAGCCTGGAAGTTACTCTGCTTCTCCTTTCTCAGAGGAGGGAACAATGAGGGGGGTCTTCAAAAGTTCATGAAAAATGTGTATTATTTCCAAGTGTTTTGGTACCAGATGCACTTACCTTTGAATTCTGTGTTTCCTATGAAGTCCTCGCTAGTATTTGTGCCTCTTAGAGTCCAGTATTTCCTCTCTTGCCCAGAATAACCTGCTATGCCCTGGCCTGTGGTCGGCAGGTTCTTCTCCAGCAGTGTATGGAGCGAGGGTAAACAGGGGAACTTACTGCCGTTCTCAGGGTAAGCTGCAGGCTCTGCCTGGCCTGGAAACTCACACTCAGAGACTGGAGTTCTGGGGGCATCTCTCTTGACAAGGCCCCTAGGTGGTCCCTCCTGGGTCCTCCAACTCGGTTCTTTTTTTTTTTAATGGTTTTACATTGATGAATTTTTTAAAAAAAGTTTTAGAAACCATTTCTTCCATAATATTGTGAATAATATTAATTTGTGCATTTTAAAAACTATCCTTTGGGAATAGTAAATTGCACACAACAATTTGCCTTTGTAATGCCTTACAGGTGGACAGCTCAGTGGCCTTAAGCACACACACACTGTTGTGGCCAGGCCCTCTTATGTGTGAGAAATACATTCTTAGGTCTCACTAGCTCCCATAGGACACCGCTGACCTAGGACCTAATTGTTGAGTGAAACACTACAGCCCCTAAGTGACACACGGAGACAGGAAGCAGCATGGTAGCCATGACTTGGGGGCCCGGGCCTGGGGAGTGGTTGGTTGGCTGGCACAGAGCTTTTAGATGAAAAAGTTCCAGAGGTTAAGGGTGGTGATGGCTGCACAACACTGTGAGTGTACTTAGCGCCCTTGAACTGTACGCTTAAAAGTGACAAGGGTAATGACTTAAAACTGACAATGGTAATGTGTATGTCATGTATATTTCACCACAATGCCAAGTCATAATTAACACTAGTGAACTACACACTTCTGTGGTGAAGATCTTATTTACAATAATGGACAATTATACCATTTCCACTGAGTGCTTTTACGGATTTTAGCTCGGTTTACCCCTTCATGCCTGTTAATGCTTATTAGAGAACAGCCAAGAGGCCAGTGCTGAGGACCAGTGGGCTAAGTACCACTTGCTTCTTGGCTGAATCCCCTTTTGGACCATGGGTATGAGTCCTGACTGCTCAACTTCCAAACTTGTTTCCTGCTAATGCACTGGGAAAAACAGTAGAAGATGGCCCAAGTACTTGGGTCCCTGACACCCGTGTAGGGGACCTGGATGGAGTTCCAGACTTCTGGCTTCTGCCTGCACAACCCCAGCCATGACAGCCATTTGGGGAGCGAACCAGCAGATGGAAGATCTTTCTGTGTCACTCTGCCTCTCAAATAATTCTTAAATATATATATATATATATATGTATATATATATGAAGAAGAGCAGTTAATGCATGTGTCATGTGGCTACAGGCATATTAATCAGGGTTCTCTAGAGAAACAGAACCAATAAGATACACAGGATGCCTCAAAAATCCATAGAAAATAGAATTTAAAAGTATGTGTAATGTTATTCATAAAAATTGGAAATCCACATATACATAGAAAATGCATACTAAGAGAGACTACATGGGTTTCAAAACCTTTTGGCACCAAAATAAACATCTTCTAATTCTATTTTCCCATAAAAATGTTGAAGCACCTTTTTGCGTACATATCCCTGTGAGACATGGGTCTGCACCATAACGGAGTCTGTCTGCAGATGAAGTCAGGAAATCCCAGAGGAAGGAGGGGAAGTGAGCCCAGGCCAAGTCTGTAAGCCCAGGGTCTGGGGCCTGTGGCTCAAGGTCAAGAGACAGTGGCTATGTTTGCTCACAGAGAGGGAACCAACCTGCCCTTTTCAGCCTTTTTGCTCTATTCTGTCCCTAACAGATTGGCTGAGGCCCACACCTATGGTGAGAGCGTTGTCTTACTCAGTGCCCTGGTGCATAGGCCCCTCTCCCAGACACACCCAGGAATGAGGTTTGGTGAATTGCTGGGCATCCCTTAGGTCGGGGGTAGAAAGTTTGTTTCTGCCAAGGGTTGCCTGGATGTTTACAGCTTCATGTGCAGGCCATGCAGAATGATCCACTTAGAGATATGCTTGCCATCGATTTATCTATCGAGTTTCGGGTCCAGCCTGCAGTTGCCTCGGTAGGGCCAACAGATCAAATGATTTTGAAGGCTGGGTGTTCACCACAGTGTTTAGTTACACTGACACCTGAACTTAAACATCATGCCAACTTAACTCACCATGAAGGTGAGTAGTCTTACTGTTCATGTTTTATGACCTATCTACCTTCTTTTTCAGGAGAGGAGTTCGTTACTTCGGGAGTGGTACAATTTAATGATACAAAATAAGGACGACCTTGCCAAGCTTATCACAGCCGAGAGTGTAAGTGCAGGGGCCTGGCTAGCTATTAGTACAGCTGGCTGAGAATTCCTGGATTTAAGTTTCTGGGAGAGCCCAATAACTGTAAGAAATTATTTTATACCGTGGACACATATGGGAGGAGAGGGGGGAAAGAAAAACACTAGAAGATGAAGTTACAGACATCTCCTGATTCGTGAATGTACTGAGGATACAGATGACCCTCCTGGGTTTGGTGGCACAGCCACACTTGTCTCTCATCCATGGTGCTGCTTTCGGAGACCCACATCCAGGGTAGAAGCTTCTCACCTGCCCTGAGCATTTTGCCTTGGGAGAAGTTTTTTTTTTTTTTTTGCCTTTCCTTGCAGCCCAGAACAAAAAGAACAAGTTGAGCTTTTTGTAGGAGATGGTAAGAGAAGTGCCCTTTTCTGGTTTCTTGCAGGGCAAGCCACTGAAGGAGGCACAGGGAGAAATCCTGTATTCAGCCCAGTTCCTGGAATGGTTTTCAGAAGAAGCCCGGCGCATTTATGGAGACATCATCGCTACCCCCTCCAAGGAAAGGCGGGCCCTGGTTCTCAAGCAACCCATGGGTGTGGCCGCCATCATCACGCCGGTACGTGACGGAAGCTGCGCCATCCCAGGGTCCAGAGTCAATTTCTTCTTCTGATTGAGCAGGTGCGCTCAGTCTGTGAGCCTTGTCACCTGACCTGGGTTTCCTGATTCCGTCTCTGGCTGCAGAGGTGTGTCCCTGGCCTTCTAGGTGTGAAGATGGTGAGAGAGGGTTTGCTCATGCATGTGGAAGCAGCTGAACCAGGGAAGCAAGCTGGGGGCTCTTCTGCCTTGGCACTGCCTCGTACCACTGAAAAGATCTGTCACTTAGCATTTTATAAAGAACTTCATATGTGATGATGAATAGTCTATGTATGATGTGATGGTTTCGAGGAAAGTGTATGCTTACTTGACACCGAGCAACAGCAGCATTGGTGCCCCTGCCAGCGGTCACTGGGCCAGTGTCCAGAAGTCAGAAGGCCTAGAAGTGAGATGCTGTGCCTGCCTGCATGGGGGCTGCAGGATACTCGTGGGCTCCCAGCATCCTCCCTTAGCCCCTCCTGGACCCACCTTCAGCAGGCCCATAGTAACCCTCTCCAGTCTCACCAGCTGGTCTCCCGTCTGCTGTACTTCCTACTCAGCATGGTGACAGGTGGCATTCTCACTGCTTAGATTTGCTTCGTTTTAACTCAGAGTTCGCTGTTTTTATTGGTTGTATGGCCGTGGGCACGTTGCTTCCCTGTGCTGTCTCCATTTTCCCAAACTTGCAAAAGAGGATAATGAGAAATTCATTGAGCTGTGATAGTTATAATTTTAAAATGCTTGCAGCAATGAGTGATGTAGAATAAGTATTATTGTCAATTGCCAAACAGTATTTTACTGTTAGGATAAAGATACATGTGCCTGGGCCCGGCGCGGTGGCGCAAGTGGTTAAGTCCTCGCCTTGCACGCCCGGGATCCCATATGGGCGCCAGTTCTAATCCCGGCAGCCCCGCTTCCCTTCCAGCTCCCTGCTTGTGGTCTGGGAAAGTGGTCGAGGACAGCCCAAAGCTTTGGGACCCTGCACCCGCGTGGGAGACCCGGAAGAGGCTCCTGGCTTCGGATCGGCATAGCATCGCCCGTTGTGGCTCACTTGGGGAGTGAATTATCGGACGGAAGATCTTCCTCTCTGTCTCTCCTCTCTGTATATCCACCTTTCCAATAAAAAAATAATAAAAATAAATCTAAAAAAAAAAGGGTTTATTTAAAAAAAAAAAGATACATGATACATGTGCCTATGGATACCTATACGTATGTAGAGGGAAGCAAGTGACAGACTGCTGTTTTCTAATCATTGCTAATATTTTCTCCCAGAAGCCCATTTGGGAGCTTAACCATCCATGGCAGCTTCCACAATACAAAGTTGAGTCAATGTGATAGAGGCCATGCCACCTACAAACCCTAAAACACTATCTGGTCTTTTGCAAAACAAAGTTGGCTGAGCATTGTTCTAAAGGATTTTGCACTGTGTTTTCTGAAAGTGTTCCATGTCACTCTGAGCCCCCATCTCTAATCAGTAGGCACAGGTGTTCTGAAGGCTCACCTGTGAAGTGGAGAGCAGGTTAGACAAGAGGGGTTGTGGACTGACTGCTCGACCGGCCATCCTGTGGACTGGGGAGGGAGCCCACTCCTCACAGGCTTCCTCTCTCTCCGGATCCTAGTGGAACTTCCCCAGCGCCATGATCACCCGCAAGGTTGGGGCCGCCCTGGCAGCCGGCTGCACTGTGGTGGTGAAACCTGCTGAGGACACGCCCTTCTCTGCGCTGGCCCTGGCAGAGGTAAGCCTCCCTTCCCTGATATTGCGTAGCTAACCAAGTCAAAACTGGCTTTGTAAACCAAAGTAGGAACAGTTCTGGGGCCTAGGTCTCTGCTGGCATCTCCTGCCACAAGGGTATTGTGTAACAGTCTTGCTCTTTCTGTGAAAAGATTCTCTGATATACATTATTAGGCCAGCCTGAAAATGTTGTCCTTATGTCCTCTTTATTAGATGGACACTGCTGTATGGATGTTTCTTCCATGTCCGAAACCTCTCTCCAGTGCTCTCGTTCCGACTAGAGTCTGCATCTAGGTTGAGCTTGTTATTGCTTCGTCTCAAACCCTTGCATGGCCTCTAACGACACACAGGGTAAAGTCCAAGATAACCACAGTGGCCCTGCAAGGTGTCACCTCTGATGATTTTCTGATCATGTCCGTTATTCTAGAACGCCTCACTCACCTCTGGCTCTGGCCATCCTGATTTGATCCTTCTTTTCCTTCTGGAGGCTTCCCCTGATCCTCCAGGCACCCCCAGGACTTGCTTCTTTGTGCTTTATTTTTACAGAAAATTTGCAGGATTCATCCACCTACTTACTCTATGCTCAGCTCCACCTCCAGTTGGCCTCTTGCCTCTGCAGTGTTTTTCGGTTTATGAACTGACACTGATGCGTCCTCTTTCATCAAAGCCCGTACCCCTGCTTTGAGCTAATGCTGCAGACATGCAGTGGACTCGTTCAATATGCAGTTTCAATTTTTTGGATTATTATTTTTCTAAGCTACAGGAAGTTTCCATTTCTTCTTTGGTTGGATTTCCTTCCTCAGCAACTCTGAGTTTCCATGGATTGAATCCTTTTGTCATTTTATTTCACTTCCTTTTCATCTCAGCTCTGTTTTGTAAATTTACCTTCCTTTTCCCTTTCTTGCTCTTTCCTGTATTCCTTCAGCTGCTGGTCGAGTTTCTCTAACTCCGATGGGTTCTGTGTGTCCAGATGCTGTGTGTTTCTCATCCCTTGCGTCACACTGAAATCCCCTGTTTGGTCTTCCCTTGTGCCATGCCTCGGACAGGTGACTTTATCTGCAGGGACCTTAACCACTCCGTGTAGAATCTGACATCTGTATTTTCTGAGCATGAGGACTGTTCCCATGGGAAGTTATGCTTTCTGAAGGCTTAGCAGGAGGCTGGGGACAGGCAGCCTCTCCGCCTCATGAAGTTTCTCATGTTTTCTTGTTGGGGTGTTCTGGGAGGTGCCCTGGCTTCCATGCGGCCCTGCCTCACCTTCCACCATGGCTGCTCTCTGACGCGGGGCCACATGCACACCTGTGGGCTGTTTGGAGCTCTCTGTTATCAGGTCCTTGAATGGCACTGGGCTGGTTGGGTTCTCTGTTATCAAGCCCGTGAACACCTGTGGGCTCTGGGCGTTGTCTCAGCCTGGTGTGGCTGTCCTGCTTCCTGTCACACAGGTCCCATTCCTGTGGGCAGTGTAGCCCCACCCACTTGAGATTTGTGGTTTGGGGAGCTTCCTTGTCACAGGCAGCTAGGGGAGGCTGACTGTGTCGCTCTCCGCTGGGTTCTTCCTTCCACGCCCCCCTTCTTTCATCCTCATCCTGGGTCATGACCCATACAAAACTGAAGGTTTTTGCAACACTGCCCTGCACACAGTAGATGCTCACTAAGTAATCCTTCACACTGTCCAGCCCCTGAGTCTACAGGGGAATCAAAGGACCGTTCTTGGAACCTCCTCTTTCTTGGGGGAAAAAAAAAATTAGAGCTTTGGTGGTTTTGTTTCTTTTAAGCAGTATGTGGCAATGAAACTCCTACTCTATTTAATGATGTGCAACATCACAGTATCACCTTAGAATTAATAAGCAACTTACTTCGTTTGCAGTTGTACTCAGATTCTGTCACCCATGTGGATTTAAGTTTGCCCATTGCATTTTGAGCTAAGTGTCTATTTATTTTTCTTGGTTTGGTGATTTGTGACCACATTTCGGCTGTTTCTCTTTCTAGCTTGCCAATCGGGCGGGAATTCCTCCCGGCGTGTACAATGTCATTCCCTGCTCTCGGAGCAAGGCCAAGGACGTGGGGGAAGCTCTTTGCACCGATCCACTGGTGTCCAAAATTTCCTTCACTGGCTCAACAGCGACAGGAAAGGTACGCGACTATGTCTCCAAGAAAACAAGTGCTGCTCTAGTGGCTCCTCTTTATACAGCAGCACAGCAATTTTTCACTGCCAGCTCCATTTTGGCCAGATTCTCACAAGTGTCATCCATACTCTGCTGGGTCATCCTCCGGAGATGTGTGGGTGATGTTTTGCTATGGCAGTCCCACCTGCCTGACAGTTCTGAGAGGCTGTGAGGGCCTCACTATCTTCCCATTTTATTTTTTAAAACTCATTTATTTGAAAGGTAGGATTACAGAGAGAGAGAGGAAGGAGGAAAGAACACAGCGGGGAAAGCAGTGATCTTCCATCCTTTGGTTCATTCCACAAACTGACTACAGTAACTGGGAGTGGGCTAGACAGAAGTCAGGAGCCAGGAGCCTCATCCAAGTCTCTCACCTGCAGGGACCCAAGCAGTTGGGGCACCCAGGCTACTTTCCCAAGAGTATTAGCAGGGTGCTGGATTAGATGCAGAGCAGCTGGGGCCAACCTGTGCCAGCAGCTTAATGTGCTATGTCACAAACCCCGACCCCTAACTATTTTCCCATCATTTATTGTACGTGAAGTGGCTGGAAGCTGTTCATTGCACAGCAATTTCATAAGCTGGAATTTGGGTTTCTAGAAATACATGGTTGATGTTGAAATGGATGTCTTACAAGTGAACAAAAATTTATTTCATATGAACATGCAAAAATGGGAAGGCCTTTTAGATTTTTTTTTTTTTTGCTTTTAATTTTGAAGTTTTTTCCTTACACCTTGATTAAGTGCCTATAAGTAGATGTTTTTCAATGCTCTGTGTAATGTTTAAGCTGTTACTTGGGACACTCACATCCCACATTGCAGTGCCTGGGGTCAGCTTCCTGGTTGGTTCTGGCACCCTGAAAGGCATCAATGATGGTTCTAATACTTGAGTCCTGGGGCCATGGTATAGCTGATATTACAGAGGTGCCAGCATCCCATATGGGTACCTATCCATGTCTTGGCTGCTCCACTTCTAATCCAGCTCTCTGCTAGTGTGCCTGGAAAAGCAGCAAAGGATGGCCCCAGTGCTTGGACCCCTGCACCCACTTGGGAGACTGGAAGTAGCTCCAGATTCCTGGCTTCAGACTGGCCCAGCTCTGGCCATTATAGCCATTTGGAGAGTGAATCAGTGGATGAATGATCTCTTGATTCATTCTCTGTCTGTGTGTGTGTGTGTGTGTGTGTGTGTAAATCTGACTCTTCAAAGAAAAAATAAATGAAAGTCTCAGAAGATGGGAGAGATATTCTCTCTACATTTCAGATACAATTAAATAATTTTTTTTCCATGTTTGGAAGAGAAGCCCCATTGAAGGGGCTTCCCCCTAGCAGGTTATATATGTATGCCTGCTACTTTGTATGTATCCACCTACATACACCTGCATATTTTCAATCTAAACACATGCACAGCAAGTCATGGTAATCTGAAAGTCTGTGCGATAGGGTGGTCACTTTTAGAAACCATAGGAAGCAGTAGGCAGCAGTGCCCTTGTTGGAACTCCCCATAATCATGCTGGAGTTTGCCATCTCTCCTGCTCAGGATGCGGCACTTTGGAGCCCCACCACTCATTCACATCAAAACAGGCACCTCTGAAGTTGATGCTGCAGGTTAGCAGACTAGACCTATGCCTATGATGCTGGCATCCCACATGGGCACCGGTTCAAATCCTGGCTGCTCCACTTCTGATCTGGCTACCTGCTAATGCACCTGAGAAAGCAGCAGAAGGTGGCCCAATTCCTTAGGCGCTTGTACCATGTGGCAGACCTGGAAGAAGCTGGCTTCTGGCCTTAGCACAGGAGAGTAGATACCTGCCAGGACCAGCCATGCCCCTGTCCACCCCAGACTAGGATCTGCCTGGTGACTTAAAGGGAAGAGTGACAAGAGCAGGAGCAAGAACCTGCACGGCACAGGCTTCTCCCAAGCTGGGCTTCCCAGAAGCCAAGGTTGTGGTCTGAGCTGAAAATTCAGCCTTGCGGCCGAGCACAAGAAGGGAACCTGTTCTGGAGATGCATTCCCTGCCCTCACCCCCTTCTGCAGGGCCCTGTTGAGTGATTTAGGACACATGACACCCCATTTCTTCTGCACTGAGAACTGCTCCAAGAGTGGGCACTGGCCTTCAGGGAAAGAGAATCTCTAGACTGGCAGTGAACTGGGACAGTGGCCATGCATAGCAGCATGGACCAGACCAATCATGTTCTGTCTTAGGAGGCTGAGATCCTCAGGTGATCACCAGAGAGAGGGAGGGAGAGAGAGAGAAAGAGAGAGAGAGAGAGAGAGAGAGAGAGAGAGAGAGAGAGAGGGAGAGAGCAGAGGCTGACAGGTGGCTTTTGAGGCAGCAGGAGCGAGCTCATGACTCTGAGGTCATGGTAGGTCAAAGGCAGGGTGAGCCCTGCTCATAGGGAAGCTCCCAGAGAAAGCACAGGTGGACAAGCAGATGGCACAGGGACAGCAAGATCAAGTGACCTGACAGGGAAGATCTGCTTTTCAGTGAAGCAGATGCGGGAGAAAGCCATGGCAGGTGACATTGCTTAAAAATCCCAAATTGAACAGTTCTGTTAAGTCCCATAAAGAAAGATTTCTAATATTAAAACTTGTATTCCTTTGTTGAATAGTGACATTTAGGGAGAAGCTCCTGGCTGCTATCTGATGCCTGGAATATTAATTTCTGGGCATATACAGATCCACTGTCAACCATTCTGAATGTTCACCCAGGAACCTGTTACAAAATCTGTGACTTAGGGACTGGTTTCCTAGAGCAACACTGATCTGTTTAATCTGAACTATCTCAAGAGCTTCCATCTTCCCTGCAGCCAGGGCTGAGCAATGACCTACAGTGCTGTTAGAAGCCAGTGAAGGTCCCTGAGCCACCTTCTCAGGCCACACATGTCTTACATGCACTAACAGCCTAGGGTTCTACACTGAGCCAGCAACTTAACAAAAACAAATACACCCTGAAGGAATAATTGCAGCATTGTTTGTAAAAGCAAGTAAGTGGAAGCAGTCCCATGGTTGGGGGCTGGGCGAATCGATTGTGGAACAATTATGGAATGAAATACTACACAGGAATACAATGTTCTAGAACTACATGTGCTGGACATAAGAGGATCTTCGTGTTATGGTGTTAACACAGAAGCAGCAAGATATGAAGTCTCAGGGACATGTTGAGGTGTTGCAGACATGTAGTAAAATGGGAAGATAAAAGCTGCTTCTAATGCTTTAATTATGCAATGCTGTTCTCTTTTGTTAAAAAGTACACATGGTTGTCCCTCCTTATGCATGAGGGTCTGCTTCCAGGGTCCCTGCAGATACCAAAGTCTATGAATGCTGCTCTAGGTAACATGGTGTCATATTTGTCTGTGCATTCTCCCATCAAATTTAAATAATCTCAAAGTGACTTATAATGCATAATATAATTTAAAATGTTATACTGTATAGTTTAGCACAAGAACAAAAGTACTTCTTTTTTTCAACTAGATTCTATCCACAGTTGGTTTATACTGTGAGTATTGAACCTTAGAGACATGGAGGGGCAGCTGTATACATGAACCAATGTGGCCAGATTCCAAATATGTACACGTTGGCCTGTCCCCAGCGGTGGAATCATGGGCAGTTCTACTCCCACATCTCTCTACGGTGCTAAAAGGCCTGTTCATAATTTTTGAATGAGAAGTACACTTACTATGGCTCTGAAATCAACATGTGTGAACACCTGTTAACATATTTACTTTGAAGTCCCACTTACCCACCCCTGACTCCTTCCCCCATACCTGTTAAATAATTACTCTAGTGTCTTGTAGGATTTCTTCATTAAACAAGAGACAAGGGTGCTTCACAAAGTTCCTGGGAACTTGAAGTCAAAGAGAAGCTTCCTGCGGTACAAAACAATGTCTGAAACTCATGCGGTTTTTTTTTTTCACAATGTGCATTTTCTATTAAGTTTTTGCAAGTCAGAATTGCATAGACATATATTCTTATTCTCATTTCTCCCTTTTTAAATGCGAAGTGTCACCCCCTCCACCTGGCCTGCTTTGTTCACTGAAAGGTCGGGATCTTGGTGGCTGGTTCAGCACTCACAGCCCTCACTTCTCTGCCCACAGATCCTCTTGGGCCATGCAGCCCGTTCTGTGAAAAGGGTCTCCATGGAGCTGGGTGGCCTCGCTCCCTTCATCGTGTTCGACAGCGCCGATGTGGAGCAGGCCGTAACAGGAGCCCTGGCCTCGAAATTCAGGAACACTGGGCAGGTGAGTGCTGTGGAGACCTGCCAGGTTTGGGTTTCTTGTGTGTACCTCTGTATATGTTTTACAAAGAGCCAGCAACCTCCAATGCCCTAGCGTGTCTTAAAGAGAATCTTGTGGATCCCAACCACTGTTCATTCTTCATTCATTCACTCACTCAGCCAATCCTCAGTAAATGCCTTCTTATATGCTAGGGGCGATGCTGAGCTTGGATAATCCAAAGAGAGGTAAGACAGAGTCTTTGATTATAGCTATATCCAGAACAGCACAAGATTTTCATCCAATTGTTTTCTTTTATTCTCCATACCCTCCCAACAGGGTGATGGTGAGCCCTCAGCAGCCACAGGAGGTTGGGTCCAGGATACCCTTTGAAACCGAATTCTCTGGATTCTCAGGTTCCGTGGATAAGATGGCTCAGAGGGGTTACCGTACTCACAGAATGTTCCCTCATTAAGCTTTTCTCTGCTGACTTGCTGTTGTCTCCTCAGATACAAAACAGCCCTGAACAGCTAGGATCTGGGGTCTGCAGTCTTAAGGACAAGAAGCTGGGAAGGCGAAGGTACTAGGGGTGGTGCCTAGAAACACTGTAAATCTGTATGTCCCAGAGACATACTTGGGCCAGCAGAGCGATGGGTGAGGACCTGGCTGGTGGCAGTGGGCATGCCTGGCATGCCCAGGCTCTCAGGGGGAAGGAGCTGAGATCCCATCTGCATAGAAAACCCTGCAGTTGGGCATGACACGATGGCCCAGTAGCTAAACCTCGCCTTGTATGTACCAGGGATTCCTTATGGAATGTCCCAGCTGTTCTACTTCCCATCTGACTCCCTGCTTGTGGCCTGGGAAAGCAGTGGAGGATGGTCCAAAGCCTTGGGACCCTGCACTCACATGGGAGGCCTGGAAGAGTCTCCTGGCTCCTGGCTTCGGACAGGCTCAGCTCTGGCCATTGCAGCCACTTAGGGGGTGAACCAGTAGATGGACGATCTTTCTCTCTCTCCTTCTCTCTGTATATCTGCCTTTCCAAGAAAATAAGTAAATCTTAAATAAATAAATAAATAAATAAATAGAAAACCCTGCAGCATTTAACCTGGGAGGGACATTCTGAGGCAATGGCAACTTGCAAAAGGCTAAGTGATAGTGGTGGGCTCTCAGGCTTGGCTCTTGTCCCAGCTCTGCTGAAGAAGCAGTGCTAAGAGCCAAAGGTCCTATCTCCCTACTGTCCTGTTACTAAGATCCTGGTGACTTTGCCTTAAAAGCACCACCAACTAACAATTTTAAATGCCCTGTAGAAACAAAATAAGTGTGTTGTGGGGGGTGGTTTTCCTCCTTATTTTGGCCTTCAGTAACTAATCCTCCCTTTTCACATAACTTTAGTAAGCGTATTTGTTTCTTTTCAGAAATAGGTACGGTTCATTTTACCAACACAAAATGTCACTATTTACAACCCTTGGTGTTATGCTGTAAATCTATACCCTTGAGGTCTGTGGCTTTCAGCCAATAAAAGTACACAGGGGACTGGCATCGTGGCACCGCAAGTTAAGCTGCCACATGAGACACTGACATGATCAGAGAATGAGTTTGAGTCTCAACTGCTGTGTTTCTTGCTGATATGCCTGGGAGGGGAGTGGAAGGTGAACCAAGTACTTGGGCACCTGCCAAACAAGTGGAAGACCCTGATGGAATTCCAGGCTCCTACCTTGGGACTGGACCAGCCCCAGGTGGTCTGGGCCTTTGGGGAATGCTCCAGTGGATTTAAATCTATCTTATTCTGCCTTTCAAATCAATGGAAGGAAGGAAGGGAGGGAGGGAAGCAGGGAGGGATGGAGGCAGGGATGGAAGCAGGGAGGGAGGGAGAGAGGGAATGCACAGTACAAGAAGTGCACACACCTGTTTCAACCTGGAAAACATGATTTTAAAGCAAGACAAGCAGTAAATTCATCATTTACTTCATTTCCCATAATGAGGTTATGTTTTACAATGTCAATACACTAGTTCTAAGTAGACATAATGAGAAGAAAAAGCCAGGGTCTCTTTGGTAGTTTAGGCTGATGTGTAGGAAGGGTCCTGTGTGTGTTACAACCTCACAGACATTTGGAAGGCTTCCGGTAAAGGATGGAAGGTCAAGTTTGACCTCATTCCTTCCAGCCTCTGCTCTTTTAAGTCCCCACTGTCTCTCTTAAGGGTTTCAAGCCATCGTTTCTCTGTTTGCATTGCAGTGGAAGTCGGGGTTGGGTGAGGTTTGTTTTGCACAGACTTAGACAAGCCAACTTGTTAAACCACAGATGGACAGCAGTTGGAAAGGATCGTCCTCCCTCTAGCCTCCCCGCCCAGGGTCAGCGTGGACATCTGACAGGCCACCTGGGGAGGTGTTTGCACAGAGAGCTAGGGCTGCCTCACGTTCTGTGGCTGGGTCAGCAGCTTTTGAGAAACTGATTCTGTGGGTTTGTTTTGTCTCCTCTCCAGACTTGTGTTTGCTCAAACCGGTTCTTGGTGCAAAGGGGTATCCATGATGCCTTCGTCAAAAGATTTGTGGAGGCCATGAAGAAAACTCTCCATGTGGGCAACGGATTTGAGGCGGCCACCACTCAAGGCCCACTGATTAATGAGAAAGCAGTTGAAAAGGTCAGTTCATTGTGTTGGATTAGCTTCACAAGTTTGATATCTAAAGCTTACCTAAGCAAAACAACAACAACAAACACTGTGACAAGGCACCTGTTGAGGCCATAGAGAAAACAGGGCGGCAGGTGGATTGAATCCCTGGGTACATCTGTGTGTCACATGGATGACTAATTGACCTGGAAGCATGCCTGAGGATCACAGCAAGGCAGTGATGTGGAGAAAGGAGCACCCCTATACAGCTGGCAGGAATGTAAATCAGTATAGACACTGTGGATGTAGAGATGCCGTAAAAATAAGAAATAGACCTGCCACATGACCCATGATCCCATTACCTGGCATATGCCCAAAAGACATGAATCCCTTGTATCACAGAGTTACCTGCTTATTAGCCGCACTATTCACAACGGCCATATCAGTGTCCATCCTCAGGTGAATGTTGCATTCACTTATGGACACACAATGAAACGTTCTTCAGTTATTCAAAAGGGAGAATGGCATTCTACATTTGCAGCAAATGGTTGAAACTAGAGGGGCATCAAGCCCTACACAGAAAGACAAATGTTGCATGCTGTTCCTTCTATGTGAGAGCTAGAATTAAAGAAAGAAAAGCAGCATTGTTACAGAAAGACACACAGCTGCCATAAACAGGCCGGGGAGGGCTCTCTTTGTTGAAAAAAGAAAAGAAATATATTACCATCTAGGCTGCTACCCAAGGGAGATTTCTTTCTTTGTCGTATTGCTTTTAAAATCATCTTTTTAAAAATATCATCCTTTTTTTAGAGTCCTAAAAAGAACTTAAGGTAATGCCAAATATCCCATATGTTCCCTAGATAAGTCTCTACAAATAGCAAGGAGTTTAACAGTGTTTAACAGTGTTTTGAATCTGGTGGACACTGGCAGCTGGGGAATGTGTGTGGGGAAAAAGGAGGAGAAGAGAGCAGAGTGGGTGCAGGGAGCAGGTGCAGCCAGCCCCAGGTGAACCGAGGACCTAAAATCAAGCCAGCACCAAGCCAGGGCTTGAGTAGGAAGCACAGTGTGACTCTGCTCCACCTCCCTGCAGCCTGGGGATCACACTCACGCTCATGGCCAGCCCAGCCAATCCACAGGCAATCAGCTTCCTGCTGGGAAGTATCCAGGTTTGGCCAAGTTCAAGTGCAGTCCTGGTTTTTCCTTAGACTTCTCTAGGTAGCATGCATTAAGGTTCATTTTGGGACCATTAGCATCTTATAAGTGACTTTGAACCCCCAAGAACTGACCAGGGGTGCTTGTCTGTTTAATGACTAGGGTTTCGGCCATCTGTGGCTTAAGTCCCGAAAAGTGGCTCTCAGCTCCCCCCGCGTGCCTGTGATGACCACAGATGCCAAAGTTTCCTTTAAGGATATGGGTGTTTAGCTGTAGTGGGTTCCAGGCTTTGACCTGCAAGATGTCCCAGGGAGGCCAGTTGCATGCAACTGGGCAACTCAAAGTGAAATGCAAACAGTAGCCTCTAGATGGCGCTGTGTGCTAAACCATCAACAAATGTAATCACAACTTTCCTAATTTCATGGAAAGAAGCTGAGTAGAAAACATCTTGATTAAAAACAGCACATTGTGCTACTTTAGTCCACTTGTTGTCATGAAGTGTGTCCCAGGAAATATCACTGCACTTCATATTTAATATGACAAGAGGCAGGTACAGCAGGTTCTATTTAGGGGCAAGGGGTGGGCTACTCTGTAAAGCAAGTTAAATAGCATTTTAAAAACATAAATCAGGGCCAGTGTTTGTGGCGTGGCAATTTAAACCCCCCTTGCAACACCAGTATCCATTATCAAGGTGTGGGCTGCTCCAATGCCGCTCTTTGCTGGTGTGTTTGGAACGCAGTAGATAATGACTGAGTACTTGGGCCTCAGCCACACGCCAAGAGAAAACCCAGGTGAAAATCCAGGCTTTTGACTTTGGCCTGGCCCATACCTGGAAGTTGTGGCAATCTGGAAATAAACAAACAGATGCAAGATCTCTCTCTCTCTGTCTTTCCTTCCCTCTTACTCCACATTTCAAATAAATAGAATAAGTAGTAATGTGGTACCAGCTTCCCATATGGGCATCAGTTCAAGTCCTGGCTGCTCCACTTTTAATCCAACTCCCTGGTTATGGTCTGGGAAAGCAGCTAAGGATGGCCCAAATGCTTGGTTTCCTGCACCCATGTGGAAGACCTGGAAGAAGTTCCTGGTTTCAGATCAGCTCAGTTTCAGCTGTTGTGGCTTCTAGGGAATGGACCAGCAGATGGAGGATCTCTCTCTGGCTTTCCTTCTCTTTCTGTAAAATCTGCCTTTCAAATGAAAATAAATAAATCTAAGTGAAGCTGGGACACAATCGCTATTTGGATGTGGACGACCCAAGGGACACCTTAATTGCTATATCAAATGTTAGGCCAAATTTTTGTCATTGACTTGAGTATATTCCTACTTATAAAGCAGTATGCTGTGCGATTGTGCCAGCAGCAGCCTTATGTAAGTCATGTTTGCCACATTTCCTGACCGTCATTTTCTCTCTTGCTTACATTGCATTTTGTGGTATTCTGTCCTTCACGACTCCACCAGGAGCAGCAGGCTCTACACGCACCACCTCCACACACACACACACACACACACACACAAACACACACACAGAGCAGGGTGTCGTAGGCTGTACCTCTAGGTGTGTCAGTACCTTCCATGACAGTCACCCTGGAACGATGCATTTCTCAGAACACACACACACTTCATGATGCCCTGCATGACCATATTGAGGAGACTGGATCAGCACAAAATCACAGTCAAGTCCAGGAATGAAGGCGATGTGAGATCCAGAAACTGGAACTAACCTCGGAGTGCCATGAAAGCAAATCCCAGGAGAAGCACGGAGCAGCAGGCTGAGAAAGAGGACACGGATGTGAGACCATCCAGCAAGCATGGGGTCAGCAGCGGGAGGGAGAGTCGCAGAGCAGGGATCAGGCCCTCTCTGCACACGCACCTGCCTGCCCATCACCTCCGAAGCATTGCATGTTCCTCTCAGAGAGGAGGAGCCAGGCGCTTTAAGGAAAAAAAAAAAACCAAAAAAAGGATAATGACAGTTTTCTGCCATAAGATGCCCCAAGGGCCTGTATCATTTGGGAACCATTCTCCTCTGACCTTCCCAGGCGTTCTTCTCTTTCTTGTCTTTCAGGTGGAAAAACATGTGAGCGATGCCGTTTCCAAGGGGGCCACTATTGTGACTGGCGGAAAGCGGCACCCCCTCGGGGGAAACTTCTTCGAGCCCACCCTGCTCAGCAGCGTCACCCAGGACATGCTCTGCTCCAAGGAGGAGACTTTTGGGCCCCTGGCACCGGTGATCAAGTAAGATCATTCAGGAGAAAGCATGGGAAAGAAAGGAAACCTGGCCAGAAAATGTCTCGTGTGATTTTGAGGAGCGTGTGCTGTGGGCAGGGTGAGGGGTGGGCGGCTCAGAGAGGCAGCGGAAAAGCAGAGTTGGTGTTTTGAAATCATTTCTTTAGACCACAGTGTCTATCCTATACACCCCTTCTGCTAAAGTCACTTTTCTTACCGGAGTGCATCGTCACGGAGTCCTTTCTTGGGAATCCATCAAAAACGGGCTCTCTCTGTCCTTTTGTGGTCTTCTGCTACACAAGTGACAGTCTGCCTGGGTCAAATCCCAGGATCGACACTCGGCAGGCCTCGCTCCTTTCTCTGCTGATACCCTGGGTCCTTGCTGAGCGTTCCGACATCCAGTTCTAAGGGGTCTGTTCTTTTAGGATACCTGCAGAGATTCTCATGGGCTCTGGTGTGCCTGCGTTTTGCTGTGATAGCTTTTGGGTAGCACCATAAGCTCGCGAAGTGTTGATTTAGTGCTGGGAAATTCTCGGTCATTATTTCTCCAGTTCCCTCCCTCCTTGTACCCACTTCCAGGCTTCCTAGTCCAGTCCAGTGTTGTGTCCCCTGCCCTCCTCCATGGCTCCTCTTTCCAGTGCGTTTGGGGGAACTTCCCTCCATCCGTCAGCTCATCCATGCCTTCGTCACACAGACCCGTGCTGCTGTCCCACCCAGCCAACCAGCCGCCATGTTCTTTACCTCAATCTTCTGTTTTTGACCTACTCCCTATCTCTGCTTGGTTCTTCCCCATGACAGATGCTTGCTGTTTTTGCTGTTCTTCTTCCTTGTGCTGTGCATATTTATCCATTATATTTTCAGTGAGTTGCATGGCTGTGATACTTCTAAAAGCTTATTTTGATACTTCTAAAAGCAAATGTTGAAATCACATGTGAGGGGTGTTCTAAAAGGTCAGAGCAGGGGCTTGCATGGTGGCATAATGAGTTAAGTCTCCACCTACAGTGCCCGCATCCCATATGGGCACAGGTTCGAGACCTGGCTGCTCCAGTTCTGATCCAGCTCCCTGATAATGTGCTTGGGAAAGCAACAGATGATGACCCAAGTGCTTGAGGCTCAGAACCCATGTGGGAGACCCAAGTGAAGTCCCTGGCTCCTGCCTACACCCTGGCCCAACCTGGGCCATTACAGCTCTTTGGAAGATTTCTCTCTCTTTTTGCCTTTCCCCATCTCTGTAGTTCTTTCAAATAAAGAAAAGTTTAGATGTGTTGTGGAGGGAAATGAATGATTTTGAAATTTTGGGGGCACCAAAGTAAACTTGTAACTCCATTGTCTACAAGCTTTTAAAAGGCCCTATCTGTCTCCTCCAGCATAGGTCGTGCCATGTGTTGTCTCTCTTGGAGTCCTCAGAAGTCTTGTAAACTTTTTCATGACCTTGTCTTGAACCTCTTGAGTTTGTAACAGCCTTGGCCTAAAATGTCAACCATGGGGTTAGGGCAGAACTCAGATCTCTGTGCTTCTGCTGAGACATTAGCAGGGCGAAGGTTTAGCTTCTTGTATCAGAATCCCATATCACTGGCACTGCCTCTGCCAGGCATCCTTTGCCCCCTGGGTATTTTGCAGTTACCTCTACTGTGGTAGAATGAGAAGAGGCAGCTGGTGGCCATGCCTGCATTTGCTCTGGACAAGTGCGTGTGGGGCCAGGGTGCTGGCTGGGTCTCCCTGTGCCATTCTGGGGCTGTTGTTCAGCTCCACAGCCACTGAGCGTGGGGCCAGGGATTCCTGTCTGTACGCAGAATCATCTGAAATTCCCAGGAATTCCGGAGGACAGCAGCCCTACCTTGCCAGGCTCTGGAGGGCTCCTGCCCTGCACTGGGGGACCACCTTAAGGCTGTCATTCCTCCGAAGATCCAGCCACCTGTGCTGGTCGCTGGTCATGGCTTGGTTAAGCTGTGGTTCTCTGTTACACTCTGGTATCTCTAGCCTTAGGGGCACAGGTAAGGTTGGAAGCTGGGGCTGGCTGTGCCACCTTGTCCGAGACTAGAAAATCTTATTATATGCTGTGCTGGCCTTGTCCCCATTTGGCTAAGGCCTGCTTTTTCACCACTACGGAAATGGATTGATAGAAGAACTTCCAACTTGTTATAAAGTTATGTACCTGGAATGTTGCTCGAACACATCCACAGGAGACCAAGGGCTTTTCCAGAGAGGCTGGTGTGAGGAACGAGGCCTTGGAAGGGTCTCAGACCAAGCCATCTTGGGTCCGGGCCTGGCTGTTGGCAAGACCGCTGCTCCCCCTGCTGGCAGATCCCTGCAGTTAGCAACAAGTACTTGGAACCTTCTGCCCAGGTTCCAGTTCTAGAGCAGAAAAATGTCACCCAAATCTTGTTCCTGAAATAAACCAGAAGAGACAGCCCAGAGATTTGGTGCTCTCCAGGTCAGAAAGCCACTGTAGTTTGTGAACACCTGGGCGGAAGTGGGAGAGCCCCTCCTCCGGGCGGCTGTTTCCCCACCGCGTTAGACCGCTCTGAAGTCATCTCATGCCTCTTACGTTCAAGGGGCAAGGGGACTAGATTTGTAATTCTTTTCCCGACTTGCCTCCTGACCTGCCTTTTTCCTATTTGCAATGTGGATTTGCAAATGTTCAGCCCTACAGAGAGAGAGATGTGTTTTTCTCCTGTACCCTCCCCCTAGGTCTCTTCAGGCAGCTGACTCACTCCAAGCCATTATTTGGACAACCCATCAGGAGACAACAAAGCTGGTTTTCTTTATTGACACCCTGTGTTGACTTTGGCAGGTTCGATACGGAAGAGGAGGCCATCGCCATTGCCAATGCCACCGACGTGGGGCTAGCAGGTGGGTGCCCGTCCTCATTCTAGCTCAGGCCAGACTCTGCCCTCAAAACACTGCCCAGGGTTCTGATGAACACCAATGGAGCATGTTCTGTTGCTCTCTGGGTGGCAGTGGGTTTTGAACAAGTGTTTATTCTCTCCTCACGTCCCCATGGTACACATGCTGGTTAGAGCTGCATGTGGGCGCAGTGGGGGGGAAGAGATAGTGCAGACTGTTCTAGATGGAAATCACAGCCTCCTCCACAGCCCCGTGTTTTTGGGGGCTCAATGCCCAGAAATTCCAGTCAAGTACTTTTTCTTCCATTGTGCCAGATCCTGGAGCCTGAACAAGGGGGAGACGGAAGCCCAGAGATAGGGCAGAGTGTGCCAGGGAAGATGGAAGTGGTGAGATAACATGTGCCAGAGGGAGAGGGGGTCCCCTCAGTGGCTGCCCTTCTGCCAGTTTGATGATGATCAGGGTGACCACAGTACATGTCTAGTAACCCTGAGAAAATCGCGAATCAGCACCCACAGGGAGCAAAACACTGAGGAACGTGTGAAGACTTCCAAGATGCAGTTACAGCCCTAGAGAAGTGCCCCTTGGGAGCTATTTGTAGCATGAGGAAGGCTTCCCATGGCCTGGGTCCCTTTCCCTGTGCTGCATGCTCTGTGCCCATAAGGCTGGAGTAAGACAAATGTGTCGGGCATCCCACAACACTGTGTTCACAGCTCGTTTCTTCCCATTGCCATGGCATGAGGAAGCCATGCCCTGGACTAGGTTATACATTGTGGGCAAGGGTTTTTTTTTTTCTTTTGAAGATTTATTTAGTTGAAAGGCAGAGTTAGAGTGAGCGAGACAGAAATTATCTTCTACCCTCTGGTTCACTCCTTAAATGGCTGTAATGCCACAGCCAGGCACCAGGATCCAGGAGCATCCCCTGGGTTCAGAGGCCCAGACACTTGGGCTAGCTTCCATGCTTCTCCCAGGTCGTCAGCAGGGAACTGGAGCAGAAGTGAAGCAACTAGGACTTGAACCAGTACAATGGGCAAGATTCTGACTGGGGTGATCAGAGGCAAAGCAAAAGAGAGTGGGGAGAATTTGGTGGGTGACTTTGGGAGAGGTGGGGGGTGACTGGAGCATTAGAAGGCAAAGCTGAAAATACTGATTGAAACCACATTCGGGTTTGAATGCCCACTATGGGATTTTTGACTTGTGTTACAGTCAGGAGTCACCAAAAGGTTTGTGCAGAAATGTCTGTGGAAAGTGAAGCAAGGCATGCGAGCTGGAGCACACCACAGGAAGTGGAAGCTGGGGAGGTTAACCCACCATCCTGCTCTAGGATGGTGAGAGTCCTGGCAAGAGACAAGCAGAAGTGAAAGATAATCCCAGAGGTTTCACATAAAGAAGTGGCTGATCAGGAAGCCAGAGGGTTCCAGGCCCACGATGAACAGGTGTCAGTTGGGTCCTCAGCTGTGGCCGTGAGGTCTTCATTGAGGGACCACCTAACATACCCTTTCTTCCCCACAACAGGTTATTTTTATTCTCAAGACCCAGCACAGATCTGGAGGGTAGCAGAGCAACTGGAAGTTGGCATGGTTGGCGTTAACGAAGGCCTCATTTCCACTGTGGAGTGCCCTTTTGGCGGGGTGAAGCAATCTGGCCTTGGGAGAGAGGGTTCTAAGTATGGCATTGACGAGTACCTAGAAGTCAAGTATGTGTGCCAAGGAGGCTTGTAGGAGCCTTCAGTTCTTCAGGAAATAAAAAAAAGGAAGCTTGCCCACATAAATGGGGACCTGTCACCTATTGTGTTAAACAAATTGTAGGTTGTTAGAGTTAGGAATTTTTTTGTTTTAGAACTAACCCAGTCCCTGTAGTCTACAGCAGGTGTAAATCCTACCCCTGCCCTTTCCAAACTGGGGACCAGTGCAAGCAGTGTGGCTGTGGTGGCATCCTGTAGGACACTCTAAGGCCATGCTATGCCCCATCTGCCTGCAGAGCAAAGCCTGAGCACAGCCAGGTCCTGCAGGCTCCACTCATGGGTCCAGGGAGACTCCTGAGCGTGGCTGAGGGCTGAGTTGGGGGCATGGTAAGGTTAGGGGTGGGTGTAGATTCAGAGGTGTCACTGCAAGGGTTAAGCTTTGGTTTAGAGACCTCTGAGGCAGCACAGAGCTGCCTGGGCTTCTGAGTGAAGCAGTGCTTCACTGTGATCCTGGAACAGTGTTTCCTCTGCAGGATTCATCAGCTTTAAGTGTCTGCTTTTGATTTCCCCCAGGGGCTAGGCATCCACCTGGAGCAGAGAACAGCAGAGGGAGTCTTGGGATGAAGGCAGGTGCCAGAGGCCTGGGCCTGGGCCTTTCCCTAGCAGCCTTCTTGTCCCTGTGGACACACCGACTCAGCACCTGCTGCCTTGTGTGTCAGGTGGACATCTTCCATAGGCCTGGGTGAACCCTACAGCTGCAGTCAGCCCAGGAGACAGTGAGAATACTTTGCAAAAAGATAGAAACCTTGGTGTTACGAGCAGCCCCACCTAGCTTCCTCTTAAACAATACATCATCAGGGGCCTTACCAAGCTGCAGGTCCACCTGCCTGACCCCAACCCTGTGCCTGCTGCATCCAGCTTGCTCTCTACATCCTGAGGCAGAGCTGTCCCTTCCCTAAACTCGCCACAGTAGTCTCAAAAGAGAAAAGAACTCCCAGAATTGCCGCCCACCCTCCTAAAGGGGCAGAAGCCTTGAGTTTGGGTATCTTTTGTCTAGACAATCTGTACAGTTCAACATTCAAAAACCACACAAGACACAAGACCAGCTCTGCCTCTCAGAAAACTTCCCAGAAAAGTCTAGGCTCTTCTAGACCTGTCTTCTACTTCCTGGCCACAAAAGCAGAGAGGTCATTCCTCCTTCTGCCCCCATCTCAGCATGCAAGCCCCACTCTCCTTCTGGAGCAGATGAATCCAACTGCCCCTAAGCCCCTCTCACTTTTACAAGTCCCCTCTCCTCCAGCCATGGGACACTGAGTCACTGAAGGCCTGCCAAGTACCGAGCACCTAGGGACAGCTTCCAGGCCTGGAACTGGCTCCCTCACAGCCCGGATTATACCAGCGCATGGCCAAGGTCAAAGGAGAGAAAAGCAGAAATCTGCCTTCTAGAGACACTGCACAGGCCCCATCAGGAATCCCATACCCACATGAAAAAAAACTTAATTTCAATTCTCTATTGGTATAATTCTTAGATAACTAATTACTAAAGATATGGGTGTGCCCATCTGTTTTCTATGAAGAATGCAGATGTTCACACATTATTTTTTAGGAGTCTGACACCCATGCTAAGCTGTGCAGAAGATACTTTCAAACACATTTTTAAAAAATAAATAAAACTTTGAAAGCCAGTTGCTCAGTGGCCAATTTTAAATTTCCTTGCACATTTTGTTCTCTAAATTGAGGACCAAAGGCTCATGGGCCATAGCCTTGATCAATTTTGTAGTTAATTTGAAAAGGAACAAGCTTATTGTCTAATGAAATGGTTCTAGAGTGTGGGAAGAAAGAGCAGTATTTTTCAATGGACATGTTTTTGTTAATGTGTCCATTTATGATAGATGAGATTTAAATTATACATATATAATATATATATTATATAATGTACGCACATACATCATGAAATGAAAAAGGCTCATGAGACCAGGGGCTGACAACATCCCACATACAGGGCAAGTCCTGCCTGCATCTGTTTTTGTCCACTACGATAGCTATGAATTGTATTTTCAAATGTGTGGGGGGGAAAAGTCAGAGCAGCATTATATGACACATGAAAACGCTATGAAATTCTGATCTCAGTGTCCATATATAAAACATTGTTGGGAAACAGCCACACCTTGGGTTACATCAGCCAATCACCAGGGTCGAAGGAGAAGGAAGCAGAAGGCCCCAGTTAGTGAGCACCCCTTTACTGGGATTGTTAGGGGCTGTTTTAGTTAGGATATTGGTGTGACCATCTTTGCATGTAATTTTCATGTGACATGGATTGGCAGAGTTCAGCAGTGTGGCCTGCAAAGCCTAAAGTGTTTGACCCCTTGAAGGAAACATCTGCACCCAGCCTCTGACCTAGGCCAGGCGTGAGATTGACCTTCCCACTTCCGCTAGACATCATTTTATTTTCCTAATGCCTGTGTAGATGCGTGACTACCATGGGTTCTCAGTAGGAACTTCCCAGCAGTTACCATATAACTCAAATGAAAAGACCAGCTAACAGGAGTCCTTTGGCCTTGAAGAAGCACTTTTCAACGTGTAGGTCCCACTAAACTAGGGCTTCTTGCTGAGCGAGCTGAGCCACAGCTGTTGCCCAGCCATTTGAGTGGCTTTTAAGTAGATTTTTTGGGAAGTGCTGTGTGTGTGTCTGCCTTTATGCCTGTGGTGCGACTACTTGAAACAAGACCAAGGGCACTGTGTAAGCAAATCCGTTTCATTGTTGACCCATCCTACGAACTTGAAATTATGCCTCATGGCTTTTCTCTGAAGGCTGGATCCCAGTGTTTGGCTCACCCAAGTGCAGCTATTTTAAGTCCCCTTTGACTTGAATCAAACATATGCTGTGATTTCAGGCTGTACTTTGTGGGCTAAGACTTGGTGTAAATGTAGCAGGAAGCGTAAGAACACTAGTTTTTAAGCATGTGCCCATGACTTATTTTTCTAGTTTTTGGCAATTGTGCATACCCGTGTTGGCAGATGCTTGTGTGTGTGTGTATGTGTGTCATTAATAAACACTGAACAATGTCCTGTTCATATGTTCGGGTATCTGGCTGTATCATTTTTTTTTTCTTGCTAGGTTGTCATGTGGGTTCGTAGGACACCACATTTGACCAGTTTAGCTGTGTGAAAACTACACTTCCTCCCGTCAGGGCAGCTTGTTGGTGGGTACTGTGAGCCAGAAGCCAGAATAGGAAATTTGTGCCCAAGCATTGAAAGGAGGGTCTGCCCATGGTTCCCACTCAGCAGATGTTTGTGAAACTCAACCAAGAATATTCTAGAACACAGTAGTGGCTGCAATAATTCAGGCATGTGCTCCAACTGTCTCAAATTCACCAATCTCTCCTCCATTCATCCCACTAGTATCCATTACATGTTTTGTTTTTTTCAAGGTATCTTTGAATACAGAAAAATTTGAGGAAGAAACTTTCTGAAACTCTGATTTTTAGATCTCATTAGTATTACTTCATACTGGTCTTCAAATTATTGGTGGAAACTGCACATTAACTTTTTAAAGTTATATTTATTCAAAAAGTAGAGCAAGAGAGAAAAATCTTCCACCCACAGGTTCATTTTCCCAAATGCCCACCTGGCTAGACCAGGTCAAAGTCAGGAGCTTAGAATCAAGCGAGGTCTCTCAGGCCAGGGACCCAACTACTGACACCATCACCAAGTGGACACCATCTGGAAGCAAAGCCAGCACTGGAACCTAAATGCTCTCAAATGGGATCTGGGCATGCCAAGCAGTAGCCAACTGCTGTACCACAATGCCCACCCCACACATTATCCTTGAATTTGTCCACAACTTTTTTAAGTCCCTCGTTATCATCTTAACTGTTTTAGCTCATTTTCTGCTGCCAATGACACAATGCCAGAGCCAAGAGGTTGTAAAGGAAAGAGGTTCACTTTGGCTCACAGTTTTGGTGCGAGGGGCCGAGGCTGCATCTAATGATGTTTTCTTGCTGACAGTCCCCGAGCAGCACACAGCATCACACAGCAAGAGGCAAGGAGCCTGCAAGAGATGCTGTCAGATAGGCTTTCACTGCAAACATGGGTGCTCCAGAGTTAACTCATTCACCCAGGGTCCACTCGCAAGGACAGAGCCCTGATCATCCCTCCCAAGAGTCCTACCTGGTCCCAGCATGCCATCTCAGAGTGGGATTAAGTTGCAAGTCAAGTCTAGGAAGAAACAAATGGCATTCAAACCATAGCCACAGTCTAGCTGCTATTTTCATCTCACATTCTTTATATTTTAAGAACTTTCATATGGCTTTACTGACTTCCCACCCTCCCGCCCTGCCCCATGTATCAACAGATGGTAATTGATAAGGAAAGATTATTGCTGAAGATTGGGGTCAACAAATGCATAGTTCCTTCTGCCAGGTTTTGCTCTCATGCCCAAACCCTGTTTGGTTTTTATTATTTTATTATCTTTTTGTTTTTGATGATGTTTACATAGTCGATGAGGGTGGGAAGGGTCGAGAATCAGGGGAAAGTGGACAATATCACTGTTTCCAATTTTCTTTTTCTTCTTGTATCTGAGGGAAAGGGAGAGAGAAGGAGAGAATCCACACCCAGCTTCCCAACCTACTCAGTGCCGGGGAAGGGGAACAGCCACCTGATGTCATCCCAGGGTCCCCAGTGTGGAGCATGCTTCAAGGGTTCTGCTCATCTCATTTCTTTAGTTCTGGAATGCTGTCAATCTTGCCAATCCAAGGATGTGGAAATCCTTTCAAGGTCCATTGGCTGATACAGTCCACCTTAGTCTCCAATTCACCCTTATATTTACTATAAACACTTGGCTGGGGTAGGTGACCAATGTTTCTGCCTTTCTTTCTCTGTTACCAGATGTCCTCTGCAGGACCCTAAGGACTGCCATATCCTTGTGCATCTGGACATGCACTCCACTGCTCTGTCTTAGCTACAGAGACGACCCAGTTCTGACACATGCACTCCACAGTCAGACCACAGATCCTCCCCATGGTTGGAGTTCTGAGTCCAGCGGTTCAGTTAGGGGGATCCCCACAGAGACCTCGTTTGAGATGATCCCAGACCTGACTCTCCTTTGTCATGCATGTATGGGCTCCGGCTCTGTTCGTCACCCACACCAGCCTACGCACACACTGGTAGTTGCAATTGCTGAGTCAGTTCTGGATCCAGGCCCAAAAACCAATAGATGTTGTGGCCCAGCCCAGCCCTGCCCACCACACACTCAGCCCTCACATACGTCAGCGGGAACTGCAGTCTAGTTGGAGCAACCCTCAATAACCCCTACTAGGCCTGCACCCAGCCCTCGTTACTCTGCTTGCCAGTATGTACCACAGACTGGTCCAGTTTGTCCCACATCCCATTCAGCTTTTATATACATCCATGGTCACTGGAGCCTAGCTCAACCCAACTGACCCCACTACTAAGTCCACACTCATGCTGACAGGTGCCACCACCTGTCCAGCCAGGCCTACCTCCAGCCCTGGTTCTCATGCTCACCAGTGAGAGCTGCTGTCCTTCAGAAAGGTGCCCAGTCTCCCTACTGGGTCCATTCCTAGTCCCAGATCTTGTACTTTCCAGACAGTTCTGTAGTCTAACTTGACAGGGCTTGTCTCTGGTCCCAGAACTTGCCAACTGATGCTACAGCAAAGCCCAACCAGCCTGCATTTACTGTGGCTCATGTATGTATCAGTGGATATAGTCGGTTAGCCCAGTCTGGCTCGTCTCCTAACCCTGTTACATGTAGGCCAACAGGTGTTGTAGCCCTACCCAGCCTGGTCTGCCCGGAGTTCATTCTCATGCTCACCAATTGGGATCAATGACCAGAAGGAAACTCCCATAGCCCTCCTGCTAGTCTCACACCACTCCCCGGGGGTGTCACATGTGCTGGAGGGTGCTGCAGCCCAGTCTGGCATGGCCCACCTCACCTCAACATTAGCCGACGGGTACTATGGTCTAGCCTGGCCCCCTCTGCCTTCAACTCTAGCTCATGCCAGGGGCTGCTGCAGCCTAGCCCAGTACAGCCCAGCACACACTCCAGGACCTATGCGAACTGGCTGGTATTGCAGCCTGACCTGGCCTGTCCTGTACCACGTCCTGGTTCTCCGATTTGCCAGTGGGTATTATGAACTAGCCTAGCCTATTCTGCCCCCAGACCTGACACACAAGTATGCTGGCAGATACAGTAATCTGGCCTGGTCTGGGCTGCTCCCAGCCTTGGTTCTTGCACTAACCTGCAGGGACTGCGTCCTGACAGAGGAGTTCCCCAAGCTCCTCTACTGGGTCTCCTCCCAGCTGCAGCTCTCGCACACACACTGAGTCCTTGGTCCAGCCTAAGTCCATCTCCTGTCCTGGCAGGAACAGTGGCCTTGCCCAACCAGCCTACACCCAATCTGGCACTTACTGTTGGAGCTTCAGCCCAACCATATCTGGTCCATTCCCTGACACAGCTCTCATATGGTTCAGCAGATGCCAAGACCTAGCCCAGCGTTACACTCACCCTGGCTCTCACAAGCATCAGTGCATGCTGGAGTCTAGCCTAGCCTAGTATATCTCAGACCCAGTCTACATCCATGCCTGGGGAGAATATAGTCATGTCTAGCCCAGGTTGCAACCACCTCCATTCCAGCTCTCACGCTCACCAGTGGGAACCACAATCCATCCAGGGCATCCCCTTAGCATCCTGACCAGGTCTGTCCCCAGCCCCAGATCTTGCAAATGCCAGTGGTTGCTCTATCTAGTTTGGCATAGCCATACAGATTTCACATGTGTTCGCGGGTGCTCCGCCCTTACCTGGCATAGTCTGCCCCCTCTGTCCTGGCCTTTGTATGAGCTGATAGGTGCTGCAGCCCAACCTGCTCCACACTCTATTCTTGGGTGCACCTACAGGTGCTGAAGCCTGGACCAGCCCGGCCTTTTCCCAACCCCAATATCCATGAATGTTAGAAGGTTCCATAGTCATGCCTAGTTCAGCACATCACTACTCCAGCTCTTAAGCAAGCCAGTAGAAATTGCAGTTCCACAGGGGTGGACCCACATATCCCCCACAGAATCTGCCCCAGACCTGGTTATCTCACATGCTGGTTAGTGTCATGGCCCAGCCTAATATTACCTGTCCCTTGTCCCAAGTCTTCACTGGCAGGTACTGTGATCTAGCCCTGCCAGGCAGGCCCCCAGCCCTGGCTTTAGTGTGCACTGCTGAGTGGTGGTCGGTTGTGATTCATGTTAAAAAGCCCAGCTCAGGTCTCCCACGTGGGCTGGTGCATTGGTCTGACCCATAAAGGTCCTCCAGTTTCTCCCTCTTCAAACCACTCGGTCCCAGTCCCTGTGTTTACCTGCAACCACAGCAGTAGCTTTGTCGACGCAGGTCCTTCAGAGCTCAGTCCTCACCTGCAACATACTCCTTCAGTCCTCCCTCCCACCATCTCCTTCCCCCTCTCCCTGATCATTCCATAGTCCCTGCGCCCTGGGAATGCATGGGTTAACCAGCCCAGCCTTCTGAAACTCAGTCTTTTGCTGGGGGTAGGGTTCTGGCCTGAGCTCTACCCACCTACTAGGGTCCCAAGTTCCTGGCATATGTGCTAGCCTTGGACCTTACCCCTCCACACACACACACGAGATCCAGGTCCATTCCAAGTTCCCCAAGCACAGCACAACAGGCCAGCACACTATCCTAGTGCTCTCCTCCCCACATAACTCCTGGCACCAAGCATGTGGAAATCCCCAGGCTTGGCTCACTCTGCCTGCCTGGACGTGAGCGCCCAGGTTCCTGCACGCCCCTGTAAGCAACATCCCCCATGCTCCCTGCAAGGCCACACCCCCAGACTCCCAAAAGCCCACCACTGCAAAGCACAAAGGTGCCCAGCTAGACGCTGCCGCAAAGCACCCTGTTTTGGTTTTTAAAATGGCCATCTCATCAGCAAAAGTGACCTACTTACCTCTCCGAGGAATGTCACAGGCTTGGGCTAGCCTTCTGCTGAGAGGAAAATGCATTATCCTCTTCCAACTATTTGTTCTCTAGCCATCAGGAAGTTGGCATGTATTACAGCAGCTATCTATTGATCTCGGTACAACAAATTAAAAAGAAAGTTTGTATATTCCTCCTTGGTTAAGGCTGGGAGGTTTGCTCAGAGTGTTGAATGGCCACAGGCATAGCATATTTATCTCTAATGTTTATGAATGAACACAGATGGATTTAGAGATGGGCCATCATGCTGATCAACTTTAAAAAAATTATTTTGTTTTTATTTGAAAGGCAGAGCTATAAAGAGAATGAGAGAGAGAAAAGCCTTCCATTTGCTGGTCCACTCCCCAAATGGCTGCCACTGCTAGAGCTGAGCCAGTCTGAAGCCAGAAGCCAGCAGTTTCTTCCAGGTCTCCCATGTGACGGCAGGGGCTCAAGCACTTGGCCCATCCTTTGCTGCCTTCCCAGGTCATCCACAGGGAGCTAGATCAGAAGTGGAGCAGCCAACACATGAACCAGTGCCCATACGGGATGTCAGTGTCACAGGGGGAGACTTAGGCTACTATGCCACAGCACTGGCCCAGTTGCTAGCCAATTTAAACTCAGAGGTGTAGCAGCAAAATGTCTTGGGAATGGTAATCCAGACACATGGGTTCACAGAGCTCAGACAATGCTCCGAGGGAGGCAGAGAGGGAGGTGCTGAAAGAAAGAAACTGGTGAGGAAGCACTCAGTAGTACAAATGTCTGTGTGGGGAGTGTCCAAGGAGACGCTGAGGCGGGACAGGGAGTGTCCAAGGGCCAAATGGCATTTCAGGCTTTGAAGACAGTCCCAGTGCAAACTACTCAACTCAGTCACAACAGAGAGCCACCACAGGAAACACATACATACACCAATGGACAAAGTTCCCATCAAAGTTTATTGATAGGCACAAATCTGAGTTGCACATAGTTCATGTGTTACAAAAACAGTTTCTGGATTTTCTTTCAAACAGAACACCTTTGTGGAGGGGTGCTGGGATGTACAAAAACAGGGATAGGCAACAGTTTTGGACCCGTCCTCAGGGGAAATCCCTCCTAGAGGGTTGGGGAACACTTCATCTGGCCCTGGCAAGGCAGCTGCAGGTGGGATTCAAAACTTAACAAGTCTATAGGAGCCAAATCTGTACGTCAATCAGTTTGTATGGTCCATGGCTGTTGTTGTAAATATCCAAACTCCCTTGACATAATAAAAGTGTCAACGAGTGTCAAGGGAGAAGTGTCAGGAAGGCCCATTTCCCCTGAAATATAAGAATTGCAGAAAATCCAGATACGGTTTATTTGGGTTAGTATATGTATTTAGTAGAGTTATTTCAGAAATGACACTTTGTCAACTCATGGGGGGAGTTTATACACAGAAAAAAAAAAAAAAAACTAAGGCCAAGACCAAAATCACAGGCCTTGCCAGCTAGGTTACCAGGGCAACAACACAGCCCCCGCTCCTCACCTACCGCATGTTTCAAGAGGTTCTTCAACTACAAACATGCTTCCCCACTCATGCTGTGGGTCTGAGGCCGCCTTCCTTGAAGCAAGCCCCTATCAGCCTGTGAGCCCTGCAAATGTACCCTCTGCACATGCACCAACTCAGGGGTCCAGCGCTCCCATCTATCCACAGGTGTTGGGTGACAAGTGGCACAAGATGGAGGAGGCGGGCCGCTCATGGCCATTGTGTGCCGGCCCCATGGTGAGCGCTCAGGCAAAGGAGAGGACTCACTTTCCAGTTATGTTTACTGCTTATTCCCCAGACTTCAGGTTCCCTCCCAGAGGTCAGGTTGCGATGGCCAGGGCAGAAAAGGAGGATCAATGTGCAAGCCCAGAGGGACAGTGACTTAGGGCATGAGCCACAGGACAGCCTGGCCAGGCACCTCTGCCCTCATTTCTTGTCCTGAAAAGGGACACGTCCAGAGCGATTCCTCTCAGGCCCAGAAACAGAATTTCCATTAGGCCTCCAAGGTCACCTACATTTGCCCTCCAACAGCTAGAGCCGGAAGCTCTCTCCACAGTGCAGGAGGAGGCTATGGGGGCGGCGGGGGGAAATTCAAGGACTGCCGTTTAAATAAAGTTTACACTCATTTCCCACACCTGCCACTTACAGGGACCTGGGGCGGACTGTACCTTCTTGGGCCCTCATAGGCTGTTCTGCCACAGGGGAACAGGAAATCTCCATTTTGAAAGGATGAACTAAGTGTGTAAGTTGCACATGCCGGGTGGGTCCCTCAAGCAGGATGCTCTCACTGCCTCCACCCTCATGCTCCATGGCTTCACAGCTGGGCGGCCATCAGGGGTGAGCCCTGGTCACCGGCAAGACTCAAAAGCGATGAAGCCAAATGCTGCTGCAAGAAGCGTCATACCTCCTCGCAGCACTATAGCCAGCCGGGGACTGATTAGTGATGCACAAGCTATAGGCATAAGCAAACATATTGTTTTTAACCACACTCATCAATTCTTTACTTTGGCCACTCGCCAATCAAGTACAAGAAGGAAAAAAAAAAAAACATGGTCCCACGAGGATGTATATTCCTGGAAATGACAAAAGCCCCTAATGTTTTATTTCCTTCACGTGCCCCTGGGAACCACTGTTCTGATTCTCCTGCTCTGATGGCTCCTCTCCATCAGCAAAGCAGCCCTCGCTTTCCCCACGGGGTTACAAAACCAACAGGCTATCGCTTGGGTGACTCTGGTCCTGTCTCTCACTGTAGTCCTCCCACAAAGAATGCCAAGTCACTGCCAAGGCCACTAGCCTCAGGACCCAAAGCCAACGGTTTTCCAGGTCACGGTCACCTTCAGTGAATGCTCTACACTGATGCTTCATGGGTGGGAATAAGAGTTGATTTTATCTGCTTGCATGTTTAAAGTAAAATATTAAGGGAAAAAATCAGTATTTTTTTAAAAGCATATGAAGTGACTATGTCCACGTCCAGTTATTTTTATTATTATGACCATACATCCCAAGGGAGACCTGTGCGTTCAGAGTTCTGGAATACACACACCATTGCAGAGTTGCCACTCCTCCCTCTAGTCAGTCAGTAAATGAATGCAGGGCCTGGAGTACTCACTCAATACATGTTTGGTGAATTAGTAATGACCTTTCTTGTGTATAAGCTGGGGCTAAGGTAGGCTTCTGTGTAATTTGCTTATGTTAGCTGTCACCTGCACCTTTCGACCTACAGCTATGCTCCTTTCCTGTGGCCTCTGGTACTAAGAACACATTTCTTCTGTTCTCAAGAGCCCTTTCTAGAGTGAGCCTCTCCCAATGGTGGCTGACCACAGCACATGTCATGCCAGCACAGAACTCCTGGTGCACAAGAGGTGGCCTAGGCCCCTCACATAACCCATTTCCATCCAGCCATCTGACTATAGACTTGACAAGATTAAGTGTTTGGAAAGCTATCCTTCCAGCTACCTAGTGAGAAATCAGCTTTTGTGAAGGCCTTGCTGAAAGGGAATTTTCACTAAGAGGCTGCAGATAGAAAGAGGTTAATTCGTATTTTGACACAGGCAATAGAATATGAAGCCAGCTACAACAGATGAAACCTTTTGAGTGTACGGAGTGTTATCCAGCTTTCATTCTTACTAACAAGCAACCCAGTTAATTGAGCAGTATTTTCCTTTTGCTTTGTGTCTTCCAAGGAGATGGGTCTTTGAATCCGCCGGTCCAGGCCACTGTGAGGGGCTGGTCACACACTACTCATAGGAGAGTCGTTTTTGGCTTCACTGCCACTCACTGGTCCCAGGTTCAAGGGTTCCTATGCAGCTTCTCCCCTTTTCCAGCAGCTCCCTTACCTGTCCTTGGCGCAGTAACTGAAGGACGCCCCATTTCTCAGGGAGCCGTTCATGGAGACTTTGGGGTTCCCTCTCTCCATCCTCTCTCGGCTGAAGATGGTGTCCTGGTCGCTGTCGAACTCCGACTCGGACACCATCAGGCTAGAGTTGTGCTCTGTGCTCCGGTGCTTAATCCCTAGGGAGAGGCAGGCAGCAGTGTCAGAGAGAAAACTCAGCTTTCCCAGTCGGGTGCCAATCAGCACACGGGTGGGTGAGGAGCCTGCCGGTGTGCTCTTGCACCTTCCAGGCAATCATCCCCAACACAGCAAGCTGCTGGGAATCCCACATGTGACAGGAAGGGCTCTGGCATCGCCCCAAGCTTCAGCTCCACCTAGGACAACCGCCAGTCATGTGCCCCTGGCCAAGAAGCCTACCTCGCTGGGATGTCAGTCTCATCTATGAAGTGGAGAGAGAACAAAACATCTGCCTTGTGGTTTCTGATGAGGATAACATGTTTGGGTGTGAGCACAGCTCTTGGTCCAGCCTTTAGCACTGAGCTCCAAAAAAACCAAAATTGTTGGGATCTCATTACGCAGTTCAAATATTTTTGGCAGATTTGATTTCTTGGCATCAAAGTAAGAGACCGAATGGGTGTGAGATTTGATGACTGCTCCCCGAGGGGTTCCAGTGTCAGGTACAGAGTCATGAAAAGATGGCATCTGACAGGCAGGAAATGAATGAATGACCCTTATGACAATCAAGGGGAAAAAAGGGCAAGTATGTGACCTGGCCCGCTCCCTCGGTGTTCCCTGTGGGAAGGGCTCTAGCGGAAGCATCCAGAAATGTTTCGGCAAAGCCAGTCTGTCTGGAGCAAACCAACCATGTACAAGATGATGAACCCAAGGCTGAGATGTCACAGACAACATGGATATAGGGAAAACTGTGAAGCTTGCCTGCTTCTCCTAGTACAGCCATGAGGCCCTGAAGGTGTTATTTTAGGCTGTCAATAAAACCACCATGGGCAGGATAAAATGAGGAGGAGAGGACCCTGGTGAGCTGATGGCAGCCTTTGTGGCCACTGAGGTCTGAATACATGGGCTCCTCATCCAGGAGCTATGGAACTTAGAGGTGGGCCCTCCAAGGAGACAGTATGGGTGCAGCGTCTTTCCATGAGGGGTCCGAGGCAGCTTCCCTGTCCTGTTTCACCATGGGAGACAGGGTGAAAAGGCAGCATGTGGGAGAAGCCAGCTTCACCATGCTGTCCGCAGTTGCTAAGTCCTTGGCTGCAAGCCTCTAGAACTGAGAGGATCTACCAGTGGGGTCCAATGGCGGCTGACTGGGCAGACCAAGGCAGAGCAGAGCACATGAAAGGAGAGCACCCAGGCCCTGATGCAGACAATGAACTCCTGCCATGATGAATATCCACCAGAGCAGACTGCTAAGCTGCCCTTGTCCCTGGGTTCCTCTGCTGTGGAACAGGTCAGTCATCGTGCACACCTCACAGAGCTTTGGGTAGGATTCGAACAGAATGGGTCAAGGGCTTCCAAAGTACCTGATACAGACAACACATGAAGCACTTGTTAACTGTCATGGTTGCTGCTATTAGTTCAGAGGTGAGACTCTGAAGTCTTTTTAGCAGCAGCTCACAATTTCATTCGCCAACCTCTGTATCCACAGGGCTCCCTGCACCCCAGGGTGCTGCTCTCCCCTGGGCTGCGAGCACCTGTAACAGCAGGAATGTATGTCACTGCTCTTCCCTCTCCAGGCCTTTACAGTCTGGGCAGCAGCAAGGGGTGCTGAACACCAACAGTGGGCCCCTTTAGGCATCTCACAGCTGTGATGGTGATTGCAACCCTCCAAATCCCTTTTGTTGGAAATCCAGAATTACAGAAAATCATATCATTGACACAAAGCAGCCTCAGAATGTATGGGAAGGTCTGTTAAGTATGCAATAGTTAACAAATGATGACCTGGGCCTGGCACTGTGGCCTAGCAGCTAAAGTCCTCGCCTTGAACACGCCCGGATCCCATATGGGCACCAGTTCTAATCCTGGCAGCTCCACTTCCCATCCAGCTCCCTGCCTGTGGCCTGGGATAGCAGTTGAGGATGGCCCAATGCTTTGGGACCCTGCACCCATGTGGGAGACCTGGAAGAAGCTCCTGGCTCCTGGCTTCGGATTAGCACAGCACCAGCCATTGCGCTCACTTGGGGAGTGAATCATTGGACGGAAGATCTTCCTCTCTGTCTCTCCTCTTCTCTGTATATCTGACTTTATACTAAAAAATAAAACAAGTCTTTAAAAAAAAAAAAAGACCCAAAAGTAACCAAGCAAGACAGGTTGGGAAGCAAAGGGATCCATATGCTCTGTGGAGAAGGTCAGTGTCCTGTGACAGCACCGACTACTGAAACCGTGGGAGAAGGCTTGAAGTCCACCTGTCATCCAGCTGTACTCCACTCAGGGGAACAGCACTCAGAGAGGAACAGAGCCAAGTGTCAGGGACTCCTCATACAAATGTCCTCTTGGCTGTGGTCACCGGCTGGCTCACAGCTACCAACGGGCACTTCAGATGACCCAGCCAGGCATACTACAAAGTACTTTGTGCCAGCATCTCACTAAAGTCCCACAAGTACAGCGACTACCCCTCTGCATAGCCTCAGGACTGCAGCTGGCTGCCTCCATCATGATGCCCAGCACCCCTTCGCAGGCAGAGTCACCTGCAACCAGCGTTTTCTGCTCACGCCAGGTCGCCCCAGGCTGACACTGGATCATGCCACTGTAGAGAAGGCCTTACCGTATTTGGGCCTCAGCTCCACTCCTTCCTGCTCATCCATGTTATCCAGGATGGTGTACTTGGTCTTTTTCCTTATTTTCGTCCTTTTCCTTCTGAAAGGAACAAGGCAAAGCTAGAGGCTCTCAGGAGAGATAATTGGGGCCTAGGATTCAAAACACACGAAGGCACTAGAGGAGGTGTTGGCCTGTCCTGTGCAGGACTAGGCATCTGTTGACGGTGTTTCAGAACTCAGGAGCCATCTCACAGACAAGCATCCTGTGGAAACCTATGGCCAGACCACTTTCATCCATCGATCTACAGGCTTCAGCTGTGGTTGGTCCAGGGACCTTTCTCCATTGAGTTGTTCCTACTCAGAAAAACCTGGATTGGGGCTGGTGTTATGGTGCAGTGGGTGCAACACTGGCATCTCAAGCACTAGCCTAACTCATTGTACCACAATGCCTGCCTTTGTACCAGCACTCCTTCCCCTAACAAAACCCGGGAAGGCCACTCAGATATTATGCTAGTGAACACAGTGTGAGACTGACAAGTGACACCAGATTGGATAGAGAACCATAGAACCTTCTAGAAACTAAGATAGCTCTAGTGGGAAAAGCTGTCTCTAGTATGGTTTCCCTTCTCTGGGTACATCTGCTTTGGGGCAGAAAGCATATTAAAAAGTACTCTGAATGTCCAGCCTAGCCTATTGTCATAAAAGATGACAGCCCCACAGTCTAACAAACCCAGGCAAACATTTCAGCTGTCATTGTGCATTCTACCCCACATGAAGAAATAAAAGGACACAGTTGGTACCTCTTGCAGCAGCAGATGCAAACTCGCATCAAGCCTCCTGCCAGCACGGTCAGCATGAAGGCCAGAATTGTCACATACAATACACTCCATTCTGAAAGACAGGAAAACCGCAGCAGACCTATAGGGACCCACTGTTTGTGAAACTGTTTCATGTTGATGGTTCACAATGAATAATTTGGGTTGTTTCAAGCAAAGGCCATCTGTGCTGCTGGAAGCACCTGGTCAGGCTGGTGGCTGAACAGATCAGTCAACTAAAACAGCACATGAAACTGCCCTGGTTCTGTGCCTTTGCTTCAGGGACCTCACAGTGCACACGTGTCTTGCTGACTTAAGAACAATGAAGCAATAATGCACGCTTGCATGAATGGCACAACAAGATAGTCATTCTAGAACTTAGGGGTGCCATGACTCACCACCCTCTTCCCAAGAAATGTTCTGGCTTGCTTTAGATGAAAGTAAATGTAACATTGGCAAGGTTGCCCACAACATCAAGTCCCTGCTAGGAGCTGGAGAGAGATTTGGCAATCAGCTGCTCTCCGGCCTTCCCTTTGCCTGCAGAAAGCAACGTAAAGGGCTTTGCAACATGAGTGCAGGAGCAGAGAAGCCAGACTGCCAACATCAGACTTCACCCTGTCCTGTGTTACATCAGCTCCTAGAATCAGGATCCCAGAGCTAGCTGATTCCAAGCTTTGTGTTGTATTTAGTGTGAACATGTCAGCTGTATCTTCTAGTGTTTTCTGCAGGTTATGCCCATCTACATCCATTTAGCAATACGTCTACCCTTAGCAGTAGTCTGGCAGCCAAGCACAGCCCTCACATGCGATCTCAGTCCACCTGCTTTGGAAAGTGGGCAAGATTCCATTCCTTACCTGCTTATAGCAGGTCCACAACTTTGCCCGGGATCATGTTAATCCTGCACCACAGATGTGAATTTCCTTGTAGAAGGGTTGTCTGTAAAAGCCTGCAGAGGTGGGGAATGTCTGGCCTGTAGGCTTCATAAGGTGCACAGATTTACCTGGACTGATCCTGCCAAAGTAACTGTAGATACCACTCAAAATGTGATACATGTACAGCAGGCTCATTTTTCAGCTGATAATTCTGTGTGCACAAATGATGTTAGAAATATCCAACGACCTTTGGCAGAAAAGAAGTTTCCTCTTCCCTGGGCCCTGGATACACCTCCAACAGGGATGGGGGAGAGGATCTTAGCTCACCGCCAAGTGCACCTGGCTGCAGGTGGGGAAAGGTCTGGAACCTGGCACCTGCAAAGCTAGGCGAAGTGCTTTGGATATTCAAGCCCAAGGCACCTTCCAGCTCCCCAGCCACAACTCACCACAGTTGCTCTCGCCGCCCCGGATGTAACGTTGGATGAGGTTCTCCATCCACATCTGTGAGCAAACACAGCGCTTTGTGATAGGGTCACAGCGACCGTGGCCGGAACACTCCAGGAGGCAATCTGCAATGAGCGACAGGTGGAGGTTACCGCAGGGGTGAGGCAGTTCTCGGGGGTCTGTTGCTTCAAGGGTCCTCAGCATCATTTGCCTAAACAGAAGCATCCGAGTTCAGTGCCCCCTGAAAGTGGTTTCTCATCACTGACCCGCTCATCAGGAAGCAAATGGAGGCAAAAGCCTTCAAACTGCAGCCAAGATATACAAGCTTGGACCTCAGAAAATAAACTCCAGGAATGTATTCAATGGAGGACATGCACAAAGATGTATAAAATTAACTTTAAAGTTCATGACTGAAGGACAATTTTACAGTTAAGGAACATATGCAGGGTAGAGTATTATTCAGCCATAAATATTTCACTGAAGGAAAATGTGAAAGGATTTGAGAAAATCATTATGATAATAAGTTTAAAAACAGATGAAACATACACATTAAATGATGACAACTATATTCATTGTGTTTAGAGATGAGGGAACTGAAAAAAAAAAACACATCAGTATGGGAAGGAACTTTGAAAAGTTGGTGGAAAAATAGAACACAATTGAAAGACAAGTGTACTTTAAGAGTAGGCATACATTTTTAATATACAGTCTGAAAATTTTGAGAATTTTTTTGTATGGATAGATTTCAGATTACTTTTGCATCAAAATTATCTTTTAAATCCATTTTCCATTTCCTTTTCAAAATACCCTTGCCTTAATAAAAGGTATCTCTGGGGGCCCAGGGCAATAGTCTAGTGGTTAATCCTCACCTTGCAAGCACCAGATCCCATATGGGAGCTGGTTCATTTCCCAGCTGCTCCACTTCCCATCCAGCTCCCTGCTTGTGGCCTGGGAAAGCAGTAGAGGATCGCCCCAGGCCTTGAGACCCTACACCCACATGGGAAACCCAGAAGCTCCTGGCTCCTGGCTTTGGGTTGGCTTAGCTCCAGCCATTGTGGCCCTTGGGAAGTGAACCAGTGGATAAAAAGTCTTTCTGTCTCTCCTCTCTAGAAATCTACCTTTTCAATAAAAATAAATCTTTAAAGTGAATGAATATATAAATAAAATTTATCTTTTGATGTAAAGAATCCCGGTATCTAGGAGATTGTTTTTTCTTTACTTCTTTCTTTCTTTTCTTATTCCAAATTTCTGACAAAAATAAATCTTACACTTTTTGCCAGAACATAAAATACATCATAAAAAAAATTAAATTGCTGCAAATAATGGAGAAAGTTAATCGCAGATAAACAGGTATCTGAAATAATCAAATCAAATACTGATCAAATCTTACCAGGTCCCTTGTAACTCTCACTGAAATGACCACTTCATTACAAGGGATGAATGTCACTCAAAAGTTAAGGACAAGGAGTCTAGGATTGTGACCATTGTAAGGCCTGGCAAGCAAGAGGCTGGCAAGAGGCTGACTAAATGGCATTTCACTGGCTGTGTCAGAGGTCACAATGACACCACCATCAGAACCAGGATATGCAGATCACGTAAATGAGGTGTTTCCAGCTGTTGGCACTTGTCTGTTTTTACCATTGCTCTGACAATATGGAATTCCTGACCATGATCAGTATTTGTAAGTATACAGAGAGTACTAAAATTTGAAGGTTCTATGTGGAGTTTTTTGCTTCCCTGTGGCACAGAAGCAATATCCATGCAATCATTCTTTTACTCTCAGCCCAGTGTCCAATAAATTATATGACACAGTCAACACTTTATGATAAAGCAAGCTTCTGTTAGCTGATTTAGTCCAACTGCAGACTAATTTAGATGCTCCTAGCACATTTAAGGTAGAACAGGCTAAATCAGTTGGGTTATCCTATTCCCTGGCATTCCTTGGCTCCTGGTAAGACTTTATCTTGGTCAATCATTTTCAACTTACATTGGCTTTCCCAGGACATATCCCCATTGTGAGTTGGAAAGCAACTGGTAGTCTTCAAACGTGACTCATGACTATTTTTGTTCTCCAGTTTCCTTCCAAAACAAAGAGTAACTAGCAACTGTGTATTACAGGAAACTATGCCAAACAAGTCTCTGTACGTTAAGATGTTTGCCTAGGAGATGACATTGTAGTGCGGTGGGCTAAGTCAGTATTCCATATGAATGCCTGTTCAAGTACTGATGCTACACTTCCCATCCAGCTTCCTGCTAATGCAGCTGGGGAAGCAGCAGCACACGGCCCGGGTGCTTTGGGTTTCAATCTCCTGACCCAGACCCACTCCCCACTAACTGGAGAATGAGCCAATGCTCAGAAGATTTCTAACTCTGTCTTTTGCATAAATAAACAAGCCTTCTTAAAAGCATTCAGGCCGCCTCTCTCTGTGTTTATAGACCCTCTCCGTGACTGGCAAGTCTAACTTCCCTGGAATATCCCCACGGAGGACATACCTGCAGTGTCAATCCTCAAGACCTTGAAAAGCAGGAAGTCTGGCTTCTCCTTGGAAAGTCGCATGTGCAGGTTTCGGGCCACTTCAGCAGCTTTAAGAACTGTGGAAGGCGGTCCACTCTGCACATAAAACACAACCATGGTGCTGCAGAGGAGACAAGAGAGGACAGCCACGTAGTCAGGCTATGACTGGCATGGCAGGCATGGTCACTCTGGCCATGTGACCTGTGACACCGGAAAGACAGAATGCGGGCATCCATGGCCAAGGGATTGATGTCTGTATTCACAACTGAAAGTTCTTTGGGCTCAGAGAAGGGTTGATGGGAGATTGTGTGTGTGTGCACGCGTGTGTGTACAAATGCAGAGACACAAATGTACACAAAGTGTTGCCTCTTAGACAAGGTTTTATTTTAATCTTTATTACTGAGAAACAACATAGAAATACCATAGACTTTACCTGGTTAAAATGTAAAATCCAAAAGCTTTTACTGCATGCACACCTTCACCAGTATCTAATTCCAGAACATGTTTGTTATCCCAAACGGAGAGTCACACCTGTTAGCAGCCTTTCCACCAATCCCTGACAACTCCTTTTTTCTATCTCTGAGGTTTTGCCTACTCAGGATATTTCATAAAGGAGATCATACAATATGTGAGCTTCCATGTCTAACACCATTTAGGATGATATCATTAAAGCTCATCCAGGGTGAAGCACATACCAGTACTTCACTGCATTTTACTGCAAAATATTATCCCATCGTATGAGCATATTACCTTTTTCAAATCCATTCAACAGCTGAGGAGCATCTGGGTTGTTTTGACTTTGACTTATTCACTATTATGAATATGTGTTAGGAACATCCACACACCAGTGTTTGGTTTCCCTTGGTCATTTATCTGGAAGTGGATGGGATGGACCATATGGTAACTTTATTTAGCATTTTCAGAAACTGCCTTCCACAGTGGCTGCATTATTTACATCCCCACCAGCAGTGTCCCAATTTATCTACTTACTTCCAACATTTTCTATGATCCATCTTTCATTTTCTTATTGGAAAAGTGGATTTTACAGAGAGGAGAGACAGAGAGAGGAGTCTTCCATGTGCTGGTTCACTCCTCAAACGACTGCAATGGCCAGAGATGAGCCAATTTGAAGCTCAGAGACAGGAGCCTCGTCCAGATTCCCACATGGGTGTAGGGTCTCAAGGACTTAAGCCGTGCTCTATTGCTTTCCCAGGCCACAAGCAGGGAGCTGGATTGGAATTGGAATATCTGGGACATGAACTGGTGCCCATATGGGATACTGATGCCAGAGGGCAAAGAATTGGCCCACCACCATGATCTATTTTTCAAATCAGAATTGTCTCTCAGGATAATTAAGAAAATGGTTGAGGACCCATAGATATCAAAACCTACAGATGTTCAAGTCCTTTACATAAAATGAAATAGTACTATATAATCTACACACATCTTGTATGCTTTAGATTGTCTCTGCATTAGTTACAGTACCCCATACAATGGACATGCTACATAAACTGCTGTTATGCTGTACTGACTAGAGAATAATGAGAAGAAAAAAATCACCTCTATTCCGTTCAAATGGCGGTTTTTTTTTTTCCATATTTTCGGTCTACACTTGGTTGTACCCTGGATGTGGCAGCCTTCCTGGGGTGTGAAGTGGCATCTCCTTGTGGTTCTCACCTGCATTTCCCTATCACCAGGACACGGGCATCACTTCCTGTGCTGATTGACATTTTGTCCATCTTCTTCAGAAAAATATCTATTTGAACCTCTGTGAGTTTCTTAGGCCTGTTCCAAACAAGTGCTATGAGCTGATGGCTGAAACAAGGGAAATCGCCTGTCATGGTTCTGGAGGCTGAAGAACAGAACCAAAGCATCCACAGGGCAGTGGTTCCTACAGCCCCCAAGGCAGGCTCCGTCCTGCGCCATTCCCTGGCATTCCTTGGCTCCTGGGTGCATCACCCTGTCTGCCTGTCATCACAGGGTGTTCTCCCTGTGTCCCTGGTTCTCTTCAACAAGGACAGCCGTCACTCAGCATTAGAGCCTAACCTACTCTGGTATAACTTCTTAGTAACTAATGACATCTGTTGTCTTATTTCCAAACAAGGTCATGTGCACAGGCACCAGGGGTTAGGACTTATGCAGGACACAGTGTCCATAACAGGTGCTTTTCTTTGTGTATCAAAAAAGGTATTGAGGGCTAACTGGGGTAGCCTGGCAGCTAAAGTCCTCACCTTGCTCATGCTGGGATCCCATATGGTCAATGATTCGTATCCTGGCTGCTCCACTTCCCATCCAGCTCTCTGCTTGTGGCCTGAGAAAGCAGTTGAGGACAACCCAAAACCTTGGGACCCTGCACCCACCCATGTGGGAGACCTGGAAGAGGCTCTGGGATCCTGGCTACAGTTCAGCGCAGTTCTGGCTGTTGTGGCCGCCTGGGGAGTGAATCAATGGACAGAAGATCTTCCTCTCTATCTCTCCTCCAATTTAAAAAAAGGTACTGAATTTTTTCAAATGTATTTCCTGTGTTATTCAGATGTTCCTGTGTTGTGGCTCCTTATTAGTGTGGTGTATCATATATATTGATTTGCACCTGTTGAGCCCACTCATAGCCATGGGATAAATCCCTTTTTGTTCTATTATGTACTGCTAGATTCAGCTTGATGATATTTACAGAAAATGTTCACCAGAGATATTGCTTTGTGATTTTCTTGTGATGTGTTTGCCAGATTTTGGTGGTAAAAATGAACCTTACAGAGATGGGAAAGGCCTCCTCTTCTTTTTGGGAGGGAAGGTTTTATGAAGAGCTATATTAATCCTTTAAATCTTTTCAGAACCTATCAACAAAACATCTTGTCCTGGATTTTGTGGAAAGTTTTTTTTTAATTATTATTTTAAATGACTAAATCAATCTCTTGACTTGTTACAGGTCTCTGCCTCTCATACGAATTCGTGTTGCCCACATCTTCCTACGAATTTGCATGCCTAATATTTTAATACAATTATTCCATTTTCTTTTATAAAACTTAGTATTTCTGCAAAGTCATACTCCTCCTTCCTATTCCTGATTGTAGCAACCAGCATCCCATGCTTCCTCTTGGTCTCTCCAGCTACTATTCATCAGCTTTGTTGATCTGTCAGATAAACAATTTTTGGCTTTGTTGGATTTTAGCTATGACTTTGAGTCATTACTTGATACTGCATGAATGAGGGAAAGTTATGATTCAGTTCTATAAAAGTAATTATAATATGCTTTAAGCTGATAGTTTTCCAAGTAAATTTTGAGTTCTTTGGAAAACTAACGTAAGTTGAAGGGCTAGAATAGTTGGCAAAGAAGTTACTATGAATGATGGGTTTTCATCGCTCTATGCTTTCTGTCTCTCTCTTCTCAGACCAGGTTATAGATGAATTTAGAAATGAAACCTTGGGGCTGGCATTGTGGTTTAGTGGGTTAAGCCACCACCTGTGATGTTGTCATGCCATATGAGTGCAGGTTTGTGTCTAGGCTACTCCATCTCTGATCCAGCTCCCTGCTAATGGCTTGGGAAAAGCAGCAGCAGATGGCTCGGGTGCTTGGGCCCCTGCACCCACATGGGAGACACAGATGAGACTTGTAGCTCCTGGCCTCAAATCGGCCCAGCACTGGCCATTGTGACCATCTGGGGAATGAATCTGTGGATGAAAGATCTCTTTCATCTGTTTGTCTGTCTGTCTAATTTTAACTTTTAAAACTGAGTAAATAAATCTTTTTTAAAAAAATAAAAACACCGAAAATAAAAATCTTAGTGGAAATACAGGTTGACATTTCAGCCTCACCTCCTCCCATAGACAGCAAGCGGTAGCCAAGGGCCCTTTCACACCAGAACACAGGGCAGGGCTGGGGTCAGGCAGTGACACAGCTCTTCAATGCCCAGACCAGCCGCACAGCCCCCAAGGATGCCAGCACCCAATCCCACTGCCCCAGCTGGGCCCTGATGCCCTCATTCAGCACACTTTCCATCATTATGCACTGGGCTGTGTCCTTACTTCCGCCCTTGGATGGGAAAAGGCCTATGATGAGATTGGGACTTGCACACACGAGCACCTTCCTGCTGGACTGGAGCTGGGACTGCAGCTGAAGCCGGGACCAGGGCTGGGACCTCTCCAGGCCAAGCATGCTTCTCACCTGACGTCCGAGTGGGCCTGGATTTTCTGAACCTTGATGTCAGAGTCGAGCACACGCAGAAGTGCGGCCAGCTGCCTCACGAGCATGCCCTTCTGCTGCTCCGTCAGCTGCCCAGCGCCCACCTGCAGGATCAGCTCCACCAAGCCACCCCTCCGTGGGTCTGGGGAGAGAGTAGAGAAAGTGCCAGATCAGGGGCTATGTGTGAGAACCTAAGCAGTAAAGCTACTACAGAGCTAAGTCCTTTTCAACATCATGGGGGCCATGCTCCGAGAGCAGCACCTTTCCCTTGCCTGGCCCACTCCTTCTATCCCAGCAGGTAAGCAGGTGGCCTAATTACCCCCTGGGGCTAACTTGACATTTCAGCTGCTCACATATTTCCCCAAGACCAGCGAGCAGACCTCGGGGCCCAGTGGTGTGGGCACCGCCAAGGCTCATGACCCCGGGAGTGCCGATGGCTGCCCACCTCCCTAGCACTGGCCTCCCTCAGCACTGCAGATACAGAAACCCAGACATGTTCTCCATGGGAAGCCTTTGTCTTCTGGCAGAAAAACAAAAGTGAAAAGAAAATCTCAAGGGTGATGTCGTAACATAGCATGTGAAGCTGCTGCCAGTGATGCCACCATTCAACATGGCACCAGTTCACATCCCAGCTGCTCCATTTCCATTCCAGTTCCTGGCTAATTGCCTGGGGAAAGCACTGAAAGATGATCAAAGTGCTTAGATCCCTGCCATCCATGTCAGAAACCTGGGTGAAGCTCCTGGCTCCTGGCTTCAGCCAGGCCCAGTCCTAGCCATTGTGGCCATCTGGGAAGTAAGCCAGCTGATGGAAGATCTTGCCCTCTGTCTCTACCTCTCTCTCTGCAACTCAGACTTTCAAGTGAATAAATAAACCTTAAGGGGTGGAGGGAAGCTTGTTGGGCAAACACTAGGAGGCTGAGTCTGCTGCCAAGTGTAGAAAAGTTCTCAAAGAAGGCCCAGCCAAGAGCTGAAGGCAAGCACACAGGCCTCCCACCTCATGTTACACTGGCCGCAGTCACCCAGGCTGGGGCCACCCCTGCCCACAGACGCACCTGGCTGCACCTCCACAGTGGCGGTGTCTGTGTCCGAGGCCCCCTGGGTGTCCGTGACTCGCAGGTGGAAAGTATAAATGCCCTCCACCAGATTGGTGAGCTGCAGGGCCGCGCTGTGGTCAGAGCTATCGAGGACGTCCTAAGAAATGACACGAAGAGCAAGGCAGCATCTGAGGACCAGCCTTCCCACATGTGCAGGAGCGCAAGGGGGAGGCTGCGAGGTTAGCTAGGGGGTAGCAGGCATTTGGCTCATCCCTGTAAAGCCCCTGGGAAGGAAAATTCTAAAGGCAGAATTCCCTGAGCCTACCTCTCCAGGCCTTTGCTGGGAATTATCTAACAACTGCTTTCCTCCAACGGAGGGAAAGGCTGTTGGTGAGGGTGGGGTGCAGGTGTTAAGTCTTCTCTTCCCACAAGGTCTCACAAGGCTCTGCCCCAGGTTCCCTCATGTTCACCTCTCAAATGACCCCAGAGTATCTCAGTTTCGTAGGCTTCAAAGTACCAAAGAATTAGAGAAGAATTTTCCAGATCCCTGTGAACTGGCTCACAGCAGACGATGGCGACAAAAGTGACATGCTCTGAACAGATGCCACTGTCCTGTCCTGAGGACCCTGACTCTGAAGGTGCTGCATGAAGCATGAGGCACTCCAAGAGCCTTCCCGGGGACCACTGCTCTGGGACATGGGCAAGAATATGTTTGTTTGATTTCAAGTCCTCAGCAACAGTGGGGTGGAAGAAGGACCTCAACTTACAACCTGCAAAGCATAGTGATCCAGAGGGGGAAAACACCTGCCCGGTGCTGAAAACCAAGGTTCGTGTGAGTTGATAATAATGAGTGAGTTGGCCTTGGCCAAGTCACTCTCCTTCCCTGTGAAATGGGACAGCAATCCCTGGCCTACAAGATCAGAAAGAATCCACTTGGACCAGAGCAGGAGTGACAGGAGAGGCGGGGTGCAGAACAACCTACTGGAGGCCTTAGCTTTGTGGCTTTCCAGGCTACAGTGGCCTACCCATCCTAAACCTGGTTAGGGAAAAGTCAGAAAAGACCTGAGGGTCTGGGTCAGCCTGGTGACAGTCAGCGGCTCAGTGCCTCCATGGGACAAGCACAAGCACCTCAATGCAGAGAAAAACAGGTGTTGCTGCAGACAGCGTTGCCCCCTCCAATCTACATGGTAGAGCCCTGACATTGGATGGTACTGTACCTAGAGGAGAGACCTATGATGAGGTAATTAAGGCTCATGGGGGTCACAGAGTAGGGCCCTGATCCCTTGAGATTAGTGTGTTTATAAAGGGGCCAGACAGACCCTTCCCTCCCCACCCCTAGCCCACTCCAGACTTGCACACAGAAGGCAAGTGAGTCTATAAACCAGGAGGGAACTTCACCAGCACCCTGACCTGGCCTTTGCAGCCTCCAGAACTGTGAGGAAATGCATGCCTGTGGTTTGAGCTGCCCATGCCTATTGCTGTGGCAGCTGAGCTGACTAAAATAGACACGTTCAAGGCCCAGGGCCACTGCCCTGTCAGTACTCACTCCAGCTGCTGGACTCTGGCCATCCCGGATCCACAGATAGGACACAATTCCTTGGTCATCGGTAGACCTTGAACCATCCAAAGTAATGGAGTTATTGGGAAGCACAAGAACATGTCTGCCACCAGCCTGGGCTCTGGGAGGACTATTATTTTCTAAGTCAAATACAGCAAAAATGAAAGCAGAGAGATTGATTTAAAATGATGGTGATAGAATGCATGTCAAAAAACACCCACAAGTTTTCCACCTTCCTGATATGAAAAATTGAACATACACCACCAACGCATTGCTTTCTGTCCCAAACACCTGCTACATACTCTGCAGGCATCCTGCAAGCCTGTTTGTGCCTAAGTGGTTCTAATTAGCAAGAAAGGGGTAAAGGAGGTGGCAGCCAGTACCCTGAGAATTTTTGTAATGAAATACTTTTTTGTCTTGGAAAAGAAAAAGCATGATTTTACTTATGTCCATTGACCAGAAAATAGCAATCTTTACCATTTAAAATATCCTCTGGGTCAGTTGATTTCTAGTATTGCCAAATTTTGACCATCCCAGCAAGATAAGGAACCTGAGTGAAAACTAGTTACACCCTCAGATATAAATAAGGAAAAGTAAGGGTCACTCCGAGGCAACAGCCTCAAGAAGAAAGAGAGGGTTGGGTGGGAAGATCAGAAGACACAGCCCCGTTTGGAGATGCAGACCCTTCCAGTTCAAATGGGACTGAGGAACCTAGATGTCCCTTCAAAATAAGTCAAGCAATGGCAATAGCGAAAGGGGGTGACCTAATGTAGTCATTAATGTCACATCGGTCACCAGCTGTTTACATCCTGGGAAAACACACTGGAGACAAGCAGGAGCCATCAGAATCACTGCCAATTTTCCCACAGCATTCACTGCACTTGAGCTGGGAGAGATCTGAGGAGGCAGCGTGTATGTGGCACTAGAGAGGCTTAATTCCACTGTGGACATACAAGCATATCTCAAAATGTCCATGGCAGAATAGAATTCAGAGGTAAGTTTATATTTTTTTAAAAAAATTTAATCCATGCATACATTCTTGTAATGTGCATTTTCCACTAAAAAAGATCCCTCACAGAGAAAGGCCAGGAATAATGGTAAAGAGACAGGAGGTAACTGGAGTTGGCCCAGAAGTCATTCTGTTATCACGCTGTCTGGGTCTTCCCTGGTTGTTAGCTCCACAGCGAGAACTCAAGAGTGCTCCTGCCATACCCCTGGGCCTCCACACTCCGGGACTCCGGTAATCATGCTTCCCTCAGCACTACCCACAGCCATTCCACTGCCACCAAGCAGATACATCTATGTAGGAAGCAGTGTCCTCAGAGCTGCTGCTGACCGTTGTCAACCTCATTTTGGATTACCACACCCTCACACACTCATTAGCTAAAACTGAGAGTCTTGCTATCATCCTGAACACCATTTCTCTAAACCTCCAGATCTGTCAGGTTCCCCAGTCCTGAGAATTCATACTCACAAATTCTTCCTAAAATGTCCTTCCCCCTACCTCTCCTATTGGCTCCCAATGGTGTAACATTTTACATCTTGCATCTTATCCATGCAGTTACCGTTGTCTTCCAACTATTTTCCAAATCCAAGAGCTAAAATGACTTAATGAAAAGGTTTGCTTTACATTTTCCAACAAGAAAGTATGAATTGATAAGTGCAGCAAGATGAGCAAAGTTCTGATGGCTGTGTAGGCTAAAGGACGCACACGTGCTGCTCTGTTAAGATTCTTCCCCCTACTTTGACAAAGGGTTGAAAATTTCTACAGTCTAAGGTTTGAAAAAAATCCAAATCCACATTGCTTTGCTGAAAAGGGAGGGCTCAGCCTCTCTCAACTGCCCAGAGGATAAAGTTCTAGCATGTGACTCTCAGGGCACAGCCATGACTGAGGGTTGCAGCCCCAAACCCAACCTCCATGCCCTAGCCCTTGTACCACAAGCAAGTCCCCCAAGCCAGTCATGCTTCCTTGGTCCTCTGCACTTCAACACATCATCATCGTCATCTGCAGATTAACTCATCCAACTCAACACCATTTATGATTGGCCTGGGTCTACACAGAGAATCAGCAATTCTGAAGCAAAGGGCCTCAGGCAACTCATAGTCAGATGGGAAGACAGACAAGGAGACAAGTACCCAGAGCAGCACTGTGTGGGTCTGTACCATGGACAACACAGAGCTGCAATCTCCAGGGAAGAGAAAAAGCAGAGCACAAGCCATCTCGTGGACATGAGCCTTGGCCTGGCAGGGATCACAGAGAAATCAGTGCTATGGGTGGAAAGGAGAGGCTGCTTCCTTGAAGGAGGTGACAGGAGAATCACTAAGGGGATTAAAGGGTTGGCTTTTCTAGGCGAGGCAGAATTAGACACATGCTGCGAACAAACAAGCTAAGCTCAACATCGCTGGACACTTGCAGCCCAGCTTGGGGTCCTATGAGACATCCCACCGGGGTCAGAACACTCACCCTTCTTCACCTTCACGGTCACGGTCAGGGTGGACATGCTGCTCAGTCCCTGCTGGTCTCTCACCGTTAGGCGGAAGCAGTAGGCACCCACCTGAAGGCCAGTCACAGTGGCTACTGCCTTGTCCACATCTTCCATCTGCACCGCACTGGGGCCTCTAAGACATCAAAGTGGTGAACAAGAGAGAAGTCCTAAAGCCAGCAGGCATGTGACTTTGCCCTCATAAATGCCATCTATGGACTTCCAAGCTAACTCAAGTAATGGGCACTGCTGAGGGAACAGAGCCAGGTGCTGAAGCTGCCTTCAGACAGAACCCACTGGGTTCCCAAAATGAGGGGTTTAGTTCCTGTTTTGTTTGTTCATTGAGCTGGGAGATGGAGCCGGAGAAACTATTCTGTTTCTTTGTATTTAGGCTGAATCTTCATCTCTTTGGAAAAAGTGTAGAGGAGAAAAAAATGAATTTCTCAGAGAGGTATTACAGGGCCACACCCAGGTTCCCTGGCACCACTCACAGCAAAACAGCCCTGCCCACCTGTCCTGGTTCCCCAAGGTGAAGTGCCAAGGTTGAACATGCACTAAAAGCCACCAGGGAAGGGACGGGAGCCTTGGGCCAGGATGTGGACATGATGATGACAGCATACCTGACCAGCTCCCAGCGGTAGAAGACAATGCCATGGTCATCGGTGCTCCCACTCCCATCCAGGGCTGCACTTTGCACAGGAAAGACCAGCTCCTTATCGGGGCCTGCAACAGCTACTGGAGGCCTGTTGTTTTCTAGAATTGCAGAAACAGTGTAGGAAAATATTACCTCTTTGCAGTAAGTTCAAAAATCCCCATATTGCTTGATATCAACACATCGTAGCCAGCCATCTGATTCACAGTTCCCGTGCCTGCAGATTCAACACAGACTGCAAATATTCGGGGGAAATATGTGACTGTACTGAGTACACACACATATTTTTCTTGTCATGTCTCAAATACAGGAACACATTAGAGAAATACATCACTGGCCATTTCTTCCTTGTGTGAACATCACAGAGTGAAACTTGTGCAAGGCTCCATGGTACACACTGCTGTTCACACAGGTCCACCACTAACTGACATGTCCTTACACACCCTAAGACTGTTTCCATGACAATCACATTGTCCATGGTTTTAGAAGTCATCCAGAGATAAATTAAAATGAACAGAAGGATGTGCATGGGTTGTATGTCATTACTACAGCATTCCACCTAAGCCAACTGAGCATCCCCCATGGACACTGAGGTCACTGGACCCATGATTCATTCCTGGCAGCTACCAGAATAGGCAATGTCCTCTGAGAATCCTGGGAAGAAACACTGCAGTCATCTAACCTAACTAGGATTTGACTCTCCCAAGTTTGAGACTGGAGCTGCAGGCAGCAAGAAACACTGCTCCTTGACATTCACCTGCCTGCGGTTTAAAGATCTTCCACACACACAAAGAGTAAAGGGGAGGCAAGAAGAGCAGGAGGAGAGGAGGAGGATAAGGCAGCCAGTTGACATCAATGTGAACGTGACTGCTGCTGTGCCTGGTGCACAGAAAACATCTAACTTTAAACAAATAAAAGACATAAACCATCACTGATATTGTTATTCATACAAACAGAATTTCTGTAAGACAATAAAAGCCACCTGGTTGGAAACTAAGGCTGCCATTATTCAGGGTCTGAGCTGTGTTACTCCTCAGCAAGAACTGGCTGATTCCTCTAGTACTCAGCATGAAACTCCCATGATCTAGTGAGGGACAGGCATCCTGACGACAGGTGGAACTACCATTGGAGATGCCCACATTTCCATGTCTGAGTCATGGCTTGGCTTGGCTTGGCTTCTTATCCAGCTCCCTGCTAACATCCCCAGAAGGTACCAATGACAACAGTCACTGATTCTGCCATTCACATGAGAGACCCAGATGGAGTTGCTGCTTCCTGGCTTTAGCCTGGCTCAGGCCCAGCTGTTGTGGGCATTTGGGGTATGAATCAGCAGATGGATGATCTCTTACTTGCTCACTGGCTTGCTTTTGCTCTACCTTCCCACTTAATTTATTAAAAATTGTAAAGCCCTTTATGGGATTGGCATTGTGGCATAACAGGATCAGCCACTGCCTTTGATGCTGGTATAGATGGAGTTCCAGCTGCTCCACTTCCAACTTAGCTTTGTTAGTGGCCTAAGAAAGCAGTAGAAGATGGTCTAAATGCTTGAGTCCCTGCACCTACGTGGGAGACCTGAATGGAGCTCCTGGCTCCTGTCTCCTCGGGCTCAACCCCTTCCTCTTACCCATTCCTCTGTCCCTTCACCAGAAGCTGCCACCCTCATTCTAAGCTGAGCACTAAACAGCTCTTTCTGGCTACCTTCCAGACCAGGCAGAGCCCCTTCCTGTGGCTCCTGCAGCACCAGTCAATCCCCTCCTCCAACACTGAGCGCCTGGCCTAGATGGACTCACCCATAAGCCCAGAGGGGGCAGAGACCAAGTATAGCCCGCTTCATTCCTCTTCCCTGAGGCCTCACTAGCAGAACATCTTACATATTTGCTGAATACACTAATGAGTAAACTGTGGGTTGTCTTTAGATGGAATCTGTTCTCACTGCCAGGGTCCAGAAAGTAGAGTTTCTAGGACCAGTAGGCTTCTTGTAAAAATTTCCTAAAGCAAATCCTACTCACTACCAAGCAAAGGCCTAGCTGCCTGTGAGGTCATGGAGGTGCAGCGGAACCCTGAGTTTTCAGGAAACTGAGCTGAGCTGGAGGCACCTGCTCCATGGCTGCTGCACCAATCGGATGGCACTTGACCCCCAGCCTCCTCGAGTCCCCTGCAGCAGGACCCACACAGTGAAGCTGGGCTATTCATGGTGCCATGGCTGGCGGCTTTGTCCTTCACACTGCGGTTTAGAGACACGTCTGGACAAGATTCAGAAACTCAAGAGAGCATTAGTTTCACCAGGGACATCGGCTCCCACAGCCCTGATTTCCCAACAGTGCATAGACTGGGAGATGTTACCACCCAGGCTGGCACAACTGAAGGCCAGAGCTCAGCTGCCATCTCGGCTTTCACTGCCATGCTGTCTCTTTCCCAGGTCACCTACCAGGCTGCACAATCACAGTGACCCCAGCAGTGGACTGCTGCCTTGAAGAATCTGTCACCGTCAGCTGAAAGGTGTACTCTCCTTGCTGCAGTGCAGACAAGTGAAGGTAGGGTGTCTGCGCTCCCTACGAGACAGCAAATGCCAAAAAGGGGAAGAAAATGTTAAAGAAACACAAGTAAACAGTACAACATAAGAGAAAAGGAAGGATTTTACTTAATACGCAGATCCTGCTGAAAAAAGCAACGTGAGTGTCCTTGGAAGATGCTGGTTAAACTTAATCCATGGTGTGTACTCATGCACCATAGGAGGGGTGTGCACAGCAGGTGTGGATGCTAGCCTGGCAAACCTACGCCAATGTCAAATGAGCCCATTCTTAGTACCCACAGCACAGAAATGCACCAGGAAGTTCGCAACTGATGCCCACAGAAGTGACATCTCTACCAGTAAAATAAAACCCAACTAGATGCCCGTGGTCAAGAAAATGACCATTTACACTGCCGTACACTGAATGAGGGAGGCTTACAGTTATTAAAATAGAAAATACCAAGGATATATGAGGCAAAAAAGAAGGTTGAAGAACAGTTCCAAAACATGATGGACACACACAAACACATGGGGCAGATTCTGGAAGGACACACAGGAACCTGCTCCCAGGAAGTATCTGCAAGAAGGAGTCCACAAGGCAGAGGTGCTTAATGAACTCCTGAAGTTCATGGGAAACAGAACTAAAAGTTACATTTACTGGGGTGTCAGAAGTCCATGTACTTGGGCTATCTTTCTGCTTCTCCTCCAGGTGCATTAGCAGGAAGCAGGATACAAAGTGGAGTGGCCAGGACTCAAACCTGTGCTCCATGGGATGCTGGCATCACAGGGAACAGCTTAACCCACTGTACCACAGCACAGCCCCCCCACTGCATGTATTAATAAAGACCTACCCAGAACATTGGAAAAAAATGTTTTTTTGATGCAAAATCTGTTGTACTATCACAAAAACGTTGGAAATTTGAAATGCATAAATTTTTTTTTCAGTGTTTTAAGAGAACTTTATATATTCTTATTCCTAACTGACACACAGACTTGAACATTACTCCTGAGGTACAGTGTGATATTTCATTGCATGTATACAACATGTAATGATCTGATTACTCAGCACACCATCAGCTCAAACATTTATTCCTAGTGTTGGGAACATCCAGAAACCTACCAGCCATTCTGAGACACAGTTAATGGTTTCTAATCAGTGACCTCACTATCCTGCCGATCACTACAGGCTACTCCTCCCATTCACCTGCACCCATGTGCCCGTCACTGTGCCCCCTCCATGTCTTCCTCCCTCCTTCCCTTCCCAGGCTCAGGCAATCACTAATCTACTCTCTACTTCCAAGAGCTCAGCTTTTCCAGTTTTCACACATAAGGTAGATTGTGGAATACTGTCTTTCTGACTTGTCTCCCTTAACATGAGGTCCTCCAGGCTCTGTCGTGTTGCTGCAACGCTGGGGTTGTATTGTATTTTTATGGCTGTTATCCCATTGTATGTGTTCTTTCTCCACTCATCCACCAATGGAGCATCCACGTTAGCTGCACACCCTGGCTGTTATGAGCAGTGTTACAATAAACACGGAAGTATAGGTATCGCTTTGCATCTTGGTTTCCTGTCCTTTGGATTTACACATCACAGTGGGAGTGCTGGAGTGTGGCAGCTCCAGCTCTAGATTTTTGAGGAAACTCCATACTGTTTGCCACAAGGGCTGTGCTGGCTCAACATGTGTGTGAGAGCTCCCCTTTCCGTGCATCCTGGCCAACACTTGCTCTTTTTGTTAACAGCCAGGCTAGCTGGAGTGAGAGTATTTCACTGTATTTTTTATTTCCCTTTCCCTGATGATTTCATAAATGTGTTGGTCATTTGTGTATCTTCCTTTGAGAGATGTCTACTACTGAATTTCTCCCATTCTGTGAAATACATGGGATTTGAGGAATTTTTTTAAAAGGCTCATTGCTATTTTGACAGAACAGGGTAAAGCAAATTTGACTGCGGCTGCATGAACCCTTAGACACATGGTAAAAAGGAATGCCATGGCATTCGGTAACTGGCTAGACTACTGCGCCTCATGGACTGTCCACAGCAGCCCCATGGTCTAGGAAATGCACAGGCTTTGTCTCTGTCCCAGCACGAAGCACAGCCTCTGCACCTGCTGGCATGTGTTTTGAACTAAGGCAAAGGGGTCTTCTCACAGAGCTCCCAGCAAGTAAGTATGAAGCATCCCCACTTGGGCATTTTAATCAACCACACGGTTGCCTCTGTGGTTGTTGAAGAACAAGAGGGTATGTGTTGCAGTCAGCTGGTGTGGCCAGCAAAGCCAGCTCTGCTGCCCAACCTGCTTTGGATATAGGTCCAGCACATGTGGATGAATTCTAGGGTGCTAGCTCCAGGCACATAATTCTCAATCATTAAATAAAAGAACATCTGGAGTATTTTGTAACAGAGGAAATGGAAAATATCCCATCTTCCTATTCTGTATCAGAATTCCTAACACAACAGAAGCAAACATGGCACTTGCCACTGCTCTGGGGGCCAGAGACGGTGCTGGTAAGCAGTGAGAGGCAGGTGTGTTCTGCAGGGATTCTCCGAAGCCAGACAGATAACTCTCAGCTCTCTCAACTGTCACAAGTCCTGCTGAGTTATGCTTACCACTCAAAACTGCAAAGCACCTTACAGAAATACCAACAATCAAGTGAGTATGTTTTCATTGGATCTCCGATATCTCAGTACTAAATCAGGCAGTTGACATTTTGTCTAACAAACAAGATGCTGGTTAAGACTTATGAGCCATCCTTAAGTCCTAGGGTTGAATCCTGGCTCTGCCTCCTGACTCCAGTTTCCTGCTCACACACTCTTTGAGGCAGCAAGGGAAGGCACAGGAAGCTGGGTCTCTGCCACTCCACATGGTAGGCATTGAGGGTGTCCCTAGCCCTCAGCACTGGCCTTGGCCCAGCCCTGCCTATGTCCATAGATGATGTGTTACTCTCTTGCTGACCTTCCCTCACCTTTCTCCCTCCCTTTTTCCCTCCTTTTCATTCTACTCCGCTCTACCACCACAATCCAAGCATCTCAAAAATATAAAAAATATAACATATGTATTTATCTCAATATTTTATACTAGTCTGGTGGGATAGACTTTGAAAGAGTTCTATCTTCTAAAAAATTAAATTCTCAGGGGCCTGTGTGGTGGCATAATGGGTAAGGCCACTACATGTGACACCAGGATCTGTTACAGGCACCACTTTGAGGCCCAGCTGCTCCACTTCTGATCCAGTTCCCTGCTAATGTGCCTGGGGAAAGCAACAGAAGACCGCCCAAGTGCTTGAGCCCCTGCTACTCAGGTAGGAAACTTGGATGAAGCTCTTGGTCTTGGCTTCAATCTGGCTATTGTGGCCATTTGGAGAGTGAATCAGAAGAGGAAAAACTTGTCTTTCTATCTCCATTTTTTACTTTACAAATAAAATAAAAATACTTTCAAAAATTCAACATAAAAAATTTAAGAGATCAAAACATAGCCACGATAAAGCTCTGCAAAAGAGACTATCTGATGCAGGCAGGATAGCACAGAGCTTGTATAAGCAAGAGAAAAAGAATTGCAAAGAATTTTCCAACAATAAAGTTCAGGTTGTCTCACTTCGAAGATTTCTCCTAATACACTATTTCCCAGCATATATAGGATACAACTTTGTCCCAATAGACCTCAAGACACAGTTGTTAACACAGGACCCTGTGGCTATGTTCTCCTAGGTGGGGGAGAGGAAGGGAGGACAAAGCACAGGATTGGGTCAGGTGCTTTCATAGTCACTGCAGCATAGCAGACAATCCTGTGAAGCAGATTTTCTTGGTTTCACTTGCTACCCACAAGCCCCTTGTTGATAAATGAGTGGATACTTAGACGGATGAGTGGGTGAGTACGTAGACAGATGGGCTGATAGACAGATAGCAGGCAGAAGTGTGAAGGCACAATGGAGAACTTGCCTGCATGACCACCTCCTTGTTCTCACTCCCAGGATCCAGGGACCACTCATAGAAGACAATCTCATGATCATCGGTGCTCCAGTTCCCATTCAAAATGACGGAGTTTTGGGGCAAAGTTACGGTCTGATTTGGGCCCGCATTGGCCACTGGTGGCCTGTCCATGGCATTGCTGACTCTCAGGACAGCTGTTGTGGAGTTGGTGGCTCCATCCGAGTCTGTGACAGTCAACCTACAAAAGGAGAGGAAGCTATTACACGGTGGAGGAGCCAGGCCTGAGGTCAATCCATTCTGCTCATGGTACACTTCTCACAACAACAGAACATACTTAGAAGAAATTTGAGGATGAATCTAAGAAACGTCCACAGTTGAAGGGGTTTTTTGTTTGTTGGCGTTTGCTTTTGTGGCTGCTGGTTTATTTCACTTCTGGCTCACAATATATTCACATGTTAGAGTATAACCTTTCTAGGTTTCTGATGAGTCTTAGAGATGCAAGGTGAGAACCAGGCTCAGTCAACACAGAAGCCACTCCACGATGAGAGAGACTAAGATGGCAGCTCTTCTGCAGCCTGAGAAGGTAGATCACTCCAATGTCTTCACCTGCAAAGCTTTTATTTTTTAAAACCTGTTCTAAATGGCTTTCTATAATCATGTTGTCAGGACAAATTCTTGGCAAAGTAGTGTTAGACTGGAGCAAGTTCAAATACAAACTAATGTTCAACATTCACAGAGAACATACCTGCACTAAACTGATTCATACACACAGAAGACCACTGTCTCACCTGCTTTACGCTGAGTCCCACTGGTAATGGAATAGTGTAGTTACAAACGCATCATGTCTCCATTGTGGTGTAGTTAGAAGCAGGACTGAAGAGGAGAACAAGAAGGAACTCCTGCAGGCAAAGCCTGTGTGCATGCACAGGGCACCTGGGTGCTCTGAGTCACTTCCACCCCACCCCATGAGATGCACACTTGGTTATTCCTCCTCTACCATGCCCAGTCAGGACTGTGCTGAACCCGTACAGAATTTCTGGGTCAACAGCAGTCACCTGCCTCAAGAATCAGTGGGAAGGGTCATTCATTGATGGTCAAAGGCATCTTAGAGTACATTTCATGAAATACAAGCTTACCCCACCTAAATAAAATATTAGAGACATACTTTCAGTAATTATTTCCCTAAAATTACCTTAGGTTTTTATATCAGATAATTGTCACAAATCTCTATTGACAAAATGTAGACAGTAATGCAACAAGAGAAGTCAAACACCGTAAAGCCATACATGCCTCTGATCCTGAGATTTTTACCTGTGCCCTAAAACCAAACTATAAGGATGTTCACCCAAGCACTGAACAATGGGAACAAGTTAGCAGACTACAACATATCAGCAAAGCATACAATGTGATATGCAGAATGTTTAATGGCATGGATATTCATGACACATCTAAGTCCAAAACACATCTACCCCTCTACATCTATGAAATGTTGGCATAGGGGAAATACAGCAAGAATAGATCCTATAATAAATGGTGCTGGGATATGTGGTTGGTTGTCCACACGGGAGAAAACCAAATCTAGACAAAACCATAATTGAAGCCCAAGTACCTTCAGACAGGTACAAATTTTAACTTGGGAGACAAAACTTTCAAAATGTTGAAAGGAAATATAGAGCTTAGCATGCAAAATACCCCAAACACTTTAATCCAAGGAAGAAAATAAATATTAAGTTTATGTATGCATGGGGACCTTAAGCTTCAACACCTAACCATCAAAGGTGCACGTATGAGTTACCTTATTTCCTTCTTTGTATTTATTCTGCTTATTTTTTCAGCAGACATGCACAGTTCTTACTGTAACAATATAGCACTTTTGTCATCCCTGCATTACAACTTCTCTCAGAAACCTGCATTTGGTCCCAATGGAGATGTCCCAGCCACAGTGGGAAATGAAAACCAAAATGCACTGTCCTTGACCAAGCCTACTGCCTCTCCCCGCCCCCCCAGGATCCATTCCTGATAAATAGAATAAGCCTGCAGAGCTGGATGGATTTTTTCTATTTTAAAAAAATTTTTTTTTACTGTTACTGGAAAATCAGATATACAGGGAGGAGGAAAGACAGAGAGGAAGATCTTCCATTCCCTGATTCACTCCCCAAGTGGCCACAATGGCTGGAGCTGAGCCAATCCGAGGCACCCACATGGGATCCTGGCACATGCAAAGCGAGAACTTTAGCCACTAGGCTATTGCACCAGGCCCAGAAGTTTTTTGATCATCCCAAATAAAAGTCTGCATCCCTGGGCCTGGTGTGGTGGCCTAGCCGCTAAAGTCCTTGCCTTGAACTCGCCAGTATCCCGTATGGGTGCCGGTTCTAATCCCGGCAGCCCTGCTTCCCATCCAGCTCCCTGCCTGTGGCCTGGGAAAGCAGTCAAGGATGGCCCAAAGCCTGCACCCATGTGGGATACCTGGAGGAAGTTCCTGGCTCCTGGCTTTGGATTGGCTCAGCTCTAGCCATTGCAGTCACTTGGGGAGCGAATCAGCAGATGAAAGATCTTCTTCTCTGTCTCTCCTCCTCTCTGTATATCTGATTTTCCAATAAAAATAAATAAATCTTAAAAAAAAAATGTGCATTGCTGAAAACTCACTCCCCATATCCAGCCGCCAGTCCCTGGTGATTACCATACTGCTCTCTGTCTCATGGAGCTTAACCACTCGAGGTCCTTTAAACAAGTGGAATCAAGCACTGTTTGTCCCTTTGTTTCTGGCACATCTCACACAGCATGATATTCTCAGAGTTCATTGACGCTGCAGCAAGCATCAGAATGCATTCCTTTTTCAGGCTGAAAACCAGTCCACTGCATGTAGAGGCCACAACTTTTTTATCTGGCTATGTGTTGGTGAATTTGGGGATTACGGTTAGCAAATTGTTTGAAAAAATCGTAAAACAGAGTAACAAATCCCTTCATTGGACTGATCAACAGAAAAACAGTACACAAGTCACCAATAGCAGGAGGAAAAAAAACAGACTATAGCATGGATTCTGCAGACACGGAATTGATAAGGTGAAAAATCTGAACAGCGCTTTCAACAGACTGAATGTTTTAAGTGAACTGAACTATTTTTTTTACAAATGATTTTAATTATATTCAATTATCAGGTAACCTAGATTTTCCAAGTTAAAAAAAAAGAGTAATGACATTAACAAAAATCAGAGTGCAAAGACTAAGTAATGATAACTCACTTACTACATAAAGGGTTATTTACAATCTCCAACCAGCTTTCCAGAAAGCTAAGCAAGGTTTCATATTAATTTACTTTATGTATATAATATATATAAAGAGGAAAAAATATAAATCTCAGTTAAGCACTCACCTCTGAGAGTATTTTTTTGTTGCTTTAGAGAGGAAGGTGAGTACAGAATGCAGAAATGACCTCAAGTTGTGTTTGCATATGCATTTTCTAAAGCTTTGCTGCTAACTCATTGATGAGACAAAATTATCCATCAAATCCACATCTGCTGAGTGCATCTCTCATGTCCCCAAAGGTCATAGTGCGTGTTCAAACGTATTTCTGAGCCAGATTCTCCAAGGCACACAATACTCTCCGACTTTGCATCAGAGCTCTTTGGCAGTCAGGGTAATTCGTGCAGGGTACACAGTACTATCAACACTCCAAGGTAATCATTTGCTCACTCACTGGGTTGAGCCATAGGAATGAGCCGACACTTACACATCTTAACCTTTAAAAAGCCAACACTGTGCTCTTTTCCTCGCTGGCTGCACGAGGTTCAGCTGCCATCATGAATGACACAGTAACCATCTAAACAGGGAAGCTCATAATTAACACCTCCTTCTGAGGAAACAAACGGTCATTGATGTTTTCCACCTTTCCAAGGCGACAGAGCCCAAGACAGAAATCTGGGAGAAGCCAGCCAAAATGGACAAGAACATGCCAATGTCATCTTTGTGTTTCGATTCCAAACTCACTTCGGAGGTGGCAAGACAATGGGCTTTGGCATGATTTAGGATTCCTTGAATCACAACAAAATGAACTCAGACGTGCAAGAAAAGGCCTGTATGAGAAGAAAATGACCTCAAGGAAAAGCAAAGGAAACAGAAGAACAAGATGAAGAGGGTCCGGGGAAACTGCCAAGGCCAACGTTAGTGTTGGCAATAAGTGAGCTGGACATTGGATAACAACAAAAGTAGTAAAGATTATCCAGTGACTATATGGAAAATACTGTGGATTTTTCATAGGAGTTAATAGCATAAAAAAAAAAAAATAAGGTCGAATCAAGATGGCAGAAAGGGGAAGGACATGTTTAAACAAACAGAGAAGCATTTAATTAGGATGAAGCAGAGAGGACACGTTCCAGGAAATAGGAGAGGACAGAACAACAGCAGAGGGGTACCTGGAAACTGACAGGCACAGGAAAGCAGTGAAAACAATGGTGTGGTGTTGCAGTGATTCATACTCCAGCAGCATTCAGCTAACGACGATCTGAACTCAACCAGCAGCCAGAGCTCCACCAGCAGACTTTCACTGAGAGCTTGGGAGGTGAACCCAGACAAAGAACTGTCTGTTCTGCTGGTCTGTTTGATTTGACCAGGAGCAGAAATAGAGCAGCAGATCCCAGACGGGCAGTGAGAGAACAGAGTGGATTACACAGCCCAGTCAGCCCCAGAGAGCCAAATCGGGTGCCATGTTTTGTGAGGATGCAAAGGCAAGGGGAAAGGACTGAGCCTATGCTGAGCTGGGAGTTAACTCATTTCTGACTCCGTGAACTGCAGTAACGTGGCATTCTGCAGATTCCACCCAAGACAGGTCTGGGTAGCCCTCAGACCTGATGGCCAGCAGATCAACAACTCTAGGAGGGGCATATTAGGCACCATTTTGTACACCATGGCAATAGCTTTAAAACTGAAAGAGACAACAGTGAACTGCGCGTTTGCTGAGTTCATGAGAACTTGCTGAGTTCAGTGAATTGCACTGGTGCCACAGGAAAATAATACTGACTGTGGCATCATATGGGTCAGAATAGGTACGGGAGGCATCAGCCCTAAAGACCAATAGGTTCCAGCAAGATCAACACCAACAACAACCCAGCTATATGGGACACTTGGTGTCTCTCTAATCCTGGGACCTGTTCGAACCAGAAGTGTGAGAAAAGTTGCAGAGACAACAGTGCAATCTCAGCATGATATCACAGGAGGTGGAGAGTGGTGAGCCAGGAGCTGGGGCTGTGGAGACCATGCTGGAAATCTAACATAAGAACCCAGACCTGGAACTTGCTGCAGGGAGTCACACAATTGGCTGCAAGCAAAGAGCTGTGCACCAACTGCAATAAGTAAAATCAAACTGTAGATCTGTGGGTGACACAGCTTAGAAAACTGCCCCAAGGAGAAGACTCTGCTAACCAGAAGTACAACGACCAAGAGCAAAAGAAGACACACAGGCACAATGAATATTACTGGAGACTCTCCTGCAAAGGAGCAAAACCCTATGCCAACCTCAGAGTTAACTGAAGAAGACATTGAGAAAATGGGGCACACAGAATTCAGAAAATTCATTATAAAGCTTCTGACCAACAATGAGAAGCACAATCAAGAGTTCAAAGAATTTAAGGAATATGTTACACAGGAAATAGCAGCAATAAAGCTAATCAAGGCTGATATGTCAGAAATTAAGAACACAGTAGAGAAAATTAAAAGTACAGTGCAGTCTCCAAAATAGAATGAAGCAAGCAGAAGAAAGAATCTCACAATTGGAAGATATTTCCTATCATCAGAGGGAAGCAAACAAAAAGCTGGCATCAGAGCTGGATCAGGCCAAAGAAAGTATTCAAGAATTGAAAGACACTATTAAGAGGCGAAAGAGAAGAGTTATGGGAGTCCCAGAAGGTGCAGAAAGAGAAACTGGTTTTACAAATATATTTAATGAAACAGTAAGGGAAAATTTCCCTAATCTAGAGAAAGAATTGGGAAACAACATCCAGGAGGGGCACAGAACTCCCAACAGACTTGATCAAAAACAATCTTCACCATGACACATGATCATCAAGCTCTCTTCAATCACACATAAGGATCCTTAAATGTGCACATGAAAAGAATCAATTGACGTATAAAGGAATGCCAATTAAACTCACAGGAGACCTCTCACAAGAAACTCTACAGTCAAGAGAGAATGGATTGGCATATTCCAGATTCTAAAAGCAAAAAACTGTCGGCCCAGGATAACATATCCAGCAAAGCTTTCTTTTGTCTTTGAAAATGAAACAAAATTCTGCCACAGTAAAGAAAAGTTCAAAGAATTTGCCTCTTCCAAACCTGCCCGACAAAGGATACTTCAAGATGATCTCTTCACAAAGAAGAGGAGTTCACCTACCAAAACCAAAGGCAAATGGAAAGAACATCCCAGTAAAATGACAACAGAAGGCTGAATCAATTAACAGCCCATTCCTAAAATGACAGGACCAAATTACCACCCATACATATTAACCCTGATATAAATGGCTTAAGTTCAATCAAACCTCACAGATTAGTACACTAGATTTAAAAACCAAACCCATCTATTTGTTGTCTAGAAGAGACACATTTCACCAACAATAATCAGCCAGAACTATAGCTTCTGGATTGTATTATTTTTGTTAGTTTCATCTCTTCAACACAACAACAAATATGTATTTTCATAGATCAGTCTTTTTCTGTGCCATTAACACAAACAGTGGCATTTCCCCGGACCCCTGTGATCACAGGCATCATCTTAGGAATCAGATTTACAGGTGATCTAACAAATGTCTTTAAAAAACATATTATTGGACCTAGTGTGATGGCTCAGTGACTCATTCCTTGCCTTGCATTCCCAGGATCCTATATGGACACCAGTAGAGGATGACCCAAAGCCTTGGGACCCTGTACTCATGTGGGGGACTCACAAGAGGCTCTGCTCTCAGCTTCTGCTGTTGCAGCCACTTGGGAGTGAACCAGTGGGCAGAACATCTTTGTATGTCCTACTCTCCGTAAATTTGCCTTTCCAATAAAAAATAATGTTTTTTAATTATCTACTCAATGTATCAAAACAAAACAAGAAAAATCAGAAGAACCTCACAATAAAAAGACTTAATTTGTCATCAAAATCTTCCCCCAAAAGAAAACCCCAGGGCCCGGAGTGATGGTGCAGTGGTTAAGGTCCTCGCCTTGCATGCCCGGGATCCCATATGGGTGCCGGTTCTAATCCTAGCAGCCCCACTTCCCATCTAGCTCCCTGCTTGTTGCCCGGAAAAGCAACCAATGATGGCCCAAAACATTGGGACCCTGAACCCGTGTGGGAGACCCGGAAGAGGCTCCTGGCTTTGGATTGGCTCAGTTCCAGCCATTGCGGCTGCCTGGGGAGTGAACCATCGGATGGAAGATCTTCCTCTTTGTATATTTGCCTTTCCAATAAAAATAAAATAAATCTTAAAAAAAAAAAAGAAAAAGAAAAAAGAAAACCCCAGTTCCAGACAATTTAACTGGAACATCTCATGAAATATTCAAGAAATAGTTGTGTACCGATGTTTCAGAAGACAGGGCAGATTATTGCTGCTCAGTATATTTTATTTGGCCAGTATACTATTCCTCACATCACACCTTGACAAAGACATTAGAGACAAAAAGAAACAGAGCAATTTTTTGATAAGATACCAAACCTTATCAAAATATTAGCAATTTGAATTTCATACCATACAAAAAGATGTTTGACAAAAATGGGGCTTATTCCAGGAGGGCAAAACTGATTTAACATTCAAAAACCTTAGACAACACACAAGCACTAGTTCAAAATAGATCAATGACCTAGATAAAAAGCTAGAACCATAAAACTCTGAAAAACATGGAAAAAAATCTTAGTAACTTCGTACTAGGCAAAGGTTACTTACAAGAAGTATCAAACAAAGAAGAAAAATTGACAAAACCTTTCATTAAAATTAAAATCTTTGCTTTTTGAAAGGCATTTGAAGAAAAGAAGAAGGCAAGTCACATTCTAGGAGGAACTATCAACAATTCCTGTATTCAAGGAAAGAGCCCGCATGTGGAGTGTAGATACAACTCTTGCAACTACAGGTGGCAAAGCACAGTTTTTAGAATGGGCAAAAGATCTGACTAGAGGCTTTACAGCAACAAAAGGCTAACAGGCCTAACAATAACCTGAGTACCCCTGGCACTTGGGAAATCGTGAACTAAACCGCAGTCACACGCCATCCATCGGGTTGGTGGACCACTTTGGTGTTATAGAGAAACTTTATATTGGAAACTTTTGTGGACCGCCAATGAGGCTGCCAAATGGCACAGCAGCTTGGTGGAAGGAGTTGAGCAACTCAGCTGCAACTCCCACAAGACCCAGCCTTTCCACTCCTGGGGACAGGCTTCCCTTGCATTCCCAAATGAAAAGACGTGCCCACATGAAGACTTACGCACAACACTCACAGCAGCTGTGTGTGAACAACTCAAATGCTCCTGTTACATGGGTAAACAAACGGTGGCCCATTCATGCACTGGTACTCAGCAGGAACAGGAACAAAATATTGATATAGACAACAGCATTGTCTAGAAAATGCAAATCAGCTTAAAGCACCAGAAAACAGGTGAGTGATATGTGAGGTTAGCAGCAGAGATGGACGGATCATAAAAGGGCACGGGGAGCTTTGGTGCGGAGACAGAAGTGGTTACTCTCTTGACTGCGAGGATGTTTTAACAGGTATCCACATGCTAATAATCTCCGAATTTCATACTTGCAATATGGACAGCTTATCATTCTCTTTACAAAATTACACAAAGAAAAATATTGAGGTGAACAATTCAATTAACAGATTGGTCACATAACCATCTCACTTCAAATCTGAAGAAGCAAACTTTGTTCTGTATGGCTCAAAGAGGCAAACTCTTGAAATCTGTCCACTGTTCCTGACAGCCTAAGCCAAATGACTGCAAACACAGGCAGCTATGATTCATGGTCATTAACAAGGATGTCCATGGCCACAAGACAGACAACCAAAACCCCCAGGAAACCAAAGCTGCCTCCTCTCTGGCCTCCTACTCAGACTGAAAGGAAGCAGCACGCCCAAGAACAGAAGCAGCACAAACACGCAAGCAGAAGCAGTATGAAGCACAGAAACAGTGGCCACCCACTCACCTGAAAGTGTAGTTGCCAGGGACAAGGTGGGACAAGCGCAGGACTGGGGAGTCCGCTGAGGTCTTCTCTCCCCCGGAAGGCCCGGCCACTTCTTCCCAGTGGTAACTCACGATCTGCCTGTCATCTGTGCTCTCTGAAGAATGAAATGTAAGAAGAACAAGACAGAAGACCTTACAGAATTGTATATTTCAATTCATTTTATATGAAATTATATGTTCTCCTAGATCTGAATATAAACAAGGGATCTTTCTTATAAAAAGCATATAATAAAAAAAATTAAGCATGGGTTTCAAATTTTTTTACACTCAAATCTGCTCATCTTTTAATTCTGTTTTTCTGTGAGTTCTTAAAAATAAGCTAGTAGTAAGCAACGACATTCCCTAAATCACCATTCCCATTTTTCTCCTAGTTTTCTACCATATCTGAATGAGGTTTCTCTCAGGGAGTTAAATATTTAAGAAGCACGATGACAGGCATCATTGCTTTTTTAAAACCAAGAGTCCATAAAGAGCAGCACATTGAAATACTGCTTGCAGTCATCTCAGCACAGCAATGGTACCCTGGAGGTTGCTTCTAACAGTCAAAAAATGCTGAGATGCCTCTTCATAATTTATAAAACACCTTTTGCTGCATTCATTATTAAGGTAGCAGTCTAAAGCAAAGCCACATCCTGCATAAAAATTTCAACAAAATGTGGCATGCAGAATTGCAAAAATTTACACATGGACAGAAGCCAGTTTCATCTAATTCTTTTCGAACAAGAACCACTTTAAGTGATAGATTAATAACCCTGAACAGTTTTTTTCTGGAACTGCATCAAACTCATACTGAATTAGAGAAACCAAAACATCTTGCTGGGGCTAGCATTGTGGCACAGCCAGTAAGGCTTCCACCTGCAGCACCAGCATACCTTATGGATGCCCTGAGAAAGCAATGGAGGGTGGGACCCTATGTCCACATGGGAGATCTAGGAAAACATTCTGGCTCCTGGCTACAGATTGGCTCAGCTCCAGCCATCGTGGACATTGGTGAGTGAGGCAGTGAATAGTAGGTATAACTCTCTCTCCCCACTCTCTCTGTCTCTACCTCTCTCTTTGAAACTCTAAAATACACTTACTGAGTACATCCTGTTGAGCCAGATCAGACAGAAGTTATGTTTCCAAACCACCCCCATGGCATGGACACCTGCAGCTATGCAGAGTCCCCTTGTGGGCATCCTCTGCCAGAAGGAACAAACTCTGGGCTCAGTCAACAAATAAAACACTACCCACTTTCACTGAGGGCAAACCTGCTAGAACTTGTTGAAAGTGATTCTACTACTACTATTCCTACATGTTCCCTCACATCAAACGGAGATTTCTCAAGAATTACTTTTAAGTCCAAGTCAAAGAAAACTTTTTGTCTGGACCAGTGAGACTTTACTGCAGAGGAAGTGAGTACAGAATGGAGCTGTGATGAAAGAATAAAGAACTTTGAGACGGGAGATGATCGTGTCTCAGTCTGTGTCCTCCCAGCCTGGAGGAGAAGAACCTGTCGCACCTCATGGTACCCAATGGGAAAAATCCCAAGGTAGCCCAGATACTCACGGCTGCCATCGATGTAGGCCGATGTCTCAGGCAGAGTGAGTTCTTGCATTTGGGGCAAGACAACTGCCACAGGAGGTAAGTTGACTCTTTTGGCTGTGACAGAGAAAAGGACAGGAACTGAGCCCACATCATGAGTGCACATGTTGTTACCCAAAGTCTCTGCTTCTTAAAAACTAACTATACACTTTTGTCAGCCATCAGGTGGCCATTTCCCATCCGTGGATACACTGGGGTGGTTGGGAGGTTGGGTGTGGCTTCTCCTCTTGTCCCTCACTCCCTCCCCAGATATAGGAAGAAGAAAAGGAAAGTGTGGAAATAGTAGTCTCACTCGTTTTCCCCTACTCCTCAATTCTTCCCACCCTAACTAAGTTTGTAAACACAATAAAAAATTTCTTTTAAAAAAATGTATCAGCAAGGTCTCCAATGGTAGAGAACATTTTCCAGGTAGAGAGTCTCCCTGTAAATTTCTGGGACTGGTCCTTAGGTTTATATTTTCACACATGCATAAGCCCAGGCTCAGGGAAGAGGTGTTATCATAACCTGGGTTCCTTCATGGGAGCTGAGGGGTGACTGCAGAAAGCGGTGATGGCTCACCATACAGCCTTGAGGAATAACAGGACATTTAATCTCTGACTGCACGATGCTTCAGCCGGAATACACACCTGGCAGAAGTGCAAGAGGGACAGCTGGCATCTCTCAGATAAAGGGGAGTGAAAGGGTGGACAGTTCAGCTATGCAGGTGGCTCCCCCAGTTCCACTGAGGCATGGTGGAGCCCAAAGGCAGCCCAGCCCACATGCTACCTACTGAGCCAGGGCTTTGCCTGCCCAGAGGGCCACCTGCTTTGTGGCCTCACACAATGCACTGATCCAAGGCTGGCAGTACAAAGCACACATTTTCCTCTGCCCTTTTTGCTGCTCAGTGAAAACCATTGCACCTTGGGTAAACCCGAGTCATGAGGAGAGAAGGTAGGAGAGCTGATAACAGAGCTGCATCAGAAAGGGTCACACTTTATGACAATGCATCAGCACTCATGGACAGCTGGCCATGAACCTGTGCCTGCAAATGGTAGTGTCAGGTGAGTACTGCGAAGTATTTGGAAAACAAGCAAAGACATAATCCTTGCATATCTTCTCAACAGAGCCAAATGTAAACCTAAAAAACATATCACATGTCATCCAAGCACCCAAAACTGGAGCTAATCTGTATAACAAGAGGCCTTTATCCAATACAGACATACCTGGCCTAACGGTGACATTGACAAATCCTTCTCCAAAGGCATTTTCACTAGAAACAGCCACTCTGAAGGCATAAAATCCCACTGACAACTGCAATGTGAACAAAAGTGACACAGGTAAACATGCAAGAGACAAGTGTGCTGCTTCAGAAAGGCAGTGATGCCCCCTGTGATGTGCTCCTAAGGCTGGCACAGAAAATGACCCAAGGGACAATTCCCTCTGGGTATGAAATGAGTCTGCCAAACTGTGGAGTGGAGGAGGCCACCACGGACACTGTGCCCCATCCTGGAGTGAATGGGTTCAAGTCCAGCCACCTGATGATGTGTGCAGAGGTGACGGCTCAGGGTCCTGGATACCTGCCACCCACGTGGGAGCCTGGAAGTACGTTCCTGGCCCCCAGCTTCTCCAGATGCCTATCGCAGGCATCTGGAGAGCAAACCAGCAGGGGGAAAGCTCTCTGTCCCACTCTGTCTTTCAAATCAACGAAAGAAGTGAGAGTCAAGAGGCTGCTGCCACAGGTTTGGTCTCTGGATGAAAGACAAGTCTTTGATTATTAGTTAGAGGCTCAAGTCAGGCAGGCCAACTGAGATAGCAGTTCTTAAAAACATGTCAGAGAATCCTGCATTTCACCTATTTGTTTGTTTCTTTGTTTGTTTAAAAAGTAGAGTTACAGAGAGTGAGAGGGAGGAGGAGAAGGGCTGGTAAAGGAGGGCAAGAGGAAAGGAGAGAAAGAGAGAGTGTGCTTCTCCCTAAATGGCCAGGGCTGGGCCAAGCCAAAGCCCAAAGTCAAGAACGCCATCAGCATCTCTTATGTGGATGCCAGGACCCCATGTGCTTTGATTACCTTCTACTGCTTTTCCAAGCACATCAGCAGGGAACTGGATCATAAGTAGAACAGCTGAACTCTAATCAGTACCCATAAGAGAGGCCAGTGTTACAGGCAGCAGCCTAACCCCACTACATCACAATGCCAACACTAAAATCTTGCATTCTTTAATATTTTTGTGCTTTTTTATCTTTTTTAATTTATTATTATCATTTTTATTATTATCATTTTATGATACAGTTCCATAGGCCCCTAAAATTTCCTTTATCCCATCCCCAATCCTCCCAAGTTCCCCTATATCACTATTGCAGTATAGTTCTTCATACACAGACATATGTCCATCATTGCAGGCATGGAAAATGGCAGAGAGTCCAATACCCCATTGTCAATATATTGTAAACAATTTCATTATAAGCCCATCTTTGTCTGGAAGTAGAAATGCATATTAAACTACATCCTCACATCTAGATATGTTAGTCTTCATTTCACAGTTACTGTACAACCCCTTCAATGAAAAGTCGCAATACAAAATAAACCATAGGAAGAAAAATGTTACTATCTATGACAGCCTCCAGTACACAGCTACTATACATCCCCTTAAATGAAAAGCCACAAAACAAAATCAACATTGAGAAGAAAAGAGAAATTGACAACACCATGAGGCTAAATAACGTACTACTGAATGACTAATATGTTGCGGAAGAAATAAAAAAGAAAATCAAGAACCTTCTTGAAGAAAATGAAGCTACTATATGATCTATGAGTCATTGAAGAATTTAGATGGGTTTGGTTTTTTAATCTAGTGTACTAATCTAAGAAGTTTGAATGAACTTCAGCCATTTATATCAGGGTTAATATGTATGGGTGGTAATTTGGTCCTGTCATTTTAGGAATGGGCTGTTAATTGATTCAGCCTTCTGTTGTCATTTTACTGGGATGTTCTTTCCATTTGCCTTTGGTTTTGGTAGGTGAACTCCTCTTCTTTGTGAAGAGATCATCTTGAAGTATCCTTTGTCAGGCAGGTTTGGAAGAGGCAAATTCTTTGAACTTTTCTTTACTGTGGCAGAATTTTGTTTCATTTTCAAAGACAAAAGAAAGCTTTGCTGGATATGTTATCCTGGGCCGACAGTTTTTTGCTTTTAGAATCTGGAATATGCCAATCCATTCTCTCTTGACTGTAGAGTTTCTTGTGAGAGGTCTCCTGTGAGTTTAATTGGCATTCCTTTATACGTCAATTGATTCTTTTCATGTGCACATTTAAGGATCCTTTCCTTATGTGTGATTGAAGAGAGCTTGATGATCATGTGTCATGGTGAAGACTGTTTTTGATCAAGTCTGTTGGGAGTTCTGTGCCCCTCCTGGATGTTGTTTCCCAATTCTTTCTCTAGATTAGGGAAATTTTCCCTTACTATTTCATTAAATATATTTGTAAAACCAGTTTCTCTTTCTGCACCTTCTGGGACTCCCATAACTCTTCTCTTTCGCCTCTTAATAGTGTCTTTCAATTCTTGAATACTTTCTTTGGCCTGATCCAGCTCTGATGCCAGCTTTTTGTTTGCTTCCCTCTGATGATAGGAAATATCTTCCAATTGTGAGATTCTTTCTTCTGCTTGCTTCATTCTATTTTGGAGACTGCACTGTACTTTTAATTTTCTCTACTGTGTTCTTAATTTCTGACATATCAGCCTTGATTTGCTTTATTGCTGCTATTTCCTGTGTAACATATTCCTTAAGTTCTTTGAACTCTTGATTGTGCTTCTCATTGTTGGTCAGAAGCTTTATAATGAATTTTCTGAATTCTGTGTGCCCCATTTTCTCAATGTCTTCTTCAGTTAACTCTGAGGTTGGCATAGGGTTTTGCTCCTTTGCAGGAGAGTCTCCAGTAATATTCATTGTGCCTGTGTGTCTTCTTTTGCTCTTGGTCGTTGTACTTCTGGTTAGCAGAGTCTTCTCCTTGGGGCAGTTTTCTAAGCTGCGTTACCCATAGATCTACAGTTTGATTTTACTTATTGCAGTTGGTGCACAGCTCTTTGCTTGTAGCCAATTGTGTGACTCCCTGCAGCAAGTTCCAGGTCTGGGTTCTTATGTTAGATTTCCAGCATGGTCTCCACAGCCCCAGCTCCTGGCTCACCACTCTCCACCTCCTGTGATATCATGCTGAGGTTGCACTGTTGTCTCTGTAACTTTTCTCACACTTCCGGTTCTAACAGGTCCCAGGATTAGAGAGACATCAGGTGTCCTATATAGCTGGGTTGCTGTGGGTGTTGATCTTGCTGGAACCTATTGGTCTTTAGGGCTAATGCCACCCGGACCTATTCTGACCCATATGATGCCACAGTCAGTATTTTTTTTCCTGTGGCACCAGTGCAATTCACTGAACTCAGCGAGTTCTCACGAGCTCAGCAAACACGCAGTTCACTGTTGTCTTTTGCAGTCCTAAAGCTATTGCCATGGTGTACAAAATGGTGCCTGATGTGCCCCTCCTAGAGTTGTTGATTTGCTGGCCATCAGGTCTGAGGGCTACCCAGACCTGTCTTGGGTGGACTCTGCAGAATGCCACGTTACTGCAGTTCACGGAGTCAGAAATGAGCTCACTCCCAGCTCAGCATAGGCTCAGTCCTTTCCCCTTGCCTTTGCGTCCTCACAAAACATGGCACCCGATTTGGCTCTCTGGGGCTGACTGGGCTGTGAAACCCACCCTGTTCTCTCACTGCCTGTCTAGGATCTGCTGCTCTATCTCTGTTCCTGGTCAAATCAAACAGACCAGCAGAACAGACAGTTCTTTGTCTGGGTTCACCTCCCAAGCTCCCAGTAAAGTCTTTGCTGGTGGAGCTCTGGCTGCTGGTTGAGTTCAGATCGTCGTTAGCTGAATGCTGCTGGAGTATGAATCACTGCAACACCATACCATTGTTTTCACTGCTTTCCTGTGCCTGTCAGTCTCCAGGTACCCCTCTGCTGTTGTTCTGTCTTCTCCTATTTCCTGGAACGTGTCCTCTCTGCTTCATCCTGATTAAATGCTTCTCCGTTTGTTTAAGCATGTCCTTACCCTATTCTGCCATCTTGATTCTCTGCATTCTTTAACATTTATCTTGGTAAATTGGCTGACACTAATTATACATCACACTTTGGGAGCTGAGGCTCAATGCCATGGGCATGTGTACACCTTATACAGCACAATAACATGGGAATGATTCATGGCCACAGGGGAGAATAATACAAGAATGTTGCATACTCTGTTTGCACAGTAACACCAGGGTGATGCGTGCTCATATTGCACCATTAGCTATACAATCTCAGGAGAGGAAGACAGAAAAATCATCTGGCTGATCAGACCTCTGGTAGATAACTCAGTTTGTTCGTCCTACCTGTCTGTTGATACATTACTGACAGTTAAAGCTATCTATAGACTGCAGCAGAATGACAGCAACTCTTAGAAATGTGCCTGCCTGAGAACCAAAGACGAGCTAAATGTCCTCACACTGCAAGCAGAGTAGGCAGGATCCCTGGGAAACCAGCCCCTTGTCCCAGAGCTGCTCTGTGAAGTCATTCAGAGAAACCACCCAGCTACCTCTCACTTACCCACCTGCCCACCTAGTGTCATGGCCAAACCCTGATTCACTTCTCTCCTCCTTTTGATCTTAATCAGAAGGCAGATTGCAATTTTGACAGCTAAGATGGTATTTAATCCCTGCTGGCCCGCACTGTCACTGACAGCTCATCCCCAGCTACTTACGTGAGAGAGATGAAGGGTTTGCAAGTGTCTTTGTTTTATCTCCCCTTGGTAGTCTGCAGGGCGGCTAATGAGACTCCATTCATAGTTGTAGGTCTTTTCTGAGAGCCAAGCAAAAATATGAGTAGTTGGAAAAAAAGCAAAGACATAATGCTTGCATATCTTCTCATTACCCTGAGATACACTAAACTTGACTTTCAAATTCCATCCACTAAGAAATAACAAGGTTCCAGTTATTTTAGATATTTGAAAGTAAGAGACACACAAAGACAGAGCTGTGCACATGCACACACACAAATGCAGAGAGAGATACACAGATACATACACACAGAGCGATCTGCCTGCTACTTTACTCCCCCAAATGCCTGCAACAACTAGGGCTGGGCCAGACCAAAGGCAGGAGCCCAGAATTCAGCCGGGCTTCCCCACACGAGCGGCAGAGGCCAGGTACGTGAATCATCACCTGCCTCTCCGAGAACACACATTTGTAGGAAGCAGGCAGCCCGACATAGCTGGATCTTGAACCCAGGTCCTCTGACATTGGCTACAGACCCCAAGCAGTAGCTCAGCCCCTATGCCAATACCTGACCACATGCATTTTTGGTGTAAAATTTTTTTATTTTACACTTATTTTAAAACATATATTTGGACTTTTATGTAGTTGTAGGAAGTTTGGAAAATATACAAAGCTTTTTTTTTTTTTTTGAAAAAAAAGCTGTCCCTACCCTCATTATCATTATTTCATGACTCTCCTGTGAGGGTGCTGGCCACACTACCATCGTATCATATTTAACCCATGATATTCTCACTCCTTGTAATGAAAGAGATTTCCACTCTTGCAGTCCGCTGCAGGACTGACCATATGTATTGACATAAAAAGAAATGGCCTTAACATTCCTGTATTAGTACGAACAGGTCTCTCAACTTTCTAAGAGTGAATTATGAGGTGTTTCACCTCAGAGGATCAAAACACAAATCAAAGCTTTCCTATTCCTGAATAAAGAAACTAGCATGAATGAGAGACAGTCAACCACCATTAGAATGAGTCTACCTGGGGGCTGACACCATCATATGGTAGCCTAAGCCTCAGCCTGTGGTGCCTATATCCCTTATGGGTGCTGTTTCTGTGTCCCGGCTGCTCCACTTCTAGTCCAGCTCCCTGCTTGTGGACTGAAAAAGCAGTAGAGGACGGCCCAAGTGGGAGACCCAAAAGAAGTTCCTGGCTCCTAGCTTCAGACTGGCCCAGCTCCTGCCATTGTAGCTATTTGGGGAATGAACCAACAGATGGAAAATCTCTCTCTCTCTCTGTGTTAACTTTGCCTATAATATTTATATGTTAAATATAATATTTAATGACATAACATTAATAATAAATATATAATTTTTTATATATATATATATAATAAAAGAATGCTTCTACTTCAAGGACGATGCATTGACAGCTCCTGGGGTTATCCTGGGTCTAAGGCCAAGGTTCACCAAATAGTGAACCCTGAACAGCAGAAGAAAGGGTGTCTGCAGGAGGGTGCCCAGGAACCCGAGGGCCATGTTGCCCACTGGGCAGTTTCCAGGAGCTGCCCGAGGGGAGTGCGCAGCCTCCCTCCTCCCAGGTTCTGCGGGTCCTCCAGGTCAGCGTCCTGCTTTAATGCAACTGTTACATCCGCAGAAATGTCAGAGTTTCCATCCAGCCAATGAAATGCTATTACTGTATCCAATTGCCTTGGCTGTTACTTCAAGTCAATCCACTTCAGTAAATTTTGATCCTTACACCCACCAAAGCTGTGTGCTCCGCTCCACAGCCTTTGGTACGACGTCACAGGCGCTGTGGAAAGAACTCTGTGTTGCAAGAACACCCCAAAGAGCAAGGTCAAACCCTCACCTGCAGGGGGCGTGGGCACAACAAAGGCTTTCAGTTCAACTTCATTGTTGGGTAAAGTCACCACCTGGTTCTCTCCAGCAGACACTGTGAGCTCCTTCACTGAAAGTGAATTGGAAATAGCACCACGTGGCATTAGCTGTGTAGTGATGTCCAGACACTAGCCTAGAAAAGATCTGCTTCAGTGTGCATAAAATGAAACGCTGTATACTTCGATAATTGTCATTCATATGCACCTTCTTCCTCTGCCTGAGGAAAACGACTGTCTACTGTCGTGTTGGGTGACAAGCAGACAGCCAGGATGGCGTCTAGGTTCTTTTTTGCTACCTGCATTTCTTGACTGACTCCCTGCTGGGAACTGCTTTTAGTTAAAAAGACTGCGTGCAGTCACAAGTGTTCCCACACCGTTTAGTCCCACGACACTGAGCTCTGATGGTAACCTCGTGAATGACCACGAAGGTCTCGCTCTTGTGACTTTTCTCATCAGCTTCAATATGAAAAGGCAAATTTACTGAAGCAGCAGGAACGTCGGCTCCCATCATCGCCCCAGTCTGCAATGTGAGCTTTCAGAATGCCACTCTTTGCCTTCTCCAGAACCAGGATTTCATCGGTGTATTCATTCTGTCGTTCTATTGGCTTGCCCTGACCGGACCTTCACTTCAGCTGTGTAAACCTTACACGCAGAGAGAGGCCGTGCTTGGAAGTACGAGCCGAGTTTGCTGCCGAGTCTTTCCCTGTGATCCTCAGCCCCTCCAGGCTGCCTGTGGGGCGAGAGAGGAGGCTGTCTCGATGCCTCAGGACCTCCTCATCCGTCAGTGCACCAACTCCATCCTGAGAGCCAGCAGTTGTGAGATCTTTACAGATGAAATAATCAATGGAGCCCCAGGAAGGCTAATCAAGGTGTTCAAGGTTTAGACAGATACTTAGCAACAGAACCACCACTTTCAAATAATTCACATGTATTTATTTCAACAGACACTTATATGCCAGATCAAACTATGCCGAGCTCTTTTTAAGCCAAAACTCTTGAGGCAGAAAGATCTCTGAAATAAAAGGGTTTATTGAGCCATTATAGGTGATAGCCAGAAAGCACCAGTCTTGGAATGGGTCAGCCCAGCAATCCACAACAGGGCTGTTCGGCATTTGGCAACATGTTTACCAGACCATGACAAAGAACACTTTTTAATAAGCAAATTTTGGGGAAGCAAGGTACAAGTTGTTCACAATTGAACGTACTCTGGCTAGAGGCACCGGATGACACTTGGGAGGGTCCTGAGGGATGGTGCCAGAGGAGGCCTGCTCCTGATTGGCTGGGGCTGTGAGCACGATGTAGCAGCACCCAGGGAGTGGTTCTGGCCAGCTCTGAGTCAAAGCCAAAGCAGTCTTCTGTCCCTATGGCCTGTTGTTGCCTGCCAGCCTCGCCTTGTCTTCTCTCCTCTCCTCAAACCCCCAGCCCTCACACATGCTTTTCCTATCACACCCTTGCTAGAGCTTGCAACTGACTGACTTCCCACTCACAACGTTCTACGCAACAGGCACTGCCAGACCCCAGGGATGCTAAGTCACAGGCCAGGTTCTTCCCACATGCTGCACAGCTTCTCTTCCACAGCGAGCTTCTCTCTACCCACGCTCTGAATCCAAGTACACGCAAAAGCAGAGAGAGTGATCCCCAAACCACATCGGCCACAGCAAATACAGCCCTTTGACCTGGCTGACTCCAACAGCTGCTTTCTGGGAAAATGGGATGGACGCTCTCTGACCTCACGGTGGCCTTGGGAGTGTGTGTGTGCCTTTTCCTCACTTCTTCCTTTTTGGAACTGCCAGGAACCAAAATTTCCAGCGTGGAATGACTAAAGGCTAGAATGGGCCACTAATTATGTCTCCCTGGTGTAAGGATTAATTGGAAACGAGTATTTTGGAGAAGCCCTGAAAACAAGTAAGGGTTCCCACTTTCTAAGGGGAATTTACGCCTGGGGCGGAAAGCTCCATTTGTGAGGCTGTCTCTACCCTGTACCCAGAAGAGAGTTTAAGTTTACCAAGACTCTGCCTAGGGCCGGGGCACCCACTTGAATCCTCAGCAAACCCTACTCTTGCTCACCATTTTTTCTGGCTACCTTCTGCCCTACCCCACCCCCTGTTTGAAGAGCTATACAAGCTAGAGTTCTAGGGCCGCTTCCCTGGGTCTTTGCCATGTCCACACGCTTGTCCTGTGGTATCTATGGGGATTGGTACCAGAACAAACACAAGTAGACATGATCACCTGTGGATTCCCAGTCCCTTACGCTGGGAAATGATGCAGTATTTGCATGGAACCTATGCACAGCCTCCTGTCTACTTTGACCCATCTGTAGATAACTCGTAATGCCTTACCCAGGGCAATCTCTGGGTAACTACCTGCTGTACTGTGTTGTTTAGGGAATGATGACCAGGGGCAGAACCTGTACATATTCAGTGAAAGGCACAAAAGCTCTTTAAAACTAACTTCAGTCTTGGCCAGTTGAATTCACATGTGTAGAACACATAGCTATAGAGAGTCAGGCTGTATGAGAGGTGTAGGTTAACAAACATGCAGTGGTTTTTGTCCAGTTAATCTGTCGTTCATTGCAGGGCTAGCTCCAACCTGAGAAGAGTGAAGGGCAACTGTTTGCTGGCTCATTCCTTCTCTCCCCTCCTCCCTGCTGCTGTCCTTGGCATCTGCTACCTTCTCCACACCTCGGCCCAGCCAGGTTGGCAGACTCCTGCCCTTTCAGAGAATGGCATTCTCTCATCACATTCCCACAATTCTACTCCCTTACTCAAGTCCACTTCCTTGTCTCCATCACTGCAGCCTCTCACAGCAGCCTGTCTTCTAGCCTCCATCCACACTCAGAAAACAACACCCCAAAGACTGGTGCTCTGACAAGCTGCTCACATTCAGGATGCCTCTGACCTTCCCTTGCTGTTCCCCTCACAACGCAGGGAGCAGCTCTCTGCCAAGTTCTCTTCTCCACCTGCGCAGATCGCCAAAGGCGGAACACAGCTGCCTTTGGCCTTCGTGTTGTTTTCATGAGTCACAGCAGACTGAACTCAAGTCACAGGAAGAGACTGAAAAAGAAACATGTAACCTAGTAGCCAGAGGAGCTTCTTCCATGACCATTCTCTATTCTTTTGCCCTTAAAAAACTTGCTAGCACTCCCAAACAGTCTGGCCTGATGTCCCTCTCTGTGAGAAGGAACACATTTAGGCCCTGGTTATCTGTCCCTTTCTTCAAGTCTATATATTTTGTGTATGGCTCCCATGAGTGGTCATGAACTTGGATGAATGTGCATGTTCTTTTTCCTGTTCATTCACTGCCAGTTTCAGATCTTCAGGGTGAGTGTGCACTCTCCCCCTGTGGTAAGAGCTAAGCATGGTGCCTGGCACTCTGTGTGCTTGGTAGGTACCAAGCACCATCGCGAATGTTATCACACAGCTTGCTCCACAGACCTGGAGGTGAGGCTGCCCCTCTTCTGTCATCCCAGCCTTTCACAGCACTGACCACACTGTCCAGAGACATCAGCGGGCTGGGATCCTCCCCTGCCATATGCAGTCACTGAGCAAGAAGACAAAGTCTCATTGACCTTCCCATTGCCAGAGTGTAGCTATGTTTCTGGCACATGATGGATGCTCACAATTGTGGAGAAGGAACAAACTCTAAAAGTCACTAGTACTGTGTTCTGCAGAATGCCATTAGGACATTTCTTACTACAACTGTAGCTTTTTTAAGGTTACCTGTCTTGGGAGTGACGGTAAGAGATGTGGGCTGCTCAGGCAGGGCAGAGCCAGAAGGGATTGCGCTGGTGGGGAGCGCTGGGGTGCTGGGCACCGTGCTCCGAGGGATGATGGTGAGAACAGGTCTTTCTTCCATCGAGGCTGAGCTGGGCTCCAGGCTGGCTGGAGGCCCATGGGAAGGCACTAGCACCTACGAGACCAATGACAAGAAGAAACTGTTATGAAAAAGGTGGTTGAACTCAAGCAATATACCATCACTGACCTTCTTCATAAATGAGATTAAGTAGTGTTGTAAAAATCATGAATGATATCTGACAACCCTGGAACTTAAGACCATCTCCTTCAAATATGCTCTTTGCCATCTATCCAATATACAAACCAATTATGTATCATTAGTTATAGGTGCTCACCCAAACATTCAAGCTAGAGGAAAAGCAAAGAAAAACAGCTCATGAACTCAACAATGCAACAGATTAAATGTTCATGTCCCACTCAAAAGCCTCATGTCAAATCCTACTCCCTAGGGACCAGCCCCATGGCATAATAAGATAAACCTCCACGTGAGATGCCAGCATTGGATATAGGCACCAGTTCAAATCCTGGCTGATTCACTTCTGATCCAGCTCCCTTGTAATGTGCCTGGGAAAGAAGTGGAGAACGTCCCAAGTTCTTGTGCCCCTGCACTCATATGGGAGATCCAGAAGAAGCTCTTGCTCCCAGCTTTGAACTGGCCCAGCTCCAGCCACGGCAGGGATTTGGGGAGTGAACCAATAGATGAAAGATCTCTCTTCCTGTCTCTCCTTCTCTCTCTGTAAATCTGCCTTTTAAATAAAAAATAAATCTCTGGTTCATGTTCCAGCTAGTCCACTTCCCTTCCTGCTCCCTGCTTGTGACCTGAGAAAGCAGTAGAGGATGGCCCAAAGACTAGAGACCCTACACCCATGGAGGAGACCCAAAAGAAGCTCCTGGCTCCTGGCTTTAGATCAGCTCAATTCCAGCCATGTGGCCACTTGGGGAATGAACCAGTGGATTGAAAATCTTTCTCTATGTCTCTCCTTCTCTCTGTAAATCTGCCTTTCCAATAAATGTAAATAAATCTGCAAAAATATTAAAAAAAAAAACAAACAAAATCTTAACTCCTAGTGTGACAGTATTATGCAGTGATTAGATCATGAGAGTAGAGCCCAGAAGAAGCCCGACAGCAAGCGAATCCTATTTTATCAGAGGACACAGAAAGAAGAAAGCTGCAACCAAGATCTGCACCAAGAACCTGACCCTGATCTCTAACTTCCAGTCCCTAGAAAGCCTGAGATCCAAATGTCTGCTGGTGAAGCCACCCATTTTATTGTATGTTGTTATTGTAGCCAGAATGAACAACAACAACCAGGGAGGCAGTAATTGAAGACATTCAAATAATTTGAAAGCGAACAGGCTTCTAGAACAAATGGCCTCAATTCACACTATCTATTGCGTAACAACTGGAACTTGAAGTTACAGAATTAGTCAAGTTACAGTTCTAAATTAAATACTCTCTGCAGAGGGAAAAGTATCGTAATATGAAAATTAAGTGTTCCACTTCTACAGCCAGTGTCTGTGAGGCCCGGCAGGAACAACTGCCAGACGAAGAACCCAGGAAATGCCATGGGGGTGGACGCACTGAGAAAAGCTGCCAGAGAGGCAGCCACTGTGACTTTTCTGCAGGCGAGTAACGGCACGGCCACTCTGAGACTCTGGGCAGATTCACTGCCATCACTACCAGCACTCACTGAACAGCGTGAGGCAAATTTGCAGAACCAAGCAAAGAATTAAACTGGAAATATTTTGATCAGAGAAATCAATGGGTGAATATTTTAACAGTCAGATAACTTTGAGAGGCCCGATTTTCCTGTCCTTCCAGACATCTCGGTTTGAAGTGGGGGCAAATGGATGAGGCCGTTCTTTCCATCGGCTCTCACTGAGAACAGCAGGAAATACAGAGCAGCAAGAGGCACTGCACTGGTGGGACTCTGAAGATGCCAAGATGAACTGCGGTATATTTCCTTGATTAGTTTTGTGAAATATGGAAAGTATGCTACATAATGAATGAAGGTAGACATTGTTGGGAGAAGAAAGATTTGAGAGTTGAGGTCCCAAAGCATGGGAAATGGCTCAGGGTTATAAAACCAACAATCCTGTTCCTACTTCTCCCTGACTTGCTTACTTACTACCTACTGCAAACCAGGTAGTTATCACTTCTATGTTTGAAAGAAACAGCCATGGATGGTCCAGAACTTGGGAAGTTCATAGGACTGAATGAAGTTCTTACAAACACACCAAAAGAAATGGCAACACTTATGGAAGTGGGCTGCTGGCAGTCCAGCGCCCAGGAAGTTGGGCCAGGGAGCAAACGTGCAAGTGGTCTCATTTCCATTTTTTACTTTAAATATGAGACAATGCTTAAGGACCTGTGTAGTCTGATCACTTGAATTTAGCTACAAAAACATGTCTTTAGCATTACAGGTTTAAATTTGATTTGTCTTCCTTGATAACTATTCAGTGAGCCCTATTTAATGAATAATGCTGGACATTCATATACAAGTTTTTGCATGGACACAGAAATTCGTTTCTCTTCAATAAATGCAGAGAAAATGCAATTGCCAGGTTATAGAGTCACATCTTGGTTTTAACAACCAGGAACTGATAGAAAACTGTTTCAAAGAGCTGTACTTCCACATAGTGTACAAGAAGTTTCAATTTCTTCTAGATTTACTGTTATCCATTTGGTGGTGCAAATGTCTCCAAAAGGTCCATGATTAAAAGTCTTGACCAGGAGCTGGTGTCATGGTTAGCAAGTTAAGTTTGCACTGTGGCACATTGTCCTTTGAGTGTCCTAGTTCAAATCCCAGCTTTTCCATTTCTAATCCTGGCTCCCTGTTTAATACACTAGCCGAAAGCGTGGAGATGGTCCAGGTCCTTGGGCTGTATCCACATCGAAGACTGGATGAAGTCGGTGCTGCTGCTTTTGGATTGGCTCTGCTTCCGGTCTGTCCCTTTGCAGCATTTGGAGAGTGAATCAGCACATGGAGGACCTCTGACCCCTCTCTCATTGTAGCTGTCTTTCAAATAAAAAAATAAATACATAGTTTAAAAAATCAGGTGTCAGGTCTGCACAGTGGCTATCAGCTCTAAAGTCCTCACTTGAATGCGCCAGTTCTAATCCAGCAGCCCAGCTTGCAATCAGATCTGTTGTGGCTGGAAGCAGTCGGGGACAGCGAAGCTTGGGACATGCACCACTTGGAAGACCTGGAGGAAGTTCTAGGCTTCGGCTGGCACAGCACTGGTAGTGGCCACTTGGGGAGTGAATCATCAGATCGAAGATCTTCCTCTCTGTCTCTCCTTCTCTCTGTATATCTGACTTTACAATAAAAGTAACATAAATCTTAAAAAAAAAAAAAAAACACAGCAGAGTCTTGATCCCACAGTGGTGTAATCTCACAGAGGTGAAGTCTAGTAGGAAGTCTCTAGGTTTCGGCAGGCATGTCCTTGGAAGGTAATTCTGTGACCACTTGAGCTCTTTGGAGAGCATTACAAAAGTGCTCAGCCATTTTCTCTGCTTCCTGGCCCACCACGTGATCCTCCCACAACTCACATTCCATTGCTCACCACGGGCCACTCTTCTACATTCCACTACCCACCATGGACCCCTTGTCATTAGCGATGCCTACACCATGACGGTTGGACTATGAACCTCCAAAACTGTAAGCTAAATAACACCTCTTCGCTTCACAAAGAGCCTGTCTCAGGTATTTCATTATGCTAAACAAAAACTGTCTAATGGACTTAGAAATAGCTATTTCCAGGGCTTTTTTTCCATGACCATCAAGGTACAGAGGAAGTAATATCCCATTATGGTTCAAATTTTCACTTGCCTAAAGATTAATGCTGTTGAGTATCTTTTCATATGGCTATTAACCATTCTTCCATTATCTCTGGAGGAATATTTATTTATTCAGATCCTTTTCCATTTCAAATGGGGTTATCTGAATTGTGTACACACTTAAGGGACATGATTTACAATTACTTTACTTAGGACCAGTGCTGTTACTCAACAGGCTAATCCTCAGTCTTCTAGCACGAGCATTCTATATGGGCACTGGTTCATGTCCAGGTTGTTCCATCTCCAATCCAGCTCCCTGCCGGTGGCCTGGGAAAGCAGTCGAGGACGGCCCAATGCTTTGGGACCCTGCACCCATGTGGGAGACCCAGAAGAAGTTCCTGGATCCTGGCTTTGGATCAGCATAGCATCGGCCATTGCACTCACTTGGGGAGTGAATCATCGGATGGAAGATCTTCCTTTCTGTCTCTCCTCCTCTCTATATATCTGACTTTGTAATAAAAAATAAATAAATAAATCTTTTTTTAAAAAAAAAAAAGGAATAGCAAAATGTAAACTTTGAAGTACAGAAACAACTGAGAAATCAGAAAAAAAAAAAAAAAGACCTGATCATCTCAACATTCAGAGATGACTTTTTTGGCCATCTTTCTGCCAATTCTTTACGCTTGAGATTATATGGTACAACGAACTCAATTCGGCATTTTTCATTTATTCTAACATAAGCACTGAAGTCCTGCTGCTATCTTCCTTTGAAAAATTCTTAAAGGACTCCCGTGTCCTTTGCTAGGCTGCACCCAGCTACATCCAGCTGCCCAGGCACTCCTGCCCCCACCCTGCCTGTGCCCCACATGGGCAGCCTCCACGCTGTGCAGGAAGCCCTGCTCTCAGGACACTTCTCATCCTCACCCTCCCTGACCCTCCGCCACTGACGGACTCTCAGGCCACTTCGCTGCGTCTGTGAGCTCTGCTCTCCATGTCATTCTCACCCCCTTTCCATGGAAAGTTCCATAAGGCTCAGTCCTCTTCCACTGCTCAGCTGACTTGTTAAGTCACACCCTAAGCACCTGCTAGGCCATGTGGAAACCTGAGATGGGAGATTTTCTACACCTCTGTACTGGATGTTATGTGCTGGCTCCAGGGACTTCTAGAAAAAAATCCCTGTTCACAATTGGCAGGGGTTGGGAGAAGATCAGGCTGAATCTGTCCACGTCATCCACTGGCAAATCCAAGCCCCAGAACAGTGTGGGTCAAGCCAGGTTCAGTCACAACAAAGACTAGTGCACAATACGAATGCCAAGGTGAGGTTGCCTGTACTGGAAATGACTGCAGCGCCCCACCAGCAAGTGTGAGAACAAGGGGGCAGGGCCGGTAGGGGAATAAGGAGTGGTTCCTTTGCTGGACAGCTACTCCTGCTGGAGAGCATGAGCTGGGATGAGGCAGACCAGACTAAGCAGGGCTACAACACCTGTGAGCCTCAGGTGGACTAGATCTGGGAAAAGCCAGGCTGGGCTGATTATTCCTACTGGTGCAAACAAAATTAGAATGGGTGAGGGTTGTTTGGACTTAGCCATAGTATCAGCTGCAAGAAGCTGGCACTGGGGGCTAGTTCTGTCAAGTCAAACCAAACTGGCACTGGGGGCTAGTTCTGTCAAGTCAAACTCTGGAGAGTGCATAATCTGGGAGTGGGAGCGACCTGGGAGGGAAATAGTGGGCTCCTCCCTCTTATTTTTTTAATTTTAATTTTTAAAAATTTATTACATTGCATTATGTGACACAGTTTTATAGGCACTAGGATTCCCCCCTCCCCTCCCGGGCTCCTCCCTATTGGGTTAACACTTCTACAGGAAGGCATAAAACTAGGACAGTGGCTGGGGTGGAATGGGGTGTGGGACAGACTGGATTACTACTACACATACTGGCAAACCAGGGCAGGGGGCGGGCCTGGTGGGGGTTATTGCAGGTCACTCCAACTAGGCTGCAGCTCCTACTGGTTTATGCGAGGGCCGAGTATGTGCTGGGCAGAACCAGGCTGGACTGCAACACCCATTGGTTCCAGTGGAAGTCGGGAGTGAAAACAGAACCAACCCAGCAATTGCAACCACCAGCTGATTGGGGCAATGGACGGTGCCAGTCCCTGTACTTGCTAGCACATACAAGAATCTGGTTTGAGAACACCTCAGACAAAGTTTCTTTGGAGATCTCCCCAATCAAAATGCTGGACTCAGAACCCTAACCAAAAAAAGAGAGAAGACAGAACAGGTCAACCAACCATCTCAGCTATATCTTGGCAGCCAAATACGGGGCAAATAGAGACTCTATGATGGACAATATCAACCAGTGGATTCTTCAAAGACCTCATAGTGCTTGGAGTGGCAAAATTGACAGCGATTCAGAACTGTTGAAATATCAAAACCACCTGAGCAAGAAACTTAGAGCATACGCTACATCCGGGACCTGGGGAGGGTGGGAAATTGGGAGGGCCTTTTCCCTTAGTACCCCACTTTAAACATGAAGGAAACAATATGGAAAAAATAATAGTCTTACCCACTTTCCTGTAGCCCGTGAAACTTCTTACCCTAATTAACTATGTAAAGATTGTCAATAAAAAAAAAAAGACAAAAAAAAAATTTAAAATCCCTGTTCACCTTAACTGCCAGCAGAGGTGCCTCCAGGCAGCTGAGTTGGAAGCAAAACTGTTTATTCTTTTTAACAACCTGGTCACAAGAACACAGCACAGGAACAAGGTGTCTGTTTTCTGAGAGGCTCTGAGAGACAGGCCTGTATCTTGCTGCCACCTGACACAGATGCACTTCAAAAGGAAGCTAGCTGTGCTCAACCAAATGAGGCTTGCTTACCCATCCCTGACCTGTCCCAAACACACGTACCTCTCTTCCAGGGCTAATGCTGGACTGTTCCTGGAGCTGAAATGCCTCCTCCTTCTCTAATATCTCTCGGGCAGATGGAGTTGTTACTGATGGAAATGGATTTGTTTCAGGAGTGTGTGTCGGGGCAGAGGTCCAGGCCAACTCACTGGGTTGCTGATGGGCCAGGTCCTGGTCATGGAGCTCAGGGTCTGGCTGTTCCTCCCCTGGCACTGGACTGTCTCCCATCGTGGAGTTGAACTCCTGGTCGCTGTTGGGCAGCAGGTCCCAGTCGGTGTCGTCAGCCCTCTCTCGGGGCTCCTCCTTGCTGCTGGGCTCCTCCTTGCTGACAGGCGGCAGGAGGTCTTGCTCCAGCTCCCTGTAATCATCTGGGTACTCAGACAGGTCTTCCAGGCTCCCCTGGTCTTTGCCTAGAAAGGGCAAGTCCTTTCTAATATCCTCAGGTGGGTCACCCCAGAGCCCCGAGGGGGAGCCCCTGTTCAGCATCATCTCTCCATAGTCCAGCAGCTGTGCCGGCCTCTGCACAGGCCTGAGCACGAATGTGAGGTGGGACCTGATGGAGCCCATCTTCTTGGGCTCACAGTTCTCTTGGAGCAGGCAGCTGACCAGGAAGCACCTGCCTTCGAACCACCAGGCCAGGTCACAGCTGGAGAGGTCACAGCAAGCGGCAGTGCAGTCCTGCACAGCGAACGTCTGAGGCACGCGCATGATCCTGATGCTTTCCAGGTTAGGGGAAATGATGGCGTTGGAGTACGTCCTCCCCTCACCGCACTGCTGACAGGCACATCCTGCAAACAAGATGGTGTCTAGTGAGGAAGAGCCATGTCACGTGGAGAAACTCCAGCTGATGGAATCAGGAAATGGGATTAAATAAAAACCAATGTTGAGCCCAGCACAGTAGCCTAGAGGTTAAAGTCCTCCTTGCCTTGCATGCGCCGGGATCCCATATGGGCCCAGTTTGTGTCCTGGTAGCTCCACTTCCCAACCAGCTCCCTGCTTGTGACCTGGGAAAGCAGTCGAGGATGGCCCAAAATCTTGGGACCATGCACCCACATAGGAGACCCGGAAGAGGCTCCTGGCTTTGGATCAGCTCAGCTTTGCCATTGCGGCCACTTGGGGAGTGAATCACTGGATGGAATATCTTCTTCTCTATCTCTCCTCTCTGTACATCTGACTTTCCAATAAAAGTAAAATAAATCTTAAAATAATAATAATACAAACCAATGTTTCCTATGGAAAGACCATTACATTATCTTACAGTCTTTCCTTTATATACTTATCCCTCTACACACACATTGAGCCAGCCAGTCAACTACCCATCCACACATTTATCCTCTTACTCTTCCACCTACTCCCTGACTTCTGCCTACCCATCTGTCCATCTGGACATCTGTCCATCCACCTGCCATTTCCTCTTCACACAATTTCACTCAATTAAAAAAATTTTGCTCCACATAATGTGTTATTTTTATATTATTTACAATACAGAATTCCTCTTTATAAAATATGGACCGTGTCCCTCCATCTCTCATTCCTCCCACCAGACTGCCATCACTGCCAAGACAAAACAGCTCCAAGAAGCGATACAGAACAATGCCCATCTTCCTTTATATATAACAAAAGGGAGGGATATAAGAAGTTATACAAATATCCCACCCTGGACCCTGCGCCATTTCCTCTTCCTCACAGCTCACGAAATTCTCGCCGGTCTAGACACCCACCAATCAGATATAACCTGGCATTCCACCTAAGAATCCCACCCCCAATCTTCCAGCCCCTTCCCCAATCCCACCCACAAAGCAATCATCCCTAGGCATTCACCTGCAAGCACCAATCCCCTGGGGCCTGCCCTCAATCCCTCCCAATCCCCCACCCCCACACCACAGACAAAAAGGCCCCCCAGGTGCAGTGCTCACTGCTCGCTGCTCTGCTCCCTAGTGGCTCTCTCTATCTCTCTCCCTCCCTATCTCCCTCTCTCCCTCTCTCTCTCTCTCTTCACTCTCCTTCTCCCTCTCCTTCTGGCTTCCCTTCCTCTTCCCCTCTAATCTCCACCCCCCTCACCCCCCCCACCCCCCCACCCACCGTTCCTGCCCCACTGAAATAGACCTCCTAAGATACAATAAATCAATCAACAAAAATAAAATAAATTTTTAAAAAATAAAATTAAAATTTAAAAACTTAAAAATAATTAAAATAAAATAATAAGATAAGTTAAATTAAATATGGACCAGCATCATGTCTTTGTTTCACTGTTATTGTTTGTTGACTTTTTTCTTTTAATCTCACAGGCTATTTTGATAACTGACCAAATTGACAGGAGAAATGTGCCTTTTAACGATTTATTTATTTGTTTGACAGAGATAGAGAAATCCACTGGTTCACTCCCCAGTGATTACCATAGCCAAATCTGGGTTCAGACAAAACCAGGAGCCTGGGACTTCATCTGACTCTCCCATGTGGGTGACAGGGACCCAAGTTCTTGGGTCACCATCTGCTGCCTCCCAGGTGCATTAGCAAGACTCAAAGCAACTCTATGAGATTGATATGATATGATATGATATGATATGATATGATATGATATGATATGATATGATATGATATGATATGTAAGCATTGCAAGTGGCAACTTAGCCTATGAATCATAATGCCAGGCCCTGAGAAGGGATTGTTAAAGGAGAGAAAAACCTGTCCTCTATACACCTCCATCACCAGTTATTCCTCATCAGACTCTAAGCAATGAACTACAAATATTCCTAACCAGTAATTGTAGCAGGTGCTAATAACTCTGTTACCAACTGTAACACATCCAGGCACAAGAGCAGGAAGCTAGATCCGAAGCAGAAGTGAGACTGAATCCCAGGTACTCTGAGATGGAATGTGGATTACCCAAGTGACAGTTTAATCTACTGTACCACAATACTCAGCCCCAAGATGCACCTTTAAAATTGTGTCATGGGTCAAGCATCTAATATGGCAATTATAATGCCAGGTGAGACACCTCCTCTCAAATTGCCTGGGTTAGAGTCCTGACTCTGCTCCTGCTGCCAGCTTCTCACCAACACAGACCCTGCATGGCAGCAGAGGCACCTGAGACCCTGCCACTCACATGGGAGACCTGGGTGGAATTCTTAACTCACAGTCCAGGATAGTGCAGGTATTTGAGGAGCTGATCCTGCAAATGTGTGTTTGTGTGTGAGAGAGAGAGCAAGAGAGCGAGAGAGCGAGAGAGTGAGAGAGCGAGAGACACACAGACAATTTGTGTCTTTCTGCCTCTTGAATGAAGAATACTTTTAAAAACCACCTGTGCACAGGAATAGGAAATTGCTGTGGAGCAGGGAAATTACTGCAGCAGGGAAAGGAGACCTTTCTATGCAGGAACTGCAACTGAAGTTTAAACTAGATGTCAGTAGATTTCTACTGGCAGGAAGTGGGGATGAGGATACACCCCTCTGGTTCTGTGAGGGAGGGGGAGAATCAGCTAGGAGCTGGCATGTAGCACGGTGGGTTAAGCTGTGGACTGTAACACTGGCATTCTATATGGGTGCCAGTTCAAGTTCCAGCTGTTCTACTTCCAATTTGGCTCCCCACTAATAGCCAGGGAAAGCAGTGAAGGACGGCTCAACCTGGAAGAAGCTCCTGACTCCTGGCTTCAGCCTGACCAGCCTGGGTCATTGCAGCCAAGAGGAGGGGGAACCAGAGGGTGAAAGATTCTTTCTCTCAATCTCTTTCTGCCTTTCAAATAAATAAATAAATAAATAAATTTCATATTTATAACCTAAATGGGAGCTGTTTCAAAACATACCTTACACAGGGTGTAGGCAGGCCAGGCTAGGCTACAGTATCCACCAGTTCACATGAGAGCTGGGTCTGGGGTTGGGCCAGGCTGGGCTAGGCTGTAGTACCTGTCAGCAAGGACTGGAATGGCCATGGGCCAGTTAGGCTGGGCCACAGCACCCACTGGCATACATGAACTTGGGGCTGGGAGCAGGCTTGGTTGCAGAACTTGGGAAGTTCTTCTGCTAGATCACAAGAGCTAGGGCTGACTGTTCCGTGGCATGCTCTTGAAGCATCGTGGTTGCCATGGAGCTGGTGGCCAGGTACGCCACACAGCCACTGAGGCTGCAAGTGCCCTAAGCTGACACCGACCCCCTCAAGGGCCTGCTATCCGGTGTGGCACAGATGAAGGAGCTGGTCACTGAGCTCCTGGGCCGCCAGTGCCACGGGAGGGATAGGGTTAGCCAGTGGTGGGTGAAGACGAGGTCTCAGACGGTAGTGATGAAGATGATATAGAAGATGAAAATAACATTGATAACAGAACTAGTTCAGATGGACCCCCTGCAAAACGGCCAAAACTGTCATCATCCTCACCCTAAGCGTAGCTTTTATAACATGTTAAAGATTGTTATTCTGTCCTTATCCTGGCTGATACTTAAGGAAGATGTGGGCTCTGGCTGGAAAAGGTGTTTATTTTGTTTCCCAGGATAATTTTGCCAAAGAGAAAACTGTTTCTATGAAGAAAGATAAAACAGGCTGTTGAGAAATGAGGCTTGCTTTCACAAGCCTGAAATTCAGGTCATGGAAATAAAATAGTTTACTAAAATGATGCTGTGAAACTCAGAAAATGCTTAATAGTCTATAGAAATCCTGTAAGAAAAGAGAAAAAAAAGAAACCCTCTAAGTTGGCAACTGAACTTTTGTTTTCTGTTTTAAATAAATTGTTAAGTAGGGATGTCTGCACCTTTTAGCTTCTGTTGTAAAAAGTACAGGTCATGCTTCATGAACAGTAGCGTTTTAAGAAACTGACATGAGCCAAATAATGAAAACTGGATAGTAGGTGGTATAATTCATTTGTTTTTAAGTAGAAGAAACATAAGGGATAGAAATATTGAAGAGATATGGGAGGGGTGGGAGGAATCCCAGTGCCTATAAAACTGTATCACATAATACAATGTTATTAACAATAAAAAAAAAAAGAAATATTGAAGAGAAAGAAGAGTCCTTGAGAGAGACTGATAGAAATCTTGAATTCACATGTGCACCAGTGTCCAGCCGCCCACAGGTGACTCACTCACTCGATGACATGGACATTCACACCTGTGCCCAGTGTCCAGCCGCCCACGGGTGACCCACTCACTCGATGGCCTGGACATTCACACCTGTGCCCAGTGTCCAGCCGCCCACGGGTGACCCACTCACTCGATGGCCTGGACATTCACACCTGTGCCCAGTGACCAGCCGCCCACGGGTGACCCACTCACTCGATGGCCTGGACATTCACACCTGTGCCCAGTGTCCAGCCGCCCACGGGTGACCCACTCACTCGATGACATGGACATTCACACCTGTGCCCAGTGTCCAGCCGCCCACGGGTGACTCACTCACTCGATGGCCTGGACATTCACACCTGTGCCCAGTGTCCAGCCGCCCACGGGTGACCCACTCACTCGATGGCATGGACATTCACACCTGTGCCCAGTGTCCAGCCGCCCACAGGTGACCCACTCACTCGATGGCCTGGACATTCACACCTGTGCCCAGTGTCCAGCCGCCCACAGGTGACCCACTCACTCGATGGCCTGGACATTCACACCTGTGCCCAGTGTCCAGCCGCCCACGGGTGACCCACTCACTCGATGACATGGACATTCACACGTGCACCCAGTGTCCAGCTGCCCACAGGTGGCCACTCACTCAATGACATGGACTGCTGTTCTTGAGTGTCTTATACCTTGAGAGGCTGAAGGGATATGGCTTTTGTGCTCTGATATGTTACACCTACAAGTACAAATAAAAGGCCTTAAGTAAATAATTTGTGTTGATAATAACATGGATATTTTCTTTTCTCCTGTAGCCATACTTTCTTTTTCTGAAGAAATTATTAAATCATTCAATATAGGGCCCGGCGCGGTGGCGCAGTGGTTAAAGGTCCTCGCCTTCACGCCCGGGATCCCATATGGGCGCCGGTTCTAATCCCGGCAGCCCCGCTTCCCTTCCAGCTCCCTGCCTGTGGCCTGGGAAAGCAGTCGAGGACGGCCCAAAGCTTTGGGACCCTGCACCCGCGTGGGAGACCCGCAAGAGGCTCCTGGCTTCAGATCGGCATAGTATCGGCCCGTTGCGCTCACTTGGGGAGTGAATCATCGGACGGAAGATCTTCCTCTCTGTCTCTCCTCTCTGTATATCCGCCTTTCCAATGAAAAAATAATAAAAATAAATCTTTAAAAAAAAAAATCATTCAATATATATAATAATCATTTTAAGTATTAATCCTTTTAAGTAGACATTATATATAACCTATATATATTAAATATATATTACATACACTTAATATATAATATTATGAGTACTGTGGCCCAGCCTTCCTAAGCTGCCCCAGCCTCAGCTCTTTCTTTTTTTGGAGAGAGAGAGATATTCATTATATATAATAACATATTATTATATATAACATATAACATATATATATGTTATATATGTTAAATATATATATATATATATATATCCCTCTTTCCAAAAAAAAGAAATAGAGCTGGGGCTGGGGGCAGCTCAGGTTAGGCTGGGCCATAGTATTCATCAACCTAGGTGAGGGCCAGGTCTGGGGCAGGCTGGGCTACGCCAGTCCACAATACTCACTGGCACATGCAAAAGCCAGGTTGGGGGTACAGTCAAGGCCAAGTTAGGCCACAACACCCACCATTCCACATGAAGGCTGGGGCTGGGTCAGCTCAGGCTGGGCTAGGCCACAATACTTACTGGGAAGTGGTGGAACTGAGTCTAAGTCATATCAGACTGGACCAGAGCACATCCAGACAATCACAGGATATTGGGCTGGGAGTGGGCCTGGCAGGGGAACTGTGGGCACTCGCCTGCTAAGCTGCAGCTTCCACTGGTGAGCATGAGAACCAGAGCTGGGAGTAGGCCAAGCTGGATAAGGTGGCAACACCCATTGGCATATGTGTGGACTGGATCCAGGAACAAGTCAGGCTGAATTAAGCCACAGCATCCATGGGTATACCCAAGAGCCAGACAGGATGCAGGACAGGCCACACTCAGTTGCAGCACATGCTGGGGCTGCAGAACCTCCTTGTAAGAGTTATTAGGGATCACTCTGTTAGGCTGCGGCACACACTGGTGTGCATGAGGAACAAGATTACAACAGGCTAGGTTGGGCTATACTACAGCACCTGTCAATTCATGAGGGATGGGGCTGGGGGGTGGAACTGATCAGCCAACCACATCCACTGGTACATGTATTGTCTGGTGCAGTGACAGACTGAACCTGACCCTACACTGGCTGGTATACACAACAGTCAAGTCTGAGGTCAGCCCAGAGACAGTTTCTTAGGAGATCCCCGAACCAGATCACTAGATTCAAACCCTGGCCACAGGGAAAAACCACAGGATGTGTGGTCCTGTTTTGGATTGCACATACTAGATCTGGGCCACCCCAGTTGCTGATGCCTGTGCAGTGGACAGCATGCCCAAATGCACATGGGAGACATGACAGCCAGCTCTTCTAGCAAGCAGATGACGCTGAGTGCCTCATCAGAGGATGGAAAGCAGAACAGATTGGACCACTCTCCTGGCCGAGCTCTGCAACATGTTCCTGGGCCTATGGATATATGAAAGCATTAAGGTGGACTTGATCAAGCAACAGGTCTTGGAAAGATTTTCTCAGCCCTGGAGGAATGGAGCTGACGATGTCTCAGAACTACCAAAACCATTCAAGTAATACCTTCAGAACACCTTTCCCCACATCTATGTCTCTAAGGCATTATCATTGGTACCATTCCTGGGTACCAATATAATTTGACAGCAAGGAGTGATCCCATCTCTTTCCCCTCCCTGGACACAGGCAGAAGAAATAAAAAGAAAGAACTGAAACATTTGTCCCACCTACCTTCCTCCGTACTTTGACCCTCACCAACCTAATCGTAGTCCCATACAGACGTGTATCCTCTAAACTATGTAAACAGTATTAAAATATAACTTCAAATTCTAAAATATTTTTTCTGTATAAGAAATATTTTGAAATCAGGTGGTCAGAAAGGTCATGAATATTGTGGAAAAAAACTGGATTTAAAAAAAACTTTACATCAAACTAAAAGTATCTTTTAATCCCACTTTCCACAAATCTTTTGAAATACTTCTGCTTGTGTTAAATGCAACTTTATTCTCCCACAAAATAGTCATGATGATTAACAAAAGTCATAAATTCCTGTTTCTAGAAAACCATTCATGCCTGAGCTCTGCCTTTTGATGCCTGTTAGATGGGGAGAAAAAATCCTACTGCAAAGCAAACACAGACGCTGCTCATCTCAGATTGATCAGTTTACCAGATTGCAAGCTCAGGTCTGACAGGGCAGCCTTGAAGGTCCTCAAAGGTAAGGAACTCCTACCTGCCATGGTCAGCAGCAGCAGCAGCAACGAAGAGAGTGCATTTGCGCCTGTTGGGGGTGCCATTCTGCCCCGCACAGCAGGTGACAGCAAGATTCTGAGGCCACTGTTTGGTCCAGGCTTCCCTTGATGTGTTTTTAAGAGGCAGATCTGACCTCAAGGACTTCAAAGGAGAAACAGAGAGAAGACATGAGAGTGGAAACATCCATCATTACCTGTTCTGCTGATTCATGGCAATGGGCAGGAGTCTGGCCTACCTCCTGGAGCAGTGGCCAGGCAGCCACACACACAAAAGGAGAATATATAGCGCTTCTGCTCACTCCTCCCTTACAGGCACTTTATTCAGAGTGCATCACCACTGGGGAGTCAGGCCACCATCACCTGAGCTGTACCAGACACAGGCAGGTGGGAGAGTGGGAAAATCATACCATGGAGAAGGCGGCATGCTCCAGGGATGGCTCTGATGGAGGCTGCAGGTCTGGGAGGCTACAGGCGCTCTCCGTGGCGGGGCGAGCATAACTGGATTCCTAGGGAGGATCATGAGTTGGGAGTGGGGACAAAAATCAGGGCAGCCATCTCTCATCAAGTGCTGGTAACCAGGGATTGCTACAGAAGCAATTGCTTTGCTTTTGTGGATTTTGTGGATTGTTATTGGACAAGGAAAGCAGGCTCCCTGCAAGGCTGACTCAGCGCAGGCTGGCCTCCCCTGCTGTTCATTGTAGACAAGAGGTGGACTCCCTGGGCAGGTTGCTACATATCAGAATTCTCTGTTCTTATACATGGTCTGGCCACTGTTGATTTATATATTCCAATCTCTCAAAATCTGGGCCTGCGAAATGATGGGACCAATCACACTGCTAGATTTCACCAATTATAAATATTTTCACATCTTGCCATCTGGAATACCAGAATGTCTGATCATTGAAGATGGCCAGGCGCCAACAAGGAGATAGGTTATCGATCATGTATTCATCAACCATGCAGAGCTAACAAGGACACCCCAAACAACTCTGAGTGCTCTTAAGAGATGCCGCCCCCTCCAGAGCACATGATGGCTCAGGCAGTGACATGCAGAGACTCACAGAAGTAAGCAACTACACTGACAAGGTACTGGCACAAATGAACCAAGAGCATAAAGACATTTGGTAATTCTTTATGTCACTTACAACTTCCTTATTGCCCAAGTAAGGGAAGTCCAACTAAATTAGCCTCCCAAGAATCGAATCTCTATACATGTAAATATTCTAAATTATAAAAAAGCAATGTGTCTTAGTTTACATTTTTTCTTCCTTGATGGCATTTAAAATAGTAGTACACCTTACAATCTTTGAGTCTTGAATTCAGTGGGATTATAGCAGTAACAGCATTTAATGTTTTCATGGCACTTTATTCATAACAACCCAGAAAATATTATTATCTCTGTCTTAAAGAAAATAAAATTAAGGCACAGAAAAAGCTAACTGATTGCCCAAGGCTGAAGAATCTGAACTCATAAATACTTGCTATGTCAGTTACACAACAAAGGCTCCCAGGAGGAAACACAAATTCATATTCCAAAATCCTAGACAATGGTTTCTTAAGGAGGGTCCAAATCTTGCTCGGATTTGCAAGTTGGTATGTTAGGATAACTAGATTTCCACCCCATTCACACTCAGTGCTGCATTCCCACTCCCTCCATTGCTTATTGAAGCCTTTTGTATGAGGACAAAACTCTTCCCCAGCTCTCTTCCCAGAAATACTGTGGTAGGCAAAGACCTGTCTGAGAGTAACAGGGGGAAAGACAGGGGGAAGCGTCTGCACAGAGGTCTCCACAGGAGTTGTTTGAATATATGGTACTTGAGGGCAGGCAGGAGAGCCACTGGAGAGACAAGAGTCTACAAGCAAAATCATGCTAGCAGCATTCCTGGACAGGGGTTTTGGGGACCATTCGACCTGACTTCTGAGTTTTGATCAAAACATGAGCAGGCCTACAGTTGCCCTGAACTGCAGGTTCTTTTACTGACCATACAAAGCAATGCTGCAGCCCCACCATAACCATCATTCTTGGCCACTGCCTAGGGGAAGAGAGAGGAGGGTTTCTGTGGGAGGAGTGGGTAGGGGGGTTTCAACAATCTACAGGTTGGACCAAGAGACCTGGTAGGAATCAAGGAGAGGTGTTGGAGGCCATCAGAACACCAGGCAGGCTAAGGTGAAGTGGAGGATGGAAGCAGTGAGGAACACACTTGCTGGGCAGGAACACAGAGCACTATGGTTTACCACCAATAGCTCCCTTTCTCCAGATTTGAGATGGGAAGTGGACAGGAGGGAAGGATGGCCACCTCTCACCTGCAGTCATTGATTCCTCCCTAACCAAAGCGCAAAAGCCTTGAAGTCAAGTCAACAGACTTTTGGGCCAATCCTAATTGAATGAATAAAATCAGGAGGTATGAAGAAAGGATTTTTTCACAGTGGAGTCTACCAGAGCCGCATAGCAGGAACCACCACTACTATAAAGGACTTGTGCCCAGCCTGTTGAGCCTCAGACTAGTGTCTGTGGTCAAAGGGGACTGACACAAAATCATCCCCATCTTTATCTTTAAATACCTGTGCTGGCCTCAACCCATGGTTTCCTGTGGTACACATCTTCCTGATGTAATACTCCAGTGTTCTGTTCCAAAGCACCCTTAGAAAGATACTCTGATTATTGTTTGTTTTTATTCAGGATGACAAAAGACAAGTGGAAGAACAGCCAGCACTACAGAACCAGCATCCCTTCTGCTGCCCAGGAGCAGGGCCCAAATAGCATCCCTGACCATCCACAAGAGAGAATCAGGTAAGAATCCCATGGATTGGGTGTGTACGAGTGCCGGGTGCGATGTGGGATGTACCGAGCCAGGTCATACCACATGCAGGTAACACACAAAAGCCAGGGCTAGGGGTGGATCTGGTGAGGGTTTCTGGACATCACTCCAATCAGGTCACAACACCCACTGGTATGTAGTGGACTGGAGGAGCTTGGGAAACTCCTCCATCAGGACACAGTCCCTATGGGTGAGCGCAAGAAGCACGAGAGGGAGCAACCCAGACAAGGTTAGAGGAAGATACCCACTGGCATACATATGCCATAGGTGGGGGGGCAGACCAGGCTGAACCCGTTCATATCACCTGCCGGTGATTCCGAGCACCAGAATAGAGTGTGGATCAGGCCACGTTCGGTCGCGACAAAAACCAGTGCACATTATGGAATGCCAAGGTGCAGTGAGCCGTATCAGATGTGGTTGCAGTGCCCAAACAGCACACATGAGAACCAGGAGAGAGGAGGCAAAGCTGGCAGGAAGAATGTGGACTCCCCTGCTGGACAACCACTCCCACCAGAGAGTGTGAGTTGGGATGGGAGCAGACCAGACCAGGCAGGGCTACAACACCTGTAGGCCTCACGTGAGCTAGTTCAGGAAAGGGCCAGGTTGGGCTGACTGTGCTGACTGGTGCAAGCATAAATTAGAGTGGGTAAGGGTTGGCTGGGCTTTGCTGCAGCATCAGCTGGCAGAGGCTGGCGTTTGGGGGCTAATTCTGTTAAGTTAAACCACAGAACCACCTGGAAAGTACATAATCTGGGAGTGGGAGTGACCTAGGAGGGAAATAGTGGGCACCTCCCTCTTGGGTTACCACTCCCACTGGAGAGCATGAAGACCAGGGGTGGCTAGACAGAAAGGCACCCACCTGTATGTGTGTGGATGTGTGTGGGCTGGATAGTAGGTTGGTTGGATTGAACTAGGCTTCAATGCCCATTGACATGTTTGAGAGCTAAATGAGATGTGGGACAGACTGAATAAGCCTGCGGTACATACTGGCATGCATGGGAACCAGAGTAGGGGGCAGGCCTGGTGGGGGTTATGGGGAGTTGCCCCAACTAGGCTGCAGCTCCCACTGGTTTGCTTGAGGGCCAACTATGAAGTGGGTAGGATTGGGCTGGACTGCAACACCCATCAGTTCACGTGGAAGACAGGGCTGGAAATAGAACTGACCCAGCAATTGAAACAACCAGCATATGCATAAGCTGATTAGGGCAACAGACTGTGCCAGACCCTGTACTGGCAAGCACACACAAGCGTCAGGTCTGGGATCACCTCAGACAAAGTTTCTTTGGAGACCCCCCCCAACTGAACTGCTGATCTTGGAACCCCAACCATGAAGAGACTATGTCAGCCAGTGGATCTGAATAGGTTTCATTGTGCTTGGAACGGTGAGATTGGCAGCAACTCAGAACTGTTGAACTATCAAAACTACTTGAGCAGGACCCTCGGAGCATGCCCCACATCAGGGATCTGGGATGGGAGGGAGACTGGTGGGGCTTCTCCCTTTGTTTCTCCCCTAGGCCCAGAATCAGGGAAAAAAATATATTAGTGTGGAAGCAATGGTTTTACCCACTTTCCTGTAGCCCTTGACCCTTTGTACCCTAATCAACTAAGGAAGATTATTAAAATAAATAAATAAATAAATATTAAACAAACAAAAAGAATTGAGAGGCTTTCTTTGCTCTTTGAATACCTCAAAACATGGAGGGGTAGGCACTATGCCCCAGTAAGCTAAGCCTCCATCTACAGCGTCAGTATTCCATACAGATACCAGTTGGCGCCCCTGCTCCACTTTGGATCCATCTCACTGCTCATGGACTGGGAAAATAGAGGCAGATGCCTTCAGTCCTTGGGCCACCATTCCCACAGAGGAGACCCAGAAGCTCCAGGCTTCTGGTTTCAGACCAACTCAGTTCTGGCTATTTGTGGACATGTAGGGAGTGAAGCAGGGATGGAATAGCTCACTCTTTATCTCTTTACCTCTCTCTCTCTCTCTCTCTCTCTCTCTATATATATATATATATATACCACTGAATTTCAAATTAAAATAAATAAAACCAGCAGATGAAAGACCTTCTCTATCCCTCCTTCTACGATCTGCCTTTCAAATAAAAATAAATAAATATTCTTTAAAAGAAGTTCATTCCTGTTTATAGCTCAGTAATTTCCACTCTGTGGAGGTTTCACATTTTAAAAATCCACTTATCAGTTAATAAACATTTGGATTACTTC